GTAATACTGATTTTGCGAGAATATATATATAGGACTCTTTAGCTTGAAAAATCTTCACTATTTTACATTTTATGACGATTTATCTTATTTTATTTTTTGTTTACGCGTCACTTTGCGAACAAGAATAGAAGTTTTGCAGGTCATATTTGTAAACAGTAAACAGATTTTTTGATTTTTGTGCAATGTTTGTCACGCACATGATTTGGTCTTGAAGTGACTTCCACATATGTTTGGTCTTGAAGTTCGTATATTTTGACAAGGTAGGCAACTCTCAACACAAAATTACTGCCGTTAACTCAAGCACTTCCACAAAACTGCGAGTATCTCATAAGTAACTAGAAAAACACGAAAAACAAATACATCTCATTAATAGCGAATAATTTTACAATATTTTTGCAATTTTTTTAACATTCAAATCTAGACTTTTTACCATGGTGGTTAATACCTCTGTCAACATGTAACTTGTCGACCAAAAACTTTTTAAAGGTATATTTTTAGTAAAGGTTTTAAAAATCATTTAGAGCATTTATGACATTCATAATCTTACGTTATAAAATGTTTTGTTACAGATTTGCCCAAATGAATTATATGTGAATATATTGTAGTTGCATACCAAATGGGACAGATTATCTATTCAGGAATAGAGGTTGGTACTAAAAAATGATCAAAATTGAGACTTAAAATAAGATTTTTTGTGTACTTGATAGTTCGTTTCTTTTCGAAAGGATTCTTTATGGTTCAACACTGTGTAATTCCATGATGGTAAATCTGTATGGATGAACGTAACAACTGTGGATTTCAGGACATGGTTCTTTAAAGATAAAATCTACCAAAATACCGATTCTTAGACATCCACTCAACAGAAAAGAAGTCAACGTCAGGTTAGCGTAGTCCTGGCGGATCACATGAGTGCATGGTATAAGTATTTATTTTGCAGCTTGTCCCCTCTATCAGTAAATGAAATGCCCGCCTCCCTGAAATGATGGGAGAAGCATTTACTGATGGCAGTGAGGACACTCTAAATAATGTTCAGTGAATGAGACGTATTTCTCATTCTCTTTATCATTATTGGAAATAAAAATTTTATTATTGGCATGACGGCTTTCATTAATCGGTCTTTAAGTTAGTATAATAATATTAGAGGAAGATCGCCAGGAATTTAAATAGCATGGTTTTAAATAGATTTTGCATTTGTTATTTTGTGTTTGGTTTATCGCAATAACTGATTCGGTTATTATTGGTACTGTTTTTCATAAATACGCTTATGATGCAAATGAGTGTAACGACAATGCGGTTTATTAAGCATAAAAGATGAATGCAATAAACAAAAAAATATTTAAGTAAAAACAATGCGAGAAAGTAAACATGAAGAAGCGTATGCAAAAGGTGGAAACATCTCAATTGCCCAGTGTGTGGAGCATTAGAATACACTCACTGTATCCTCTGCATGTCGTAAAAGGCGACTAAAAGGGGTTGCGACAGGAAAGAAATTCTGCGCAAAATAAAGGCATACTTGTAAAATGCACAAAACCTGTTAAGAAAAACGGATGAGCAAGGCAATGTGCTAACAACGGTTGTTGTGAGCGCCTCGAAACTAAATGTGATTTTGAAAAGAGTATATGGAACAAAAGTGAAAAGTCAAGACGTAGAGAAATGTACCAGAGAAGAAAAGCAAAACAAGTAAAACTGACAACGAAGATTACCCAAGAAAAACTTCGGTAAGTGCGCTAAATTCTGTGACTACCACACGTAAATGCTGATAGCTGGATATGTTGAGCAGATGACGAATTGATATTTTATAATTGCAAGAAACAAGATGTAATAAAAGAAATGCAAAATACTACTAATAATAATAGCGTTGAAGAAAGATGATTTAGTTAGTGCACAAGGAAATGAATGTTTGAAGAATGAAAGATAAAATAAAATATTTAAGCCTGAAAATCAAAGGAATTGTGATAATTATTATAACACCTTATACACCATGTAGTGGAAAAAAAAAGAGTGAATCGTACAAAATCTAAACGAGAGAAAAGAAGCGATACGAAGAATGAATAACGCCGGCTTCAAAGGACTTGGGTTTAATAATGTGTGATTATGGCAGAAAAAGACAAAGAAAAAATGAGACGAAATAATTTAAAACTGAAACAATGAGGAAGAATCGTATAAAACGCAAGAGAAAAGTCTAAAAGAAGAAGATAACGTGGAAGGACCTGCTATTCACAATGAAAGATGAAGGTTTTGTTGCCAATTATGTTGTTAATGTAAATAGATATTGAAAATAAAGTTATCCAACAGTCAAGATATTGCTGTATATAGACACTTGTTTCGGTGTAAGTAAATATTCGTAGATTTTTTAAATAAAAAAGATAAAACAGCTGTCTAGATTATATAAAAAATTTTACGAAAGTTATGTTATTTCCGTGATCTAAAGTTTGAAAAAAAGAGTTGGTCAGCATGAAAGAATATGAGGAATGATGAAATTTGGTCATGGTTTAATAGAAATTAAAGAAACTTATTGGAACACCTCGAAACGTATCAAGAAGAGTTCCATAAAATTGCTTTCCATTAAGAATTTGTGAATAGGTATTGAAAAAATAAAACGATTCTGTCTACATCTTTTATGTATTTAGAGAACTTATTCTGTGTAAGTAGATAGTCACGTTTGTTTCAATACAAATATCAAAACTTTCGTGTGAAATGCTTATAAATTTAACAAATTAATATTCTTTTTCACTACTAAAATACCTCCAGATTTATTATTAACTAGGCACAAACTTCAACGGTACAACCGACATGGTTTTCCAATGATGATCAACAATTGAAAAGTTTTTACATTAAGGAATCTCAAGAGGAAACATCAAGAAATAGAGGTAGTATTATGAAATTTACTTGTTCTTTTTTTTCCATATTACCATTGCATTTTATCTTTTTCTATGAAATATTAACATTTTTACAGAATGTCTCTTCTAGACTTTTTACCATGGTGGTTAATACCTCTGTCAATTATCAATTCAGGAACTAAGGTTGGTTATTAAGCAAAAAAGATGAATGCAGTAAACAAAAATATATTTAAGTAAAAGCAATGCGAGAAAGTAAACATGAAGAAGCGTATGCAAAAAGTGGAAACATTCTCAATTGCCCAGTGTGTGGGGCATTAGAATACACTCACTGTATCCTCTGCATGTCGTAAAAGGCGACTAAAAGGGGTTGCGACAGGAAAGAAATTCTGCCCAAAATAAGGCCATACTTGTAAAATGCACGAAACCTGTTAAGAAAAACGGATCAGCAAGGCAATGTGCTAACAACGGTTGTTGTGAGCGCCTCGAAACTAAAGGTGATTTTGAAAAGAGTATATGGAACAAAAATGAAAAGTCAAGACGTAGAGAAATGTACCAGAGAAGAAAAGCAAAACAAGTAAAACTGACAATAAAGATTACCCAAGCAAAACTTCGGTAAGTACACTAAATTCTGTGACTACCACATGTAAATGCTGATAGCTGGATATGTTGAGCAGATGACGGATTGATATTTTATAATTGCAGGAAACAAGATGTAATAAAAGAAATTCGAAATAATAATAATAATGATAGCGTTGAAAAAAGATGATTTAGTTAGAGCACAGGGAAGTGAATGTTTGAAGAATGAAAGATAAAATAAAATGCTTTTAAGCCTAAAAATCAAAGAATTATGATCATTATTATAACACCTTATACACAACGTAGTGGAAACAAGAGTGAATCCTACAAAATCTAAACGAGACAAAAAAAGCGATACAAAGAATGGAAAACGCCGGCATCAAAGGACTTGGATTTAACAATGAGTGATTATGGCAGAAAAAGACAAAGAAAAAATGAGACGCAGATGATAATGGTGGTCAAAATGCACGAAAGAATCTGGAATAATTTAAAACTGAAACAATGAGGTAAAGTAAAATAAAAATCGTATAAATTTTATGTTTTACGTTTATTGATGTGTGTTATGGAAGTTGTTTGAATGACATGTAATAATGAGAAAGGCCAAAAATAGACAAAAAAATTGTTAGCTGTACTGTCAAACGTACCGTAAAAGACAAGACAAAAAAAGGGTAAAGGTTGCCGTTTTATGGACATCTAAGGATGAGATAAGGCTCTTATGTTTGGAAAAATAAATTGTAATCATAATTTGCACAATATAGAAGAAAAAAGACCATATAAGAGTTGGATAATTGTATACAGAGCAAATGTAAAGATTATTGAAATAATAGAAAAGGAAGCAATGGAAGGAGTTTATTATAACGATCAAAAGGCACTGTGGTTATGAAAAGAGGAAAATCTAAAAGAAGAAGAATAAGGTTAAAGATGAAGGTTTTCTTGCCAATGATGTTGTTTAATGTAAATAGATATTGAAAATAAAGTTATCCAACAGTCAAGACATTGCTGTATATAGACACTTGTTTCGGTGTAAGTAAATATTCGTAGATTTTTTAAATAAAAAAGTTAAAACTGCTGTCTAGATTATTCAAAATTTTACGAAAGTTATGTATTTTCCCTTGACTAAAGATTGAAAAGAGTTCGTCAGCATGGAAGAATATCAAGCATGATGAAAGAAGGTCGTGGTTTAATAGAAAAGAAGGAATTTTAATGATACATCTTAAATCTCTTCAAGAAGAGCTCCATCAAATTGTCTTCCATGATAAAAATGTAAATAAATATTGAAAAAATGAAAGGTTTTGTTTATATGTTTTTTTATAATTAGACAACTATTTCGGAGAAAGTAGATAGCTATCGTTTGTTCAAATAAAACAGTTAAAAATTTATGTGTGAAATGTATGAGGTTTCACTAAAATAATATTTGTTCTCAAAAATAACTATGATAATTAGAATCCTGTTAAAGAACTTGTAAATGAAGAAAGTTGTATTTAAAATTTTCCAAATGTCCAATGCATATAAGGCAACTCATGAAGCGGCAATAGCATGAATTAAAAAAACCGACTTACGATAGAGAACAATATCAAGCAAGTATTTTTGAATTATGACGATGTTCCTTTCGTCATTTTTTAATATATTTTAATCTTTTAATAAAAACCTACAAAGCATAGGCTGCCGAATTTAAATTGTTTTGCCATAGCAATACTTTTTTTATTTTAATTGCCAATTTCTTTTAAAACTACGAACAAGAAATTACAAAATATGAGCTATAATCTTGAGTATGATGAACTATGAACTATAATTCTTATGTAGTTGGAGAGCGGTTCTACGTGTTGGAATTTTAACTTCCAGCACGTTTGCTTGTTTGATTCTTCTAATTATTTGAGCAACAAATTGAAGTATATCCTGTTTAATATTTATGTCCATTCATCTATACATTCATGTACACATTCATTTATATAATTTAATCTATTAATGTTTAAATTTTTTTGTGGGCAGACCAGACCATTTCATCTCGAAATGAAATAGTAAAATGCTTTGTCATTTTATATCAATTCAATTTCTCGGAATCATTTTTACTTTTCTTGCGAAACAATTCAGACATTCTTGGTTTGGTTGACGCGTCCTTCAATTTGTGGAACTTATTTAGAATAGCACGTTTTACATCTTCAGCTGCCTGCACTTTAGACGACGCTTGAGTGGATCTAAAAATAGTAGGAAATTATAAACAAATGCACAAGAAATTATATTATGCCGCACAACTAAAGTTAAAGAAAAAAATGGACTTAAAAGGCAAAAGAATTGGCTGCATGGTTGTCAGGTGAAATTTTTTGTTGAAACACTTTCATATGTATATTAAAATCGAACAGCTTAGAAGTTGGATAGTTGCCAAGTGCAAATATTTATTGAAACAATGTCTTATGTATGTATCTTAAACTCGCTCATCTGCTCAACTACTTTTTTCTACGTTTAAAGCTGCTATACAAGAAAAATAAGAACTATTAAGAATAAAATGCTCGTTATAGAACTTTTTGTTTGCATATAGAGAATAGAGAAAAGGAAACACAACCTCATTTTTAATTGAACATTTCGCTTTCCTTTCATTGAAGGATTCAAGGAGAAAGATAAATTTCCATCTTACCCTGTTGTCTTTTGGTTTACCAACTTATCTTCACAGTCCTTCATTAGTAAACTTGCAGTCTCCTGAAAATCGATTACATCATTGATCACATTGAGCCCGCGGAATGCAAAGTTTGAGTGATGGAAACTCTTTAACAATACCTCATACTCCGGAGCAAGTGTTGCCAGGTCTTGTTTCAAATACATCAATCCAGGAAGGGTGTTATTACGAAGGATGTCTTCAGGAATAACTAAGACAAAGTCATGGAAAAGAAATAACAATTGTACAGCACATAATAGATAGAGAAACCAGTGAAGTGATTTCTACATTTAACTGTTGTTTTGAGTATGCGTAAGGCTTTATGCGAAATGTCAGAAAGTTTTATCAAGAAGATGTGTTTAATATAAAGGATACAGCAACAGGTCAATGATGCGTATGCCTCCAGTAGAACAATAGAGATCTCTGTTTTCTTTGACTGGTCACCAGTCTTCGCGTTTCTCAACACAAGCTCCGTCAGTTTGGGGTGAAGAACTGGAGCAAACATTGCAGCAAATAAATGGTTTTAAAATACATCGGTTTGATTTTGCTACAACATGTCAGTGTATATGAAATCCTGATCGTTGTCTTAAATTAGCTAACCAACTAATCTAAGCTATCAACAGTCAAATTTATAACGTCAATGTGGCATCGTCCTTAACAGTCACTTACAGTGGTCACGAAAACGAGGTTCAGAATGCGGTCCAATTTTCCCAAATGTTCGTATCAGGGCGACCTGTAACTCATGTTGATCATAGTAGGTGGGATCGCTAAGAAAGGACTGAAATTGAATGTGGATCTTTTCCAATGTCTGTAAAAAATAATTTTTTAAAAAATTGACAAAAGGTCGTTCATCACAAAAACACACAAAATGTCGGAATTCAAAGACCACCTCATCGTCGCTGATGTGTTCCACGATCGCCCCAAATGCTGGAACAGTCGAGATTCGAACGAATCTAAAGAAGAAATCATTAAATAATGGATTGTATCCATTCAACTTATCCTATCTTACTCTATCTTACTTTATCCTACTTTACTCATAATTGTACTTTCATGACACTCACTTGTCGTTATCAGTTGATATGGTCACTAAAGTAGGAAGCACACGCTTCATAATGGATGTTCTATCGAGATTTTTTACCATGGCCTAAAATTGTCATAAAAAAAATTTATGATGTAAAGATAATAGATGAGCAAAAACTAGAGCTTTTTGATTGAGGATTTCTCATGTCATGTAAGCAGACGATCGATGATCATTGTATTGCAATAAAGATTTAGCCTAAAATGTCAGTAGATGAGCAGTAACCCTGACTTTAGACACAAGGTTTCTCATGTAACGTCAGTAGATGAGCAATATTCACGACTTTGGAACAAAAGTTTATCAAGTAATGTCAGTAAAAGAGCAATAATCATGGTTTTGGAAGAATGTTAATAAATATGACCGCATTGGAACATACTCAAGCATCAAGACGTTACATCAACATATTCACAACTTTCTTGACAACGTGGATGTCTTCATTAACAACACACAGTAAGTTATTCAAATTGATGCTAGTATTTGAGGGGGCCTGACATCATTCAGTAAATTATTCAACATGATGAAGAAGTATTTGAGGGGCCTGACATCATTCAGTAAATTATTCAACATGATGAAGAGAAGTATTTGAGGGGGCCTGACATGATTCAGTAAATTATTCAACATGATGAAGAAGTATTCGAGGTGGCCTGACATCATTACGTAAATTATTGAACATGATGAAGAATTATTTGAGGGGGCCTGACATCATTCAGTAAATTATTCAACATGATGAAGAAGTATTCGAGGTGGCCTGACATCATTATGTAAATTATTCAACATGATGAAGTATTTGAGGGGGCCTGACATCATTCAGTAAATTATTCAACATGATGAAGAAGTATTCGAGGTGGCCTGACATCATTATGTAAATTATTCAACATGATGAAGAAGTATTCTAGGTGGCCTGACATACGTAAATTACCACCAAAATGGAAGAGGCTAACGAATAAAAAAATAGAGCACACACTATCTTCTTCATCTAATATTTACCTGTAATATATTTGGTACAACGCATCTAACGCAGCCTTCATCGTGATTGAGTAATTCCCATGAAGTTTTTAACAGGACATCACGCCAAACGTCACTGGAACTGTAAGAAGAACAAAAAAGACAAGAATTCTAGCAACATAAGGGAGAAAAACCACTCGACATCATGCTCTCAATCTTAACGGTACTATATACCTCAACTTTTCACAAACCATATACAGGGAATGAGTGCTGATTTTTTGAGATGCAAACGACGTTAAAGTATCTTTGATGAAAACTTGCACATTTTCTTGATCTTCAACCTGTTGCAAGAAGAAATGGTCAAGCAAAGGTAACTTAATTATTTTTAAAAACTATCTTTGAATTTTACCGTTAGTTTGCACTTAGCGAACACAATTTTTTTTAATACAGTTGAAATTCAAGTGGAAACTCTTGTTGAAAGGCAGGTGAAGAAAAATAGAAAGTTATTTACGTACCGACGAAAATGCAGTCAGTATTCCAAGGATGTAGACAGGAATAATGGCGCTTGAAATTATTTGTTGTTTTTCATCCTGGCTAAGAGCTGAATATCACAGAAAAAAGGCAGTTAGCACTTAAAGGAAGAAAGCATTTCCGACCTAAAAACGATAGAATGAACAAATCCAACGCCGACGTAAAGTCAATCCCCCATTCACCTCCTGCATCTTCATGGAAAATTACTTTCATCTCGCTTTCAAAGTAGGTCTTCAACTAAAATTAATGAAATTAAGCTGGTAAACGAAGAAACAACGGAGACCAGTCAACGAATTTTCTACAGGTTTTTCCTCATTTTTCATAAAACAAGACAAAACTTTCTTTGAAAAAAGTTCAACTTTCCTAAACTACAAAAACTGCACATGGCATCGATGACTATGAAGCCTCCTACTACTCTACTAAAAAATTCACGAAATCTATATCTTCTCTTCGTCCTTGTATAACAAGATATCACACCAAAGCACATATTACCCTAGTTATTGTGTACACGTGACCAAACACGCGACATATATTGCGAAACAGCTCTGCTAGACAGTCAACCCAAACGACTTGAGAGAAATGGATTTGACCTAAGAAAATCAAACATGGTTGAATAATGGTTTGTCCAATAACGATACATATGATTGTAATCGCAATTATTGTCTTATTATTAATAATTCGAATGGAATATTATTGCCATAACGATTTTGCATTGCAACAAGTAATAAAACAACACCATTCAGAGATAAGGACACAAACGTCGTTTGACTGACCTAGCACACCATATATTCTTGAAATCCTAGAAACAAACAATAAAAGTTAGACATTTTCTTTGAAGGTAATGAGCTGTTGCGCATTCCAATAAACATTTATGTAAAAAATTACAATTAGTCTATGTGGTAAGATCAATACAAATTAATAAAGAATGCTTTTTACTAATACACTCTACGGTAATTCAACAAAACACAAACTAATTTCAAAAATTGGAATCAAAAGCATTAAATGAAGTCAATCATAATCTAAGGTCCAACTCTGTCATGCACTTTATTCAGAACTCTTTCCACTTCCAGGTTGAGAAGCAATTAATCAACTTTTGTAATTTTGGCGGCAGAAACATGAAGTGAATTCAAATTATATATATACTACTCTGTCTGCTTGATGAACGACAACACTAAATGGTCTGGAATGAGAATTACATTACAATTTATTACTAATCCATTCCAGCGTTTCCCAGAATGTCTGCCTGTTTTGCTTTTTAAGCCATCGATCAAAGAATTCCAGGTACTTTGCAAGGCGGGGAGTGCCTCCAAACAACACCGCTATATCAGTCAGCGGGCTCACTGCAATTGGGAGACGACCATCTGCAAGTTAAAACAATGCATTAGATAAAGAAAGCAAATATGACGTAACAGATGGAAATCGCCCTATGTTGTATTTTGTAAAACAAGCGAGCATTTCAACATAATAAGATATACGTATGTTTTCGCAACAGAGTCAATGTGTCAAAAAACAGCTTACCGGGTAAAGTGAATTCATTTTCAAGAGCGTCACATTCTGTTTGAAATGGAGCTAAATTAAAAAAGATAAAGGACATAAGTACCACTGTTAATTATAGAAGCTTTCTTCGAAGTATATAGGGCTCCAAACGGAATTCTTCTACCATTAGTGGGTTAATCTCTTGTATTGTAGAGCTGTACCTTAGTTAACATAGTAACAAGATAGTCATTGCCTTCAGAGATGCAAAAATAAAAATACAACACCAACAGTTTCAATTTTATGTATGTCTCACCTCTGCTAAGTACATCTATCATCAAAGCAGGTACACATTGCGTGAGAGCAAGAATGTAAAGACGAAACCTTGAAGAGATAACATTTATTGTAGACTCGAGTTCAGTCTCCTCGTCATTTCGAGACTCTTCGATGTGTAAGAAATCCTGAAATATTTTCATAAATAATGGTCAGGAATCATGGAGTTACCACTACAGATGCAACACTAAGCAAAGACAGTGACACGCTATGTCGTTTATTGTTTGGACTATGTAAAGAAAATATTATTAAAATAATCCCCATACCAAAACTAGCGAAAGAGCTGCTTAGCAAACTACCTTGGGTCCAAAGAACCAGGCAGAAATATGATTCAGTAAATGATATCAAAGATAATTACCGATAGCGTTAACTCCAATTGTTGTAAAATCAACTCGACAAGCTGTGATTGCAGTTTATCCAGTTCAAGGGCCCACACAGCAACCGCTGGCAATAATACGTTCAATGTGGACTCACTTACTTCACTTGCGTTGTCACATAACGCTTGCAAAAGTAACTCCTCAGCCTTGGGAGAAAAAGTTTGCATTAGACCCAATCTTATGATGTTCCAATTTACCCTAAGTCATAACGCACAATCTTTATCCCACCATGTTTTATCAAAACACCAAACTATATTCAAATCAACCACCTTCCCACTCCGCACATAAAACACAAACCATCAAACCTCTTTGTACTTTGAAGGCGAGTCTACAATAGTGTACACAAGTGCCAGAGTTTTAACAACGGTGGCTCGAACGTTGTCGTTTCGGTCTTCGGCAAACATTTGCTTCAACATGGACAGGAGAAGTGAACTAACGATCTCATTCTAGGAAAATAAGACTGATTGTGAAAAACAAACAAAAACGAGTGAACATCCATTTATAGAAAATGCTCAAAGCGTTAAAGGCAAAAGAAAAGGTTCACAATGTTAGCAACGTTTTCCACAACTCGGCAAACGATATAAAATCAGCGTAAATGAGTTGAGACGAACTGTGTTCATCATAAGACAGAAAATTACGTAAATGTAAATGAAATGAAAAAATGTTTTTTAGCCAATCAAAGCACTGTATTTCACCGAAAATGACGTAATAAATAAGATGTAAAACGTACAGGTAAATATTGAGACAAAGTTCCACAAGCTTCGGCAACAAGATTCCTTCGTTCTGGATACTTATGATTAATCTGCAATAAAAGCAATAAAAAGTCGACAACTTTAACTTTCAATTATTCACCAGATGTTCATCTCACCTGCTCCCACAGCTGAGGTAAGAGCTCGGCTTCAGTGCGCATGTGCCCAACAACACGAGAAAAGGATGAGCATCCGGCAATGATCATGCACCTAAAGTTTTAAAATGGTTCGTGAGACTTGACAATAATGTACATTGCGTGAGAATTCATTGGAAACATGGCCACCGAAAATCATTTTTAAGGCGTTCTAAGCAACAGTTACAGAAGTAAACTTGTTTTCAAACAACTAAACTACTCCAAATATTGGGAATTCATTCGAAAAAGGGCACCCAAAAAATCATTTTAAAGGCGTTCTAAGCAACAGTTACCAAAGCAAAGTTGTTTCCAAACTACTACAATACTCCAATCATTGGGAAACTATTGGCAGAAGGACACTAAAAATCATTTTTAAGGCCTGCAAAGCAAGCAGTTACAGAAGTGAACTTGTTCTCCATCTACTAAACTATTCTTCTTGTGAAAACTCGTGGACGTTCAAGGCTTATTTTGAGTTGGAGACTTGAAGATATTGAACTTTTTCTAAATTGTCAGGACATTTGCATAGCTTACTAACCGATGTTCAACATCAGGTCTCTTGATTAGATTGAACAGCGAATGAAGTAATTTGTCTCTTTCTTTTTCATCCGGGTGGTGTATGGCAGTACAGACGATCAGCGGTATTAACTCCTGCAACACGCACATTACGGTTTTGGTCACTATTACTTGATTATTTGATTACGGTTTTGGTTTATAGTAAAACTAACCTCACGTTTGTTCAGTAGAACATTTGGTATAATATGAGGTAAGCACCTTGATAAAACTTGGACCAAACTTTCCTCAGTGCTTGTCAACCGCATCACCTATATTTGATTATGATAGACGTACAGTAGAGAGTTAACTGTGACGAACTGCCATCCCAAACGTGAATGGACGATGTTAAATACGTAAGACATTGTTGAAAACATAAGAGCATTCATTTTTTTATATTATTGTTTGCAGGGACATGACTGTCGTGAATATTAACACAGGCAAGCATAAGCCTCACCAAAGCAATGACATGCGAAGATATGGCATACTATTATCGGGACTTGAAGACATACTAACACTCTCCCTCTCCCCTTCATTCTGTAAACTTGGTGAAACATGAAAATGCCCGACAACCGTTTCGCAACATAATATTGTTGTTGTACAATAAATACCTCAAGTCCCAGTCTGGTGTCCTGGTTTGTCCCCACTACATTCAACAAAGCTTTCTTGAACGACGGACAAAGATTTCTATCGAGAAAGGTTATGAAATAATCAACAAAATATCCATAATTTTTTCGCTAGATAGGAATATTCATAACGACAATAACATGGAGTTTTATAAAAGGTTGGCGATCTTATATGGAAGTGAGAAGTGGTGTTTGAGAGATAAATGAAACGGCGATTCGGAGCAGAAATTGATGTAGAAAAAAGAAGAGCGAGGATCAGATGAGAATAATGGGATTTTAGGGGGAAATGATTTAAAGGCAAAAGCGAACGGAACTAGATGACGGTGACGTATATCTGTTTAAGAAATAAAACGGCACAATCTAAGGAATGGATTGAAGTTTAAGGAGAACGATGAGAGTAGAAAGTAAAGGAAAAGAAAAGCAAGAGCTAAGGTTTAGAGTAAGAGGATGATAAGAATCAAGTAAGATAGAAAGTTGGAGTTATAGAGGTTGCATATTAAATGAGTTAAGGAAAGGATTCAAGTTCACGGAGAAAAGAAATACGTAAAGAAATACTCGTTTACTTTGAAAGTACGATCAAAGTAAACGAGTAAAAAGCAAGCGGAGAAAAATAGCAAGAAACTTGGTTTGTAGTAAAAAAAGAATGACATGAATATAATCGAGCAAGATGGAAAGCAAGAAGTATAGAAAATTGATGTTAGAGAAATTGCCACCAAAATGATGTAAAATTTTCGTACATATTATCGTCGCTTTTCTCATCAAGAATCGCATTCTTGAAATTCGAGTCAAGATGAACCTTCCGCTCTTTCGTCTCATCTTCCATTTTAGTATTTTGATCTTCATGAAAGGAACCATTTTCAAGCGTGTTGGACTTTATGCTACTTTCGCTATGAGCATCAAAGTCATTAGAATTTGCTACAGATTCAACTTCAGCTGTTGGTGAATTTTTCTCTGTAACGTTTGCTCGTACAGCTTTTTTGCTTTGTTCAAGTTCTTCAGAAAGCGCAGAAATTTGTGATAACAACAGAGAATTTTTCTCTTCAAAGTTTCCAGACTTTCTGTAAGAAATATAAAGAAGTCGATGACACAAAAATCATGATTAGAAAAATCATCACGAGCATAATAAGCCATTCATACAACAACAAATAAGAAATAAAAACCTACGCTTCCATTTCTTCTTTGTAAAGCAAAAATTGCTCTTTTTCTTTCCGTAATTCTTCAAGTTCATCATTCAAAGTTTTGCACATTTCTTCCTGAAGCATAGTAACACATAATCATTTAAATAAAAAAATTTTTCCAAGCAAAGCTCATTTATCTCTTGGAAGATATTTTCATACCAATCTTAAATTTTCTTCTTCCACTTTCTTTAACGAATTTACGGCAGAAGGCATCACATGCTTGTCAAAATCCCGATAAAGACGAAGTAAGTTTGGTGGTTGGGCAATGTTAAGGCCAACGTCATCCCAATCGTCAAAGTCCTTCAAAAAAGATGACAACAGCACCGTCATTTAAATAAGTCAGTTATATAATTCCATTTGTCTGGACATAAGTTATAAATGTACTCTAAAAAAGGTTGTGAGTTGGAGGGTTATTTGACGTTTACTAAGCTTTCATTGGCGTTATTGCTGTTATTCTCGATGATACTAAGATACGTTAGATACCAGAACTGTATAAATATTCTCATTGTCAACAGTTGGGCTTGGAGACAATGGACAAGAATTCGAAATAAAAATTATATTATTACCATTTCTGATTACATCACAACAACGTGATGTTATTTTCAACGAAGAAAATAAGATGTCTCTATGCTAAAGTGTTAACTAAATAATGCAGCACCTGATCTTCGTTTTCATCGGAAAAGGTAACAGATGTCAATCGATAACCACTTTGCAACAGATATTCATTAACCAAGAAATTTATGGCGCGTTTTTCGTGAGGTTTTATTGCGTCCTACATAACCAACAGATGATGTAGTTGAAGAACTAAAGATTGCTATCAATAATTCAAAGTTTATGGTTCACTTACCTCGTTAATCGAGCTGGTTTCGCTACAATCTTTTGCTTTTACTCCTTCTTGTTCTAAATGTTGTAAATAAAAATAAAGCAACCCATATTGAATGGAATGCATGCACAACACAAAACACATTGTCTAGGAAAAATGTTTATTTTGATTTTGTCAATCATTTGGTCTGTTGGGAATCAATTTGTTGATGAACATTTATGCATACAACAGCACTGAAAGTATGAAATGTTATACATCGCAATACCTGTTGCAACAGTCAGGCTTCCTCTCAGAGATTTGATGGTGTTGTGGGCTTTACGTAATTCAAATTGCAAAACTGAAATACAGGATTTTATGTCATTAGAAACTAAACCTGATGAAGCATTTCTTTTGTGACCTCAGAAAGATTATTTACAATTAGGCAATATATGTATGCATTTAGTGTTTGATGAAACATGACCTACATTTCCATGTCACAGAACCAATGAATGTGTTTCAAATGTATAATTTTAATTGTTAATAAGTTCTCAACACTCCAAGATAAACAGAGATTGTTAAGTGAAAAGGTGTCTGAGCAGCTTTAATTATTAGCAGAAGAGACTTCAATGAAATACAACAAGATTACCTGCAATCCTCTCGTCACCTCTCTCAGCAAGACCATCATCAGAGTAGCGAGTAAAATCATCAATGCTATCCAATGTCAGATTGCTAGACGTTCGAGCTGTACCAATTGTGGATCAAAACATGATGTAAAAAAAAGATGTCAATTAAACATGTATAAAGTAAATGGTTTGAACCCGGGAGTATCGTTATATGTTTGTAAATGATGATCGTCCAGGTTAATAAAGTCCTGAGAAGGACTGTTTTTGTTGTTGTTGACTGACGTTTCGACAACCTTAGCGGTAGTCATCTTCAGAGTCAAAAAAAAAAATAAAAAAAATAGATTTTCTTAAGGCGTATGTTGCAAAGGTCCATTGCTTTCTGTTTGTCTAGGTTGAGATGCTTTCAGGTAATCCAATCAAAGTTGACACTATGAATAGTAAATTGTTGTCACAAATGACCTCCTTTACTACTTCAGTCATTTTGACAAAAAAATTTACAAATATAGAACAGAATGTCATGTCTTAGCCCACATGAAAAGAGTGTCAATGCCACGTAGTAATCATAGAAGTATTGGACTGGACTGTCAAGTTACAAGAGTCAATATGTAGATCAAAATATTCTTTTTAAAAGTAATGTAAACATATTGTCATTGGTGGCGATACACTGTACTAATGTCAATCTTACCAAGGTTAAACCCGATAGGGGAAGGTGGACGAACGCTCTCAAATTGAAAGTTTCCTGGATTCGAAAAGAAGTCTCGTAGTAACGGTAATTCGCGACCATTTTCTAACAGTTCAGTGTGTAGTTCCAAAGCTGTGAGCAGGAGACGACTTTTGATAAGATGATTCGCAACCTCAATCCAGTTTACATCCAATAAATGTCGATAACCAGCTGCTTCTTCGCTGAGAACTTGTTCTTCCGCCATGATTGAAGGTCATGACTAACAAACATTATATGACCTCCCTGATTTTGTTAAAATTATCTTAATAATCAGGGGGGTATGTAGGGTATGAATGATTCTTGTAGTTGCAATTTCTGCTGCTAAAAGTCGCATTTTGTCAAAGTCACTGAGAGAATGAACCAAACACCGGCTGACCGGAATTTATTTCTTATTAATACAATATGAAAAACGTTTGCAATAAAAAACAAAGTATTTATAACTTGACCCTGAGTACCATAATGATTTCGGTGGATGTAAATTTGCAATAAATGGCGTCCGGATTGCAGACCAAGGACAACATATCAGTGAAGCCAGTGCAGGCTTCATCTTCTTTCGAAGATCGAGTTTGTAGTCTTGTTTACGAAAAATATCGATGTTTAGGAATCAAAGGAAAGCCTGTTGTTGGGCGAGAATGGACAATGCTTGCTGCAGTCGTTGCCTTCTTTGAAAATGGCAAGTATTTAATCAAATTAAATCAATGGAAGACGGTTGACTGTGAGCAGTCGCAACTCGCAACGGCTCATTTCTCTTTATAATATAATTGGTTTTGTTGTTAGATGACACGTTGAAGCTAGTATCTCTCGGTACGGGCTCAAAGTGTTTGGGTGAGAATCAACTCAGTTCAAAAGGTTAGTTTTTTTTTGTTTATACCACTTTGGTACATTCATGAAGGGATACTCTCAAGCAACTGTAGGGTGCTATGTCATGTGGTTAGTGCACTCCAGCTTGAAGGGCAGCCACTTACTGATAAGCATATGTTATCCATATCCTCATGTTGTTATGCTGTTTAAAATATAGTTATGGTTTGTTGCACGTGACTGTACTATGTAGCAAAATAAGATGTAATCTGTAGTTTAATATTCTTCTAAGAGGAGTGCTCCAGTTAGTGATGAGTTTTTTGTGACAATATAAAATTGTAATTTTGTCTTCATTCTTTGTTTCAACAAGGAAATCTTGTCCACGACAGCCATGCAGAAGTTATTGCTCGTCGAGGCTTTTTAAGGTATTGCCTAATGCCTACAAATCCAATAATAACTCAAGAATAGTAATGAAATTATAGCTTATCTTAGGTACCTTTATGATGAACTGAAAAATATCTACACATCAAAAGAAAGTATTTTCATTCGTGACAAAGATGATCCTATGAAATGTTCACTAAAGCATTATGTCAGTTTTCACTTGTTTTCTTCACATACACCATGTAAGTACGTAGCTGTCACTGTAGGAAATTTTCTTTTATGGTTGGTTTACTTTCTCCGCCTCACCATAGCCTTCCACTTCAAGTTCTTTCACATTTTTTTCATGCTGAATGGCTTTAAGGTGGTGATGCATCCATCTTTCCTAAAAGTGAGGATGCCACGTTCATTATACCTCACAAGAAACGAAAAAATACAACGATATTCTATGAAAAACTCGTGTCCAAGTTATGTCACCTGGACAAAGTGGAGGAATGTAAATCACAGGTTTCTGTTGAGCAAGCGGATGAAAGTTCTCTCAGAGAAGATTTTCGCAGTACTTTTGTTAAAAATCAAGAGACTCAAAAGGCTCGCCCTGATATTTATCGAACAGGAGCAAAATGTGTTCCTGGTGATCCACAGGATTCCCGCTTGGCTGGTACTGAGTACCATAATGTTGGTCAGTTACGTACAAAACCCGGTCGTGGGGACAAAACCCTATCGATGTCTTGTAGTGACAAGATCATGAAATGGTCAGTATTAGGTACGAACTATTGCTTACGTAGCCACGCAACGTTGACGGAAAAACGATAGCGACTGATCATATAAAATAAATCCACAGGTTGTCAGGGAGCGTTGCTTTCATATTTTCTCGATAAACCAGTTTACTTCTCGTCAATCGTGCTCGGTAAGTGTCCTTACGATGACGTTGCTATGCAACGAGCACTCCACAAAAGGGCGTTGCTCGTTCACTCGCTCCCTCGGGGGTATAGAGTGCTGGAAGCCAAATTATACCAAGGTCAGGTTGAATTTGAACACAGCAAAAGACGATTGGAGGAGATTATGCTTGAAAATGAAGGTCATGTTGGAAAACTAACACCATCCTCATCAGGTATGTTGATTAATGGAGGTGTATGTTGCTAGTGTATTTCACAATGAGGACTTTACGAGCACGGACGTGACTCCTTTCTTCTCGCTTCGCCCATTATTTTGATGAACTTTTGAGAAACTGAAGTTTTGGATTTTCTTCGCGGAGGGCGGTGTTTTTAGGCTAAGAAAGGTGCGCAGTAGGGGCGCCAATTTTCTTACAAAATATTATTGTTCCAAATGATCATAAGCAATTGTGATTCGTGTTTAATGGGGTGCACTTCCAACAAATATCTCCCAATTATTGTGTAGTAGTATCAGAATAAGTATCAAAGTCTGACATGGCACGGTAATTATGGTGTAGAAGTATCAGAATAAGTATCAAAGTCTGACATGGCACGGTAATTATGGTGTAGAAGTATCAGAATAAGTATCAAAGTCTGACATGGCACGGTAATTATGGTGTAGAAGTATCAGAATAAGTATCAAAGTCTGACATGGCACGGTAATTATGGTGTAGAAGTATCAGAATAAGTATCAAAGTCTGACATGGCACGGTAATTATGGTGTAGAAATATCAGAATAAGTATCAATATCTGACATGGCACGGTAATTATGGTGTAGAAATATCAGAATAAGTATCAATATCTGACATGGCACGGTAATTATGGTGTAGAAGTATCAGAATAAGTATCAAAGTCTGCCATGGCACGGTAACTCGCTTTCAGATAACATTGATCATCTCATCCTTGCCTTTGTGAATCAACTACTAGATCAATTTCTATTATCAATTTCTTATACTCGCGATGAAAATGTGTAATTTTATGTTTCATCGATGTTTTTAGCCATTATTATGGTTTGCAATCCACGTATTTACGAAATAGCGGTAAACGGGTTGAAACAAGGAGTGACCAAAGCAAACAGAAATTCACCAAACTCTAGGTGATGAAGATTTTTGCTTTATGCTCTTACGTATTTTTTTCTCACGAATTAAGATTCGTGTATTATTTTTTTCGTTAGATTGAGCATCTGTAAAGCAGAAATATTTAATGAATTCAAAAAGGTTCTCGAGCTTCGAGAAGTCAATTCAAGGTACAGTTGATTATGCTCTCGCTATTTTTAGTGCAAAGTTGCCTGGGAAATGGAATGATATCATTGTAAAAACTTTAATAGCTTTGATTCCATTATTCGTTTCAACATTAAATGAGACGTGGAAAGCAAATAATACTTTTGGTTTCCATGAAGCCCATGGACGGTTTACCGCCGAACCAGTATACTTGGATATTTCAGTATTTTTTGAGAAGTTCACGTGTAGACAAAAGAAAAAATTTGATGGCAAAAATCTCGTTTGGACCATGCACTCCGATACCTTAGACAGTTGAACAGTAGAGCATCGCATGATAACGTTTCAATCGGAATTTTCGGCTCTTGCCACGTTTTCCAGCTGGTTATGCCAATAGCAAAGCTCGGCCAATTAGATCATCGGGGGGTACGCAGGGATAGTGCCGTTTCGACCTACGTCTTGACCCCTAAGACACCGCAACTTAATGATACACAGCTTCCGCTACCTTTTCATAACTGTGATAGTTGTTACACTAACAAAGGATTTTGCTTGGAGAGTTTTGAATTAAGTATTTTACTTTTGTCTATAGTATTGCCGCTGACAAGACCTGCAGGCAGTACAAGGACGAGGCCACTGCTTATCAGGAAGCAAAGCGAAAATTTCTTTCAATTTTTGATACGTGGATGAAGAAACCACCAGAATTAAGTAACTTTATTTAATTACCGATCGAAATGACTATGATCTTCATCTCGTGGGAAAAAGTTTTCGAACTGAAAGCACAATCATCCACACAAGCCTTTGATATTTGTGAGGTAGGATTTTTGAGATTCTCTCCCGGAGTCTTCCTCGCGGAAGCACAATTTCTCTCAATTACTGGTCTTGCGTCTGGAAGCAAAATTTTTCTTTGTCAAAAGTTCCGCTGTTTAATTTCAAAGTCGAAAAGTCTTGTTGCAGTTCACAATAATGTTGAAAACATTTGTTTTAAGAGGAAAATAAAACAAAGAAGAAAAGTCCAAACTATTTCGACCATACTTTAAAATTATCTCGGTTATAGCTCTCCCATTATTTTTATGGCCGAGAAGTAAGTTTTGTCGCCATTTTCCATAGAATATTCATAGTTTCTAAGGAAGAAGGAGGAGGATTTCTTAGCTATATATAATTTTTTTGCAAATGTTCCATTGAAGATTCATCTATTCACACCACTGTGAAGAATTTGCATCCAAAATCAAGTAAAACGTATTGATTTTTGGTGTAATTTAATTTAAAATAATAATAGCAATAATAATAAAAGTAATAATTAAGTTACATAAATAGTCACGTTAAACGAAGATAGTGAAGTTTTGTACTTGTCTGTGATATCAATGTGCAAAACACATGCAAGGGTCGAAACCATGAATTGTCTTTTCAAACATTGTTCGTTCATTCATTTAAATTTGAAATTCAGCTTCCGCAATCCCCAGACACTTGTTATCCTGGTTTCTCACATTAGCAACAGCAATGAATTTACCCTTAGAAAGAACATGTGAAAAATATTTACGATCACGTGATTAGCTGAGGGACGAAATTCACATCGAATTTTGCTTAAATCTTTTAGAACTAAATGATGACTTTAGATTGTTTATTTATAGTATGGGTATGTAGACAATTATTAATGTAATGTCTTGGTGCTTTCGTTAATTTATGAGAAAACATACTCCAACTAACATCATCTTGTATTCTCAAAGTTTCTTAGCTTGATGATGTCTTTGAAATAGAGTCGAAATATTTATTGCCTACGTATATCAAAACTTGAATCTTGTGTTTATAAAAAATTGTGTTATTCGGAATTTGTTTTTTCTTACATTTCTTTTAATTGTCGCCTTGAAATGATTTTTAGTTATGTAGTTTACCTTTGGTATGTGACTTGGAAACTTCTTTTTCTCATGAATTGATAGTTTATAACCTATGGAAAGTCACGAGGAGACGCCTGCTTAGCAACACAATAGTTTTCATTTAAGAAATAGAAGATGTTTGAGAACTCAAGGGCATTCATACGATTGATTTGATTGGTTGAACTCAGATCGGTCTGCACAGGCTAATGCAAACACAGCTGTAGACCAATCAGCGCACGATTTCTATTGTTTTTATTCATAATTTTTTTAACATTTTCATTACCTTTTTTCATGGGGCATTGTACACCTTTAACGTGAACATCGCGACAAACATCAAATGTTGCGTTGTACAAAACACGTCCGTGGTATGAAGCGTAAATGTTTACTTTACCTTGAGTAAAATCATCGCCTTGAAGTGGAAAAATTGATTTCAGTTGTAAATAACATTATGATATACTGCAATAATAGTGTAAAGACAGTTATTTTTCTCTGTTGCTCATTCATCACAATCTACACTAACGCACATCCTATTTCTTCTATATTTTATATAGTGTAAAGACAATTATTTTTCTCTGTTGTTCATTCATCACTACCTACACTGACGTACGTTATATAGTGTTAAGACTTATTTTCTGTTGTTCATTCATTACTTTGCGGAAACACGTAATCGTTGTTCATATTTTAGGTAGTCAATAGACTATTCTTTTTTCTATTGTTCATTCAATACCACATTAACTGGCTTGTTCCTTTCCAGAATTGTATAAACTGAGATTGTCCACGTCATTGCATGTAAAAACTGTTATAGTTGTCTATCGTCACTGGGCACTGTTTTGTTAAAAGCTATTTTAAAATGCTTAGATACCTAGTGTCATGTTTGCGACAATTGTTGCAAATATACTTTTCGTTTTCTTCTCATAACTCAGAATTACCTTACCAACTTTTACGCGATTGTCGCTGGTTGAATCTAATATAAAAGAATACGCCAAAAAATTACTACTGTCACGGCGTTTTGGATAGGGTGGATTTCAGGGGGGATGTTGGTAATGGTAAGTGTGATCTTGAAATGCACTGTTGGTGTTGGTTATGATGATTGTGGATAAAGTAGTTTTTAGAAGGAAATGTTGGTGATGTTCGTAGTGGTTAGTGTCGTTTTGAATTGAGCTGTTGGTAAAAATCATGGTGGTTAAAGCAGTTCTTTAGGAACGACTTTTGGTGATGTTAGTACTCAGTAGTGGATAAAATTACCTTGAAAAAGACTGTAATAAAGGTTTTGTATACAATGCTTGATAATTCCCAATAGTTATTGAGATTGTTGCTTTTTCAATACATAATGAACTCGACCCAAACCCTTAACTCTCGGCTAGCCATTGACAATTCTAATAATTTGTTGATAACAACGAAACTGTCGTCCAAATGATCGTCATAAAGTAAATGGTTTGAACCCGGGAGTATCGTTACATGTTTGAAAATGTAGATCGTCCAGGTTAGGATTTTTTTTGACGTTTTAGCGGTAGTCATCTTAAGACTAAAAAAATTTATTTTGACTCAGAAGATGACTACCGCTAAGGTTGTCGAAACGTCAGTCAACAACAACAAAAACAGTCCTTCTCTGGACTATACCAACGATCTACATTTGGAAACATGCAGCGATACTCCCGGGTTCAAATCATTTACTTTAACAACAAAACTATTGCTTACAACGTTCGGATCTATTGTCTTATGCGGGAGCCGCGCTTATTAAATATTTTTATTATTACCCGAAGAAAATAACGAGACCACAAAACTCTTTTCAGTATATTCTATTGGGAGCGGCGCCTAAGCGAGCATTTAAGGTAATGATGATCGTAGTTATTAACATTTTGACCTGATGATGTTGCAATAACCTGGGTAAATTATAGGAGTCAAGACTCAAGGTCGAATTATTAAAATGTCAACAATATTTATTAATGAAGGAGAAATTTTTCCTTCGTGTCAAGAAAATATCTCTTCACAGCTACTCTGCTAAAAAGTTAACAGTGTTCCTATGTAACATGACCTATAATGACTTGGAATAAAATCACAAATTAAAGTTCATCTAAATTTTATGCTGCTGTATGCAAACTATTATACAAACCACAAACGTCATAGACATCGCCAATTGATTTAAATTTGTTTCGTCGTACCCAACCTTCCCAGTCGAAATTCGAGCGAGCGCTTCGACCAGAAAATGTATTGTGAACAGATCGAATTGATGTAAAATCGACGCGTAGATATTCTTTAATAAACATCAGTAGGCAAAATGTAGCCAGGATTGCAAACATACAGATACGTTGCTTAAAACCAATGCTAGTTAACCGACTTCTCATGAGTGCAAACATGTTTGTGATAGAGTGAGCTTTGAGAAACGTTGTTGGGACTGTACGAGACGCAGATGATGCTTGTAATTTTGGATAGCAGAAAAAAATTTGTTATCTTGAGGACACATTAGCTCGCATTTCCTTTAGAGATACGAGAGAAGGTTATTTTTCATTGAAGGTCATGTCACACATCATCACAATGACATGCGACACTTGCTTATACTGCGCATGTTTAGTATCACGAGTTTTATTGCAAGTACGAAACTGCAAACTTTCCTTTCTTTAATATTTACCTAATAAATTCAATAGTCTTGAAGATTTGGGTTGTTAACATATTTTGTGGCAATTCTCAATAATGGTATCAGTTTATTACATCATTAGACATTTACTCTTTACTTGATCTCCTGCGAACAGGCTGATTATTAAACGTGTTTACAGCTTGTGATATATATGATACAAAATTTTTATTTTTTTCATGCTGATCATGAGGGTTCATTACAAAAAAAATGCGTATTAAATTTATTTCAGGAAGAAGAAAAGAATATCCTCCCCGGCGGGGAATCGAACCCCGGTCTCCCGCGTGACAGGCGGGGATACTCACCACTATACTACCGAGGATTGACACTTGACGGGAGAAAATTGTTGTTTATATTTTTTAGTGTTTACCAAAGTGTTCTTTGATTTCATAGTACCAGTAATCAGTGATAGAAATGCACACTTACGATTGTATTATGACGAAAGAGGCCTATCAAAATACAAGATTTTTGTACTAATATACCTATATACTTAAGACACAAGACGTCGTGAATAGTTTATGAATATTGTTTAGTAAAATTCTTTTTCGTTCATGTTGTTGCTGGTAATAAGATCACAGCGTATTTTATAAAATTAAAATAACGTTTATCGGCCACTTATCCTCGGTAGTATAGTGGTGAGTATCCCCGCCTGTCACGCGGGAGACCGGGGTTCGATTCCCCGCCGGGGAGAATTAGTATTTCCTTTTGTTCTAAACCAATTTTATTTTAATAGAAGTAAATCGTAGGGCTTTTTTCGTATTTATTGTTAGGTCAGGTAAATATTATGATTTCTGAAGACTGCGTAATGCGGCACAACGGCACAGACAACAGGAGGACTGTAGCGACCTGTTCGCAGGTTATCGTATAAGAAATAAAAACTCTTACGGTCTTATCCTTTACCTTGTAAACATCAAGTATTTTTTATGTCATTTGTGTCGAACAAAATTGGAATAAAAAAAATGAACAATTATACACAAACGATGTATGCATAATGCATTGGTACATTAATCGTCTTCAGTGCCCACAATCGGGTGGGAAAAGTATCAAAATATTGGTGAATCCTTGACATCATTGGGTTTTTCTTTGTACAATTTTGCAAGTTGCTTTTCTCGGTCATTAAGACAACCTAGAAGACAAATTCAAGGTTTGATATTTCAATGTAAAATGACACGGTGTAATTTCAATGTAAAATGACACGGTGTAATTTCAATGTAAAATGACACGGTGTAATTTCAATGTAAAATGACACGGTGTAATTTAAATGTAAAATGACACGGTGTAATTCAAGATTCGTTTTCGTCAAAATAAATGCAGAATGTCAAAACAGGCACTTGAACTGAATAGATAAATGGAACTGAAAGGACTTCCTTTGTGTCAAAATCTTTATACGAGCCCGAAGCCAATTTTAAAATCTCAGGCATGCGTGTTTACTAAATTTAAATGAACTTTCGTTTAGCCGTGCCTTAAAGTCTGGAAGAAGTTGAATAATTGAATAGTTAGCTTCAAATAATTGTGGGAGATAGCTTTCCAAGTTACCTTCAATAAACTTTATAAAAATGTATGTTGGTAATAATGCAGCGGCCTTACCTAAAAAACTATTCGTAGGATGTGTGGAAGATGAGTGGCAGGCCGTGTCCGGTAGATTATCTGCCATTATGGGCCCATTATGCCAAACTAAATCAAAATTACCAACACGCTTTTCTTTACCAGTTAATCTAATTGAAAAGACGAAGACGATGATGTTAATAAGCAAGTAATAAATCATGTTGGAGGTTTTAAAGCAAAAAAGCACTTTCGGACAGCAAATTAAAAGCAAACATGAAAAAACCCAAGAAAGGCATAGCATGGTCAAAATCTTAGTTAGAATTAATCTTTTCAAAATTCCGATACATTGTTATAGAATTAAAGGTATTCTAAATTGAAAATTATCCACTATAAAATATTTTGCCTAACCCTGGATCTGTTACTGTACGCCAACCAAATACTCATTGACTCAGTCATTATTTTACCTATTTTCAATGTCAACTATGCTGAGGACATCCAATAACAGACCGACTTTGAGCTCATAATCCGCTGGACTACTTGCCGTAAGCGACGGTGACGCATTGATCTCGAGCAACCAGCTGATGAAATATATGAGATGAAGTGAATATAACATGTTTAGACAAGTACATTGTCTACGTTTGTGTTGTCCTAAATAGGAATGTTGGTGACTTGGTGCTTACTACAGTTTGGACATCCTTAGCATCAATAATAGTGAGACTCAAACCATTTACTTCATTTACTTTAGTTAGACTCAAGTCACTCACAATGTCGAAGCGTCAGTTTACACCAACACAACTGAACTAACTTGGACGATCAACGTCTACTAACATTTAAACTCAAATTAATTTTTTTTCTGACAATCACAGAACATGCCAAATCACACTTTCCATCTTTTCAAATCATCATGTTGAAAGCGAAATAAATTAAATTCACTTCATGTAAGCGCACGAGGGAAATAGCGAGTTTTGTTTTCCAAAAGTCTCATGTTTCCCAAGATGAACGAGACAAATCAATTTATACACAGTACAACAAATATATTTGTATATCAACTTACGGTTTCAAATTCTCATCAACCAGAATATCATATCCGTAACTATGCAGAAAAAGTTGTCAAAGATAATTCTCTGTTTATTTGACGACTAACATTCCGTTATTGAAGTTAGTTTTTGAATCAACACATCATAATATCACAAAATGAATCTTTGCACGTTTAGCAAAAGGAGGAGGCTTTGTCACCAACTATAAATTCTTACTTTATTCCAAAGCCATCATCAGAGAGATTATACATAATATAAATCCTATCAGAGAGATTATACATAATATAAATCCTATCAGAGAGATTATACATAATATAAATCCTATCAGAGAGATTATACATAATATAAATCCTGATTAGGATTTATATTATATAAATTATTACTGTTCTTGTTCAAATCGGTGAATGTTTCATTTTATATAAGAAGTTAAACCACATCATGCAATCAAAGGATACAGTTCAAAACAATGCTTGTCATTGATCATTATCTTCTGCACAGCTTGCAAACTTGTGATGATTATTTCATCAATAAGACGAAACAGTTTTTCCACCTTAGTAAAAACAGGCACGCCAAAAAATAAAGGAAAAATTGGCAGCCAAATCATAAATTACAACTTTCACATCTCGTACTTTTTCGATTCCGTGTTTTGCCGTAAGATACTTCCTCAGTCGTAATGGAGACCATTTGCATCCCTATGGATACAATGACATTGTTAAAATCCGTGACAGGAGTAACAAAAAATGGTTTAAGGGGAGCACCTTCTCTGGATCGTAATCAGGGGCGGTTTTCTGTATGGCCACATTTGTAAGATGAATGTCTGTGATTATACATTTCAAGGATATTTCTCCTGTCTTTGTGATAAAGTTGTGATACAGGGGATAATCACCCTAAACCATATACTATTTTAACATCAAACTTCCACAACATAAGAAAAACGTCTTTAACAGATAATGAAGCCATTTAGGAGAAAGACAACTTGTGGAGGATAAAAAAGGATACAAGTGTCATCAATGGATTCAAGGGAGAATCTCGTGTTAGAAAAGCGCGCAAAACCATCACGATACAACCACACACTTAACGGCACATACTAAAAAACATATCTATGCATTCTTCAAAGAAACAACAGCTCAACGAAAATCGTGGATGAAAACAAAAGCCATAAACAAATTTAGTTCATTTACTACTTACATTTGTCACAAGAACATAAACACGAATGTCGAATTTCCGTCCTGTATGAGAAATTTATTTTATTAACCAGAAAATGAAGATTCGCATCGCAATATTTCTTAGGTTTTAAATAGGATTGCAGGACAAAGAACCGAGGGAGTCTTTTATCGAGAAGGACAGGTAATACCAGCGTATTCATCGTTAACAAACAAGGTTTTAAAAATCCGCGTCGCAGATCACCACCAGTAAGTTTGCAAAAAAGCGTAAAATACGACAAAGAAGTAGGACAGCAAGAAAAGAAATAAAAAGTCAGGTGGCCAAACACCATTTGCGGTTTGTTAATTTATATTACCTCCAATGAGATACGGATTTTCCACGTATCTCTGAACTATATACGTTTCTGGAGCTTCTTTTCCATCATTCTAAAAAAATGTTTCACACTTGTGTGCAATTTCAGAGACGTCAATAAAAAATTCAAATGAATGTACCAAACGAAGTAAGAAGAAAATAAAGTTTACAGTGTTGATCGAATGATGTCGAAGTTAGGGATACTGAAGAGTGAGTTCCCCCAATCAGAGTATGTTTGTTGAGAGAAATGATGTCTTTGATCAATTTTGTTTTGCAAATTTGTTTCCATAATGGACAATTTAATCATAGGTTGGACATTAAAAGGGAGAACAGTCATAGATGAACTGTAAAAAACTACGGAGTAGACAGTTTAATAAAAACCTTTTCATCCGTAACCTTGAAGTAATCTTCCTAAAAAGGAAGAGGAGAAAATTGATAACAACAAAAGCTTGACGCAAAAATCTTTTCGTATCTATTCTTGTTCGTTACCTTTCGCCATTCGATGATGTCTCTCAGTTTTTTGAAAAGAAATATCCCTTTGCCTTGAGATTTCGCCACCTAGTATAAGTCCAAAACGGTATTAAGTTACATCAATTAAGAAAATTACTTTTGAACTTTTTGTCTTCTCGTGAATCTCACCGGTTTCATTATCCAAATGCTACCAGGATTTTTCTTGAACTCTTCAACAAAGATGTGATATTCAGCCTAGAAGAGAATGAATCTTCAGCGTAGTTCTTCTGAAGACAAGCTTATAGCATGTAGTTACGTATGCTTTCGACTTACCGGTAACTGATAAGTTGTTGGGTAAAAATCACATCTGTTTTTCAGTAAATCAAGGAAAAGATCATGTCTTGGTAGTGATATCCCAGAACAACTCAGAAAAAGTTAGTTAGAGCTTAAATTTCTGATGGATAGATCATTAAAAAGCAATAAGTGTAAAAACATAATTTGGATACTTCGTCGCGGCTTCTTTTCCCCTTTCTCTTTCGATTTTTTTTCGTAGTCTCTTGAGATTTTTAACCATGAGATTTTTTCTCGTCAACTATAAACGACATACAAGCATTTATTATCCATGATTGCTGGAAACTCCTCTTAATTTTCCAGTTGCTCGTTCAATAGCATTCTGGGGACTGTTACCGACTGTACATCTTTCAAAACATTTATTGAACACATTCACTACGTCTTGCTAGAAAATCCTCCGACATCGTATTATTTACACCTATTTACACTGAGTATTTTGTGCCGCTGGAAATAAGTCTTTTCGTGCAAAGATGACATCAGACCTTTATATAGGAACTGCGTATGTGGGTCTTCAGGAAATTATGAGTACATACTACATCCAAAGGAATCTACACTAAAAATTTCTTTTTTGTTAAACAATAACTATATGATAGACTTCTGTACTGTACACGTACCAGCAGACGCATCTTATGTGAGTAGGATTATGTGCGCGTGCGTAGAAATCCTAGAAACTTCATGCCTTGATGACGAGCCCCCCCCCCGATATTTTGTAAAGTATTCGCCACTGCCAGTATGTTAGTTCCGCGTCGTGCAATTTATCATATTTAAACTATATTTGCTGGAAGGCTAAGTAGCCACGCCATGACTTGTCAGAGGGACAGCGGAAGAACGATAACTGGGAGGGGGGGGGCTAATATTCATGTATGCATGATATGCCGTATTAAGCTCCATGGAAATACATTGTTTTCTATGCATTATAACATGCGTATATGAATATGACCCCCCCCCCCTTCAACAAATCATCCTTTTGCAGGCCCTGTTATGCTGCCCATATAAAAGACACTCGTGAGTTTCCAATCATGTTATTGCCAGAATAAATCAACTATAAACCAATGCAACGTGTGCTTTCCATATCTTACAAATCAAACAAAAGAATTGGCAACAATGTCAGGAAATTGTGACATACCTCATAATGATTCCTGAAATGACACAACTTTACATGTTCTTGCAAGTAGGAATGATCAAAATTCTCTCTCATCCATCCAACATCACACCAAAAGATGTCCCAATCATTTTCACTAACATGGAGAGAGAGGAAGGGTAAAATTAACTGTTGTCAGGAAGACAAGCATAGAGGTTTTGGAATTGAAAAATTAAGACAGAGGGAAACTCACAGATAATTTAGAAGCAAGAACGCAACAGGTAAACCCAAAAAATTTAGAAGCAAAAAGGCAGGGGGGTAATCACAGAGAATTTAGGAGCAAGAAGGCGGAGTGGCAACCCATGATTAGTGTTAGCAAGAAATCAGAGGGACAACCCCCCCCTTACTATTTAATTAACAATGTCCCTTACTAAATGTATTGATGATACATTTATGTTATGTGAATAACTAATCACTTTATACTTGTTTCATATCTATTTGTTTTTTGTTGAAGTAGTGAAGCCAGCCCATTTTTTAATCTTCAATACAAATATTTTTGGGTTCAATCATTGGAAGAACAATGAATCAGTTTAATTTTCTAAAGATATGAATAATAACTTTTTGTTAAAAATTTTGCATTGTAGGAGTAAAAGATATAGCTGGCTTTGCCATTGATTTGTATGATACCCCTTCCCACTTTTTTGTACTTCAATGTCCCTCAACAACCTACTTCAATGGTTATTGGTCTATGTATTGTACTTAAATGAACCTCAACAACCTACTTCAATGGTCATTGGTCTATGTATTGTACTTCAATGTCCCTCAACAACCTACTTCAACGGTCATTGCTCTATGTAGATTGAAGAGATTAAACTTCAATAGAGATGTTGTATTTTTGTATTATTTGTCTTTATTTTCAGCATTACTAGTACTTATGTTGAATTGTTGTGAAAGTCACACACACTAAAATTATACATTATTTCAGTCAAGTCTGGGAACAAATGACTAACTCTAGTTCAGATGCTAAGCACATGCTTGTTTCTAGCATTAACTACCAATCTATGAGCCTCTGTTGTTTTTCTGTGCTTTACTCTTCTGTTACCCATACAGTATCAACTCAATTTACACTACAGTCAGGTACACTCTGAGTAAAATACAAAGACATACCCTTCTTTTACTTCTTCCCAACCTTTGCTACGAAGGACATCGATGATGGTGTTTTGAAGAGAGCATTTGAAACGTATTGTTCTACTGTTGTCGCTATGAGTTAAATAAGTTGAATGAGAGTAAAATCTGATTTGAATAGGGAAGGGGGTGAGATGATAGAAATGGAAAAATCGTTTAAGAGGGGATAGTGTTTGCTTTACTGTTAGTATTCATAATTATGTAATTATTTTTTGTAGATGATAGAAAATTGCATCGCTTTTCCACGAGTCAAACTACATAATTCTAAACTATGTTTCATCTGTTAAAAAATCTTACAATGGTTTTCTTTGCGCTTGTTTCCAACTACTTTGACGGTCGCGGGCCTAGTAGAATTCAAAACATATTTGAAAAAACTTTCTCTTTCCATCCCAACGGTAAACATTACTATACCTTTGGTTGAAATGCTTCCCTTTTTGCCATTCAAATCATTTCGTTGGATTTCAACATATTTTGTCCTAATATATTTTGTACTATTATTTTTAAAATGTTTTATAAACGTTGCCAAGGAAACTTCACAACTTAAAGTTTCAAGGTCAGAGACTCAGAGTTTGTATAGTATTCTTGTGTGTTCATTATATGTAATAATATATGTTTTATCGCTTATGCCCATATCAAATTAAGTGAATGGCAATTGTGGATTTTTGTAATACGAAATATCAATATACTCCAATTTTGACGATATTTATACGCATTTTTTCTATATAAAGGAACTATAATAAAGCCATTTCCGGTAAAAAACCGTTCTCGACAGTAATAGTTCATATTTTCTGTTAATACTGTATTCTTGTAACGTTGAAATAATAATTATGTTATTTATATTAATTATAATATCACTTTATGACAGAAATATATTAATTTTAGATTAATATTATGGTAATGCCAATGCTATTTTAAAATATTGTAACAATAATATCGCAGTCATCTTCAGAGCCAAAGTCATTTGATTCTGAAGATGACTACCGCTAAGGTTGTCGAAACGTCAGTCAACAACAACAAAATCAGTCCTTCTCAGGATTATACCAACCTGGACGATCTACATTTACAAACATGTAACGATACTCCTGGGTTCAAACCATTTACTTTAATAATATCGCAACCACTGATTGCCACATTTGATGAGGTCTGAAATGCTCCGAACGTTGAATACCTCCAGAAACATTAAGCACTAAAACACATTTTTATTACAATTGGTATTGACATACATCTTAAAGCAATTCAGCTGGAATAATATACATACAACAAGAAGTTCTTTGTTTCAATGGAGAAATTGAAATTATTAACCACTTCTAAAAAACATTTACTTCCCTGTTTAATTGTTTGATCATGCTAATGAGCTGAAAATTTCATATCGTGCAACAAATTTTAATTATTAAATTAGTACAAAATTATACTTGAATGCACTTCAGTTAATATAATTATTACAATAAGAATATAAAATGTCTGAATGGGTGTAGAAAAGTAATATTATTTCTCCTCAGATATTCTAGCACACTACACAGTGCAATTCATCTTGAAAAAGATAATTGGATATGATTTGCTGGCAAGTCAAGATGTCTGTCAACAACACCGCTTTGGTGTATCGTGGTTTTCTGGTGTTATTTTTGGAATTGTAGAGCCATGCCGTTCATATATAGGCTGTGGTAATCGCCTACCTACAAGAAAACAACATATTTCACATGCAAACTGTGAGACAGCCAATTCTATTTTCAGTTGAATGTTTCTTTACTTATTTCAATAAAAAGTTCCTGGACATTTCTCGAAGACAAAGCACTAGTTTCTGTAAAAATTGCCTCGACACTTTCTGCATACTCTCTAGCACTTTGCATCGAAATCTGCAAAAAAAATGGGATAAACTCGAATGTTTGGGAATCCCACAATCTATGAGCAAATTTAGCAAAAAGCTTATTTTAACTTTTTAATTGGTCTCCAGAGCTGAAATAAACTCAATATTCTCTCAAAAATTTCACCTCTCGTTGATCATCCAAATCACATTTATTTCCAGCGATTGCTATAACACATTCATTTGGTCCATAGCGTCTAATTTCTTTGATCCAATCTTTAAGCGCATAGAAACTACTCTGATTAAAAACGGATGGAAAAAAATTAGTATCATGCAAAATGTATATAACTTACATTGCTTTATGTAGACACAAGTACAACATGGTCAACAGTAAAGGCTTTAAAGTAAATGGGAGTATTGTTACATGTTGGTAGATATAGATCTTCCATGTTAGTAGGGTCCTGAGAAGGACTGTTGGTGTTGATGTTGACTGAGGTTTCGACAACCTAAATAGTTTTAGGTACCTTGACCTGTCAAAATGTCAGTCAACATGAATGCCAACTGTTGTTCTTAGAACCAAACAAACTTGCACATTCTACTTCTACAAGCAGGTAGAGAATGCTTTGCCAACGATATACCTGATTAGTAATATCATAGACCACAATGGCTGCACTTGCATCACGATAATAAAGAGGGGCAAGACTGCGGTACTATAAATAGAAAATAAATAAACTTACATATATCTTCAACAAAAGACAAGTCAGCTCACAATCCTTACCCGTTCCTGGCCTGCAGTGTCCCATATTTGAAACTTGTATGCTTGCTCGTCAACAACAAACATTTTTGACATGAATGATGCTCTGGAGTGAGAGAGTAAAGTTGATTTGTGACATTAAGTGGTCACATTTAAATGTGACATTAATTTTCACACTTAAAGGTTAAATTGTCACATTGAGATTGACTCATTGACGAGTGAAGTTAAGTACGGTTCCATGAAGATATGACAAATATAATACAACAACATTGCCTAACGCTTTTAACTAACCCTATAGTCGGCTTGGATCGATCGTCAAAGCGATCCGAAACAAAACGAAGCACTAGACACGACTTTCCCACACCAGTATCCTAACATGAAAAAGAAAGCACAAATAAAATCCCTATTACGTAAAGTTACGTGCAAAAACTGCACCCCAACAGCAATTTTTCAACACTTACCCCTAAAAGACACACTTTAATTTCTCGCATCGTATCCCCCACATGATTTGACGGTGATCTATTCGACATCTTTCCGTTTGACTCCGATAGGAGTTTCGATGAAATAGTTTTGAACTTAGATATGTGAACGATTATGATACAATTATTATAATAGCCATTATTAAATTATTTATGCTCTGTAAACTTTCCCGCCGCTTGTTTATTTCGCTTCTACTTTAATTTTTCGAACAATTTTCAACCGATTTTACCGAATATGTAAAAGACTTCCTCTTCCTCTATTGTTGTTGTCAAATTGTTACGCACTCCAGACGTCACTGCACTGCAACCATCCAGCTTATTTTAAAGCTCAGTGGAAGAAATAAAAGAGCGTTTCCGAAAAACAGTCACGACGTTTCGGCGACAAAATTAACGGTTTTGCCAATCGGTTACATATGGCGGACCGAATCAAAAATATGTACTTTCTGATTCAGAAAACTTCACATATTACAAAAGTACTCCATCCTTTATGCGCCTTGCCTAGACATAAACTTATTCCAGTTAATTGTAGCTTGTGGTCGTTGGCAAATCAAGCTTGTGGAACAAATGCTTGCAAAGTATTTAACGAAATCGAACGGACAAAAGGTTTCCCACTTTTACAGAAGAGGAGTTTATCATTGCGGCAATTTCACGGACGTGCCTCAAATGTAAAATATCAAAAGGCTAAGAAACCAGAAACTTTACAAGAGCTTGTTGAGGCGACTGATGGAACGCAGACAGCCGTAACAGTTGGTCAAAAAGGTATATTATTATATTTGAGTTTCAATTCATTTGAAGAACTGTCATTTTTCATTCTAATGCTTAACCCTGAAAAGGTCATTCAATCTTTTGCCAACTCGCATTCATTTTTCACTTCAGTTGTTCAAGCTGGAAAGGATGTCAGTTATTTTGCCATTCTTTTGGCTGGATTTGCTGTTACAGGTTATTACATCCCATGTACCTTTATATGTATCTCAACGTACTCTATGTACCTCAACATACCTCTATTTACCTTTACATACCTCTATGTACCTCATCATACCTCTATGTGCCTCAACATACCTCTATGTACCTTAACATACCTCTATGTACCTCAACATACCTCTATGTACCTCAACATACCTCTATGTACCTCAACATACCTCTATGTACCTTAACATACCTCTATGTAACTCATCATACCTCCATGTACCTTTACATACCTCTATGTACCTCAACATACCTCTATGTACCTCAACATACCTCTATGTACCTCAACATACCTCTATGTACCTCAACATACCTCTATGCACCTTAACATTTTTCTATGTGTACCTCATTATTCTTTATTGTCATCTTTTCATCATTCAGGTGCATTGTTATGGTATGTGATCAGTGAACTGTTCCTCAGTAGCAGTCCCAATAAAATTTATGCCGATGCTTTAAAGAAAGTGAAAATGAATGAAGAGGTAAGAGTCTTTTTCTGTATCTTAATGTTCATTAACTCACTACTGTTTTTATTGAAGAATCTTGACTAAACTCTTTTGAAGTCGAATATATCTCTAATTTTAGGCATATTTCTGTACTTTAATTTTGAGATGGACAACAAGCCATCTTTGGGTGTAAACATTTGTATTAGCAAGGGTCTGGCATCTAAACTTACCCAGAAGTTCACCTGTAAGTTATTTTTACCTTTATCTCTCATCTATCAGATCATTGATGCACTTGGGGAGCCAATCAAAGGATACGGAGAAGAAACTGGAAGAGGTCGTAGACGTCATATAAGGTGGAGAAATAAGTTATCAATCAATGTCTTGTTGCTTGTGGATTTTTCAAGATTAAAGCATGTGATATTGATATTAGTTTTTGTGTTAAAAACTCCAAAACGTTTTTATCTTTAAATGTTATAAATATCCTGAATATATTTCAGTTATCAAGAATATATTGTGGGAGAAGATAGTTACATGAGAGTGAGATTTTATGTTTCTGGTTGTTATCGCAAGGGAACGGTTCACGTTGATATGAAGCAAGTACGCTTGTGTAGATAAAATATTATCGATTGTTGAGTTGATGGTTTAAGTTTCCTAAGAAGTGTTTGTTTATTTGACGTGTTGTTTTTCTAGATGTCTTCAAGGCGTTATGAATATCGCTACATATTTGTCGAACTAGATGGCTTTCCCTCGCGGACGATTGTTATTTTGGACAACAGGCTGGAAACTGGTTGAAGTTTAGCAGAAATAGAGCAGTAACTTTACTATAAATGTATTGATTTACACGATGAATTATCTACTCGAAGGTTTATGGTGAACGGGAAAATTGAGCTGGCTTTGTCTGGCGTTCTTTTTTAATTATTTTAGAGAAACGTTGACACACTGATCGTCAAATGACATAACTTCTGTCGTTAAACAAAATGAATCACTGGAGATGAATTGCAATTGTGATTTTAGGTGTCTTATTTATTCTTCGTAGGCAGTGTCATCGTATAAATTTATTGCTGCAAAAACCAGTAATTTTGCTTGCTTGCTTAGTAACTACACCTGATTATACCACGAAAGACTGAATATCAATAACTATCGTGGTCAATTATTTTTATTCTATTCTCTAAGCTAAATTTACAACTTTTTTCAAGCAAAAGCTTCGGAATTTTCTCATAATAATTTCACAGTTTTTCACTCAACATGCTCCTACACATCCACAATTGTTTGTAATTTTGAGGTGATGACAACAGCGCACCGTATGAATATTGTGTCATTCTTGCAGTAATTGTTGTTTCCAGCAACACTTTGCAACACAAACTTTCGTGCACCTTTTCCCATTTGTCTTTCGTATGTTGGTCTGGCTATTGATTTGGCATCAAAACTTGCCGTGATGTTCCGTCGCTGCTTCGGGTCCTCACGCTGGTCAAGCAGAGTGAAGATAAATCGAGGGCTGACGGGCCAAATTAAGCTGTCATCATAATCACCAACAATTATCTTAAAAAGTACACAACTCTGTTTACCATGCAGCTTGTAGTATGTAAAACCAATCAAAGCCTATTCTAGTATTCTGGTGACTTCTATGTAGCTTTGTACCTGACCCAGTATTACCTCTAATGGAACGATGATCCAAACTAATTTTATTTTAACTGAATAAGTTCGTCATATCTCAGCTGTTTTCTCCTAGACTTCTGCTAATAATGTTTTTTAAGGCTTCTATTAATGTTCTTTCAACTAGATGTCAGTGACGTAGCCAGGATTTTCTGTCAAAGGGAGCCAATTAAAAGGAATGGGAGGCCATGACAGTCGTTTAAACAAAGTAATGTGAATGAGATCTAATATTTTCTGGGAGGGGCAAGAATTTCACCGGGGAGACCTAGTCCCAGCCCCCCGTTTGCTACGCCACTGCTAGATCTACATGTAGCAACAAAGTAGTTAGAGTTTCCTACCTGTAATCCAATTGAAATATACCGTCCTTTAGCCCTTCCTGAGCCGTTGATCCACAAACAAGTGCACAATTTGTAACCGTTTTCATGTGAGTAGAACGGATCGCTTATTAAAAGTTCCTCAGCGCCTTCTCTTGCATTTTCCATTGCCTTGCTAAACTGTGAAATCTTCCAAGTCAATTCCCCGTCGTTCTTGCTTCTAGATTGGCAAAGTTCACTCGGGTAAGGGTTAATATGGAGACGTCGATATGATTTACGTTTAATCTTTTGTCGAATACTGGAACATTGAATATAAAGATGTTCTTCGTTCTCTATCAATACTTTCTCCTTTGTACTTGAATACGAATACGCCTTTATTTTATCTTCCTTTTCCTGAAGCGACAATCAAATTATTTTATCTTCAACAATGGCCAAAAATAGGCATGTGGTGCTATTAAGTAATCAATTAACCAGCCGAGTCTGCGCCGACACGACTGCGAGTCTGCACCGACACGACAGTACCTTCATTTCCAAGTCTTTATTTTGGTAATCGGAAGCACTTTCTGGACAATTGTGGGATGTACTCTGCATGAGTTAACAAACCAACAGTAATACAAGTAGAAAACAGCATAGATGGCATTGAAAATGAATCATGTCATGCTGAAAAAAAACTTAGCTATAAAGACGTTCGCTATAGAAAGAAATTATCAAATCATTGTTAGTATGTTTCCTACAATTCTATGCTGTCGACATTTGTTTTCCAGTCATTGTCGGTTTCCCTTGGTTTTGTTCCTAATTCGATGATATCTTGTCGTTGCGTCTTTGTTCCTTATTTTTGTGGCGTTGAGTTGCCGTTGTACTTTTTGAGTACCTACTTTTAAGGCATCAAAAGTGAGTTTCTGAATTAATTTTGGTCACGTTCGTCCGTTTTTCACATGTAGCTATTTTCACATGTAACGAGTACAGTCAGCCGGACGTGTCGAGGGAATATATATCTGTATGAACTCAAAAGTAATTTTTTTACGATAATTTTTCATTACCTAAAGCACGAAAAAGATGAAGCAAGTTGCTTCTCTGAATACCTGGTGTTGAAAGACAGGAAGATAGGTTTTACAGCTTTGAAAGTACTCTTCTCGACGGAAGCAGTCTATAAAAGAAATTTCTTCATCTTTTTTCTTTAACTCTCCACCATTGTTGTTAGGAAAATCAACAACAAGACATTGATAGTCTTTTTCGGAATGCTAAGGTGTTAAAGAATATGAAACTTGTGTTTGAATCAATGATATAACTCCAGACTTTGCGCAAATCATTGCCGTATGCAGTCCATTTTTGCAATTTACCTTAACATCTGATAAAGTTTCCGACCAACTACAATCCATGTTGTTCTGCTTACGTAAAACTTTCAATGATAAAATTTGTCGAATGCAATTGTCAGAACAGAAATTTACAATTCGGAGTAAATGCACTGAGTGTCAGTGAGTGACCGAGAGAAAATGCGAGTGTTACTATTACCTGGTGTGATACGTTTATGTCAGTAATTGAGAGAGAATCTATAACCTACAGCAAAAAAGCGAAAAGAAAGTATCTTTGTTATAAGGGTGTTCGTTGCAATCAATATTGATAACTGTTTTACATGTTCAATTATATAAATGTCTTTTATAAAGTGTTGGTTTTATAGCAAATACAAAATTTTTAAGGCTTTGTGGCTTGTCACCTTGAAGACTTATCCACCGCCTCCGCACATCAAGCGTCGTAACACGGTATTCTTTAGCTAAAGATGAAAGTTTTGTCCATATGAGAAGACTTTTGGTCACACCATTAAACAACTTAATAAAGTTTTATTATTTTACATAAATTTTTCTTCTTTTCAAAATTTTCTCGTGTTTCAATAAAACTTTAAAAACTTTTCAAACTTGTAACGTAAAACAGAGATAAAATTAAACGAGGACGTCCTTGTCCTGAGAAGAAAACACCTTTGTTAGCAATACGACCACGCCCAACTCAATTTCATATTTTCCACCTGCTGTCAGTAACGATTACACGCAAATGAACAAAATACTAAAGCGAATACCTGTTCATAAAACATTCAGAGAGAGAACTAAATGAAAAGATCCAGATAGTTGCCACATCTTTTGTTGAAATAAAAAAACTTTTTTTCTCTTTATTTTTGGGAGGTGATTGAAAGCGTTTTGAGGCGCATTTTTCGTAAAAACATTTGATGCATAGAAAAGCTTCACTTCTTTTTCCTGTGATGATATCGTCTTCCTTTAAAATCTGTTTTAAACGTTGCATTTTACATGCGCGGAATACATTAAGGAGAAAAGAAAAAGAGGTAAAATTTCTCATCTTTTGTCATAAATGCATTCGACTCCATGTAAAGTACACTATACTAGCAAAAAATCAAAGTTTGTTTTATTATAAATACATTTTGAGTTTTATATTAAAAATGTAGAAATAAGTTTTTTGCCTTTGCCCAGAGAGCTTCCCATTGCATTAGAAAGTACCGGTTACATTAAGGGCACTACCTTGTCTTGGAATTCCCTCCCTCCTTGCTCCGGATAAGACATTTTTCTTGGAAAATTCTCTCTCGGCTTGGAAGTGATAGGAAAGTATCCATGATCTTGGAAGATAGCTCTTGTCTTCGAAGCTGGTTCTTATTTAAACTAGTACCCTTCACTGCACCGAAAAGTTGAATGGCGAATGTTGCATCATCCATCAACCACTCAAAGAGTAAAGAAATTGTCTACGAGCGCATGTTCAGTTGCTTAGTCTTCCTTTCATACTTATACACAGCACATGCTTACTAAGTACTATCAATACCACAATTATGTATTCAAGCTATATACAAATAAATTATCATCCTAAAAAGAAGTTAACTTGTTGCTTTTGGTCACGTGATCACACGACGACACCATCAAAGCTCGCTGGTTTAGATAGGACGTCATGTAATACCAGTAAACATGAAAAAGGCTTTCTGATAAAAAAGCTGATTTTGAAATGACAACATTTCCACGATTTAAAATTGTCGTTTTCACCTTCTCAGTCTTCGTGTTCAGTTTTTATTTTTTGTGGAACAGTCGTCACAACTTGGTTCTCAAATACAAATCTTTTAAATCGCGAGAAAAATGACGTGAGAACAACAAGAATGGCGAGATACTGGATCCAAGCATATTTAATGAGTTGCCAAAAACCGGGTCGATAGCTTTGTGACATGTTAAGAAGAGTTAATTTTGATTGCATCAAAAGGTCGTATTTATCAGATCTCAATTACTACTTCACACATTTCATTTCAAACTTAGTTATAGAAAAACGGTAATTTTCATTAACACCAAGATACGAAAGAAACAAGAATTGCTTTTTGAAATTTCATTATAGTTTAGAGCTGGTTTGTATAGTTTACAGTTTAAGCTGTCTTTAACAAGGATACAATATTCTTTCCTCTGGATAGTAGATCGTCGCTTTCAAAACAAATGGCGCTTCGATATTTCGACCAGTTCTCCATAAAGGATAGACGCTTTCATACTCTGTTGTCACTGAAATTAAAACATAATTAATGCCAAAAAACTCGCGTTTACTACAAACAAAACATACACGAAAAGCTGTCGAAAACGAATAATTACCATTTCTTATGAAGTACTGTCGAAATATATTCGTGAAATCATACGCCTCCGCAAAAGTACTTGTGCTGTCAATAACCGTTGTCTATAAGAGAATTGAATAAGTCAGTAAGGTAGCCGTCCTCTTCATATAGTTATACTGTGCAACTCTTTCTGTGTTTAAAAACAAGAATTCATGTTAATGATCTTAGAATTTAGATATTATGACTAAAACTTGTGGACTGGCTTTGCCATTAGAAAAAGGCATCAAAAATCATGGATAAACTACCAGAAACATAACTTCTGTTAAAGATGTTCCTCATTATCCCCACTTACATTATAAGTTGTACTCCGGCCACTGTGACGTAGTAGAGATTTTTGCTTCAATCGTAATTCACCGATCGTCACAAACTCGGCCCCAGGCGCCCCAGATGAGTGATGAATGTAAGCCATACTTTCCATGACGAGAGTTGAAAACCTCTACGTTTTAAAGTTTCAACAATCAGAAAAAATAGACCCGCTTTGCGTACACAGAAGATGACATCTTTGCGAGTTATGGTATCTCAAAACTCTCTGTTAGAACTAGCGCTATTTTTTCTGCAGTTTGATCTTGGAAATAATCACAAAGATGGTCACACAGAAAATTTTTCCTAAACTCCATTATTGTGTAATATTATAAAATCCATGGTGGGTTTTTGAAAATTCATAGTGGGTTTTCGTAAATGAACATTCTTTATCCATGATTGCACATAATTTCACTTTTTCATTATTGTTATTCAGTATGGAAAGCACGTAAATTCCATGATAAATACAATGTTGGATTTTATAAAAATTTTCCTGTGTCAAGCACTTTCTAATTTTGAGTTGATTTTGTCTTTCGCATTTTGAGCAAAAAATTATTAATCAACAAGTACCTGAATCTCAATCCCTGTATATTCCTAAATTTACTTATACTATATCAAAGATACCTGTAATTTGTATTCAAATACGAGCAGTAACTGCACTCCATAAGCACTTTCTTTGTCAGTCAATGGCATCTCCAGTGTAAAATTTAAGACATCATTCTTGCCATCTCTGTTTTTGTCTTCCTCAAAAGACTAAAAACATCAATAAATAAACAGATGGAAACTTTCAGCAATAAACTTGCACATGTTGCAATTATTAACATCTTACCTTAACAACTGGAATGCGTAGTTTATCATTGACAAGGTTGTTGAACTTTTGATACGTGCTGTAGGCAACATATGAACGTGATGTTAACCCTTGCAGCAAAACAATGAATTCATGCTTGAAATGGACCTCTGGTTGTTCTTTGTAAGATGATTCCTTCAACCAAAATCCTGCAATTTTTTACGATTTTATGGAACTAAGTTTTGTTAAATCTAGTGAATCTGGCATTTTGTCAAGAGAGACCTGTTTATCGAAATCAAGTCCTTGTATATTCAAGTCTAGTGTCTTCATCAGAAGTGATCTGATGTTGAAACTTGAGTCCTTATATACTCCAGTCTTATGTTTTCATCAGGAGTGATCTGATGTTGAAACTTGAGTCCTTATATACTCCAGTCTAGAGTCTTCATCAGTAGTGACCTGATGGTGAAACTTGAGTTCTTATATACTCAAGTCTAGTGTCTTCATCAGGAGTGATCTGATGTTGAAACTTGAGTCCTTATATACTCCAGTCTAATGTCTTTATTACGAGTCATCTGAATTGATTAATATAACAAATGATATTGTATGAATTAAAAAAATTTGATGTCAATACAAAAATGCTATGATAGTGCAAATCAAACCAAGAAAATAAAATTAATAGTTAGTTTAGTTACCCTTTGAAGCGAAGGCAATCAACAAAGGGAAAAATGCAGTAAAAAGTAACAGAATCAACTGAAATACGCTTGCTTTGCTGCATATATGGGCTTTGTATCTTTGAATGACAGGATGCGAATGGATAACGTACATCACCATGGTCAAACAGAGTTAAAAGACTTCGTTGAGAAGTGAAAAATAAGCTTTGTTTGACTACAAAACATTGTTTTGCTTTGAAATATTTAGCAGCTCGCGCTGAAATAATATATTGTATTACGCAAAGTAACCAGCGATACCGCTGACTTTAGTTGAATCTGCTATTTTTAGTTAAAGTATATAAGAAAATGTTTTTGCGAAGTTTGGCTTTAAAAACATCTTTTTCGAAGCTTTGTGCAGGGTTGGTGAGTATTGAGACACTCACGAGTGTCTATCTTATTTTTGTTATTGCGAATTTATGTGAGAACTGTAATAAGAAGTTTGTTAAACTCCAATTTCTTTTGTACATTTTAGGTTGAAGTCCAACGTCAAAATGGCGTAAGATGGTTACATAAAACGCCATCCATTAGAGGTGGTCAACTATTTGTGGTGAGATTAAGAAATCGATGTGGTTTCACTAAAGACCTGTCTCGACCATTTTTAGCTAATTTTTAGTCTTGCTTGATTAACTTGTAAATAAGTAATCTTTACGTATTTCTTTCACAGCACAGAGACACCCCAGAGAATAACCAAAATACACCTTTTGAATTTACAAAAGAAAATTTAAAGGTTCAGTAAAACACCCAAAATTTTTTTTGTGTCATCTGGACAAAGACTACTATACTTAATTTTGACATTTTTGTGATCTTCATAGAGAGCTGAAGCCATAGTAGGTAATTATCCAAGTGCCCACAAGTCTGCAGCTGTCATACCATTGCTTGACCTGGCTCAAAGACAGATAGGTATAAGTTGATAAATTATTGAAAACACTTATTTAATAATACAAAAAAAAGGCATATATCATCTGCTAACATATCACGCTCTAATCATTTAGATATACGTTTGTATATATCTCTGTTTTGGTTTGTAATATATTGGGTCTTTTTAATTTTTCTGTTTTACTGTGTTATATTTCTAGGCTGGGTGCCATTGTCTGTGATGAATTATGTTGCTGATTATTTGGAGATGCCTCGAATGAGAGTTTATGAAGTAGCAACATTCTATACGATGTACCACAGGTTAAAAACTTTATGAAGATCTTGAGTAGCAATTTTGCAATGTCATAATCAACTGTTGTTTTTGCAACAATAACAACTTGCTCTAAAGGATATCAATATTTGTGCCCTTGTGTGTCACACATAAAGGAATGTGGGTTATCATATAGTTTAATCAAGCAATATCTTTACTTGTGAGAATGTACGTATGTCAATTTCTTAATAATCCTCTTGCACTGTGTCCATTCTGCTTGGTCAATGTGATTGTGACTTTACTGAGTACAGCTATGTACCTTGACCTACATTAATGGATATTTTTGTTACCTTTCCCAGGAAACCTGTTGGTAAACATGTGATTCAGGTGTGTACAACCACACCATGTATGCTGTGTGGTGCTGAAGACCATTTGGAGTACATCAAAAAGACTTTAGGTTAGTTCTTTTAGAACATATGTCAAAAATTTATGACATTCAAAAAATCATCATTCATGTCGTACATACCTAACATAATATATTAAACCATGTCCAAACAACAATTTGAAAAAATACAGTAAAAAACAAATTTCGAAGAAACAAGACATCCTGAGATTACAAAATATTAATCAGAACAAGATGAAAAGTGAACTGATGACTTTGAAATAAAGTAGAAAATTCACAGTTCACCGTCTTGTTCTGATTCATATTTTGTAATCTCAAGATGTCTTGTTTCTTTGGAATTTGTTTTTTACAATATTTTTTTAAATTGTTGGCTGGACATTTTAATACATTATGTTAGGTGTGTATGACATGAATGATGGTTTGTTTTTTGCTATATAATGTATTAAATGTCATAGTAACTATTTTTTGCCTACATAAGAGATTTTAGACACAAAACAAACAAACAAACAAACAACATTTGTATACCGGCCAGTATTAATCCCCGCCAGGGGGGTTGACCGGTCCATGAACTTTTCTATGCCAAATGTCTCTATCTCTCGCCATAAGAGATTTTAGAAAAAACAGAAAAAAAACAACATTGTCTTAACAACATTTATTGAGTCGTTTTTTGATTGGTTGACTACAGCAATGAATACAGAACACACATAAATGTACAGAAATTTTAGTTTGGCAATAAAGTTATTAAAGTGATGCAATGTTATTATGTAAAACTTAGTCTTACCTTGAATGACCAAGTTAAGCAATTCACAGCAACATTGGTATGATTCATTATTTAAAGATATTGATGTTGGTGAGACAACAAAAGACGGAATGTTCACCTTACTTGAAGTAGAGTGCTTAGGAGCATGCGTTAATGCACCCATGTTGCAAATTGGTGACAATTACTATGTAAGTTCAGTTTAGTTCTTTTTACACTGTGGACTGAGGTTGATTATTTTGTACATAAGTTCAGATTGGATGTGTTTTTTGGAACGAAATATATCTATTCTGTTTTCCTCTCCTCTATCGTTCATGTTTTGATCATTGAGTTCACTTTCTCTCTGAAAGGAGGACCTTACGCTGAAGGATACAGAAGAAATTCTCAATGATTTGAAAAGCGGAAAGACGCCCAAAGCTGGACCACGGTAATGTTGTAGCTAAATTCCTTTAAAGTATAACTTTTTCTAAATTTTTTCCAAAATCATTACGAAGTTTGCCAATATTTTTAATCACTACGATGTCAGAAAACATAACCGCATTAAAAACCATGACCAGCCGACAATTTAAAGATATATAGTATAAAACAAATTCCGAAGAAGCAAGACATCTTGAGATTGCAAAATATGCGTCAAAACAAGACGAGAAGTGAACTGTAAATTTTGAAAGTCGAAAATTTACAGTTCACTTCTCGTCTTGTTTTGATGTATATTTTGCAATCTCAAGATGTCTCTTGCTTCTTCGGAATTTGTTTTTTACTGTATATCCACATTATATCGTGCTTTCAGAAATGGCCGTTTCGCTTCGGAACCCAGAACGGGTTTGACGTCCTTGACCGAGAAACCAAAGGGGCCTGGGTTCGGTGTACGATCTGATTTATGATCGATGTTGTTTCGATGAAAGTGAGGTCGAATGAAAGTGAGTGAATTTCTGAAACAGTGAAAAAATTTTATCCACATAAAATTAACAGTTTCTAGTTATGCAATGTATGTATTTATATTAATGTTTATTCGCATGGAGATTTTTGAACTTCGATAACTATTTCGAACGCTTCGATTGTTTATTGTATCATGATCATTGTTCCTACAATTTCTTGTTCTATCCTCGTCAATCCCCATTTCACCTACCAAATGTGCCTTTACTCTGTCACTTCTATCCTTTATTTTCCGACCATGTTCAAATCGATCAAATGTCTGATCGTTGGTCGTCCATGAGGGCAGTTCCAAGGTTGATCCATTTCACCCATATGATCCACAATCCTCCTCATTTGTCTCTCATTTAAAGCTCGACCAATCATGACAGACATACGACAAGAACGACTGGCAATCATTTTTTTCACGTTTGAAGGTCGGCAATTCCTGTTAGGGGAATCACTTAACATAAAGATCAATTCGTCAATATCCGATTTACCAAAACTCCAATTCCTACTGACTGGTGTGGCCGCAAGCTTCACTCTTTGTGAAACTGGTGCTGTTTCGTCGACCTCGAAGTCAAAGCCGTTCATTTTAAAGACTTGAAGATTTTCCAACAAAACGCTTTCGTTCACTGCCGTGAGATCCAGCGATTGCGGTGCGATAAGTCGCTGCGATTTCAAAACTGTATTTTTTTGTAGATCTTCAAAATTATATTTCTCGTCCGCGGCATGTTGATCGATGATAAACAAATCGCGGTCGAGTTTCGATATAATAAAACCCTGATTAAATTGTCCGATTATTTTCATCTTTCCAAACATATCTTTGGAAATATTCTTTCTTAGTTCGTCCTCGGCGGTCTGATTGCTTGCGGGCGAAATGTTTGCACGAAAAGAACGCGAGATACTATGATTTTCCTCTTTAGTTGCTTCACAAAATTTTTCATCATTACTAAGCTCACGTATTTTCTCCATGTCAAAATTCACTACTAAACTATTTCGTTCGTTTACGTCGTCAGTTTTCTCGCCATAATCTCCGTCTGTTCGAATTCTCTTGGCCGATAAAAGATTCGTACAACCTTCTTTCTCTTCGTTAAATCGCTCTCGTTTCAACCCGTGTTTTTCCTCATTGCAACGATCATTTTCTTTTAAAAGTTCAAACATGTTCTCTTGTATCTCTTCGTTTTTCTCTTTTTGAATGGTCTCTGTGTCAGAAATACCCTCTCCATCAATGATGCATTTTCTAGCCGTATTAAGAATATTACTATCTTTATATTCAATAGTGATCATAGTCGGTTCTTCGTTTCCACACGACTTGCTCTCATTCTTGTTTCTTTGGCAAAAAATTTTGTGGTTTTCGTCCATCTCTGTCAATTTCAAATCATACTCTTGGTGAAATACAGGCGCCTTTCCTACGTCGTTTTTACTTGTCGTCACAGATTCTTCAGATGAACTGATTTCGCTTTGTTTGACCATGTTATCTAAGCCATCAGTTCTTAAGTCACTTTCCGCGTTTTTGACCTCTGATTCTTCAATATTCCATGGGAACGCAGAATTTCCTTCTTCATCGTCATCAACCGTCTTACTTATTCCAGAAATATTTGTCGTATACTTCAATATACAATTTTTATTGTTATTTTCAACTGGTGTTCCTGCCGTTTTCAGTCTTTCTTTGATCGATTTAACGAGGCTCTTGTTCGTTTCCTCTCTTCTTAATCTTGAACTTGATAATTTAATTTCTTTCAATGGTTTCTGATTGGTTTCGTAGGAATTGGACCCAGTGTCGTACATTGCTTTCAAGGAAGACTTTATGATGGCATACAGAAGTTTTTCTTGTTGAAAAAAAACTTGTCGTTTATCCGGTGTTAGATTCACGTCAACAAGTTCTAGTCAAAAATAAAATGGATATTTGTTGAAAAAGGAAGATTAAAAATTTTTCATTCAGCTGTGAAATTAATAAAACCGTTATTAGTTTGTGTAGTCAAATTCAAAATAGTTTATCCTACGACTAGTTTCAAAATGTTTCCTTGAAAAAGAGAAATTCACGCTTGTGCATGATGACGAATTTTGTCGCCAGCCAATCCAAGTTTATTCTTGTGTCATGTGATACATCACATACGCTGTTCAGTATTACTCTATCTGATTACAAGGTATAACCTGATGGCTACTTTATGTTAGGAGGTAGTGCCTCATCTCAGGGGATGGGTAGTCTAGAGCATTGAAAAACAACACAAGTATCTCTAATTACCACAAGTCAAGAACAGAAGACTTGCAGTTCTATTAAAAAATACCATTGCAGATCAGCAACTGCACAACATTCAACAATGAGATCATGTTAATAGCCATGCAGTGAGGTTCTGTTACTGGAAAATCTATGCTTTTTTCTTTGCGCAATACACACCTTTATTTAATACAATATTTAGAACCACAAATGGATACTGATTTCTATTAAATATATGATAAACTTCGTTGACCAATCGTGTCAGCTTAGGTAGGTCACATGGTCTCTTGTTAATGAATATATATTGTCGATCACTTGAACTTCGTCCCTCACCATGTTCTGAACAAGATACAAACCCTGTCAAAACTAACATATTGTTTTCATCTTGTGAAAGTATATTCAAACCAATTTCTTCACAGTCTTCAGATGCTGGTGGGATTTGCTCGAAAGCCATGATAGATTGTAACTAAATTATGATATGTAATGAATATTTAGCATTCAGCAAAACCAATGGTTACTGAGAAATGTCATTATAATTTATCATTTTCAGTAGCAATTAGCCAGTTATTCCTGCTATGAGAATTTTTAATAATTAATTCCTTAGAAATTGGAAGTTAATTAAAATCACTGAACTCAAAACGATTTTCATTGAGCGAGCTTAGTCAGTTCAGCTCTAGGGTGCAGCATAGTCAATATTATTGAGAGGGTCTTGCCATAAATTTTTGCTGACAAACAAAGTGTGGCATGGTTGCGGTTTGGGTTCGTTAAAATTAGCAGTAGAAAAACAATTTTTGTTTACAGAACCATGATGGGGGCATGTACCACCCCCAGGACCTCCTCAAATGCCACACTCCTGGTTTGGCTTTACTGTGATCATCTTTCTAATTCCATAACAGTTACAAAAACTCACTTGTTTAGGCCCAAACACATCACCAATATTCTCTTTTATAGAGTTGTTACCATGCGTTGCCAGAACCAGTGATTTCTTCCCTTTATCATTGATAATATAGCAACTAATTCTAACACCTGTCAAAACAACACAATATCCTTGCAAAATTTGTATCATTTTGCCATATTCTCTTTTGATGTTCCTTAAAAACTCCTTGTGTCGAACAGGTAGAGTGGAGAAAAGATTTTGAACTGTGACAGTGGTTCCCTGTGTTCTTGCAGTAGCATGTTGCTTTATTATCTGTCCATCATGGTTGTACTCTAATTTTGTGGCAATACTTTGAGATGAGTGACATGTGGTGATGGTAAGATTACTAGAAAATATAGCAAAATTACCATTTATAATTACTTTTGTCTGTACTGAAATTGTCTATGGAAGTTTACCTTAATGCACACAAAGAGCTAAGTGCTTCGCCACGAAAACCAAAGGTTTCCACACCGGGCAGGTCGTCAAATGTGGTCAATTTAGATGTGTGGTGCTTTAAAGCCAAACCAGCAAAGTTTTGTGGTAATACACCTGCACCATTATCAATAACTTCAAGAGAATCTGCACCCCAATTCTTAATGCGTACTTCAATGTTTGTTGCACCAGCATCCAAACTGTTCTCGACCAGTTCTTTTACTGCTGTTGCCAAAGTTACGACCACTTGACCAGAGCAAATTTTAAGAACAGATTGTTTGTCTATGGGTTTTACTGCATTGCTGCTCATTTTGACTGTTTAACCATTTACCATTCTGTGTTTTGTAATACTGCTTTAAAACATCACTCACCCATTTTGAGTAATAACCAAAATACTGTAAATCACGTGTGCTCACTGTTCAACTTACCCGCCACACTTCATTGATTTCCCGCCGAGATTTTAACACATTTCATTCTATGAGTCAGGGGGGTAAGTAAAATGTTAATATTAAGACAATAATTTACATATTGTTTAAACGTTAAACCCCCTTTCTTTTTAATTAATTAACGTAACGAATTGCAACTTTTGTTACAACCAAATTCTCACAGTCATGGAAAATCAAAATAACACACAAAGTAAAGATGGTTTATCCATATTTAGAGATGTAAGTGACCGTCTTTCGGACTGTCCTGTTTGTATATAGTATGAGATTGAGAGTTTTGAGACTGTCCCGCCAGGTCCGTCTTGATATTTGCTTTCTTCCTCACGCTAAATTACATTAAATTACAGGTTTTTCGAAGAGCTGACAAAGACGGTACGGGTTTTTTATTTTTTTTAATACGAAAATTTGTATTCTCTCTTTCTGAATGATAGTTGTTCAAGTACTGTTATGTGTTATCGATATTAATTTTTCATGCCGTCAAATGCTAATTTATGTAGTTGTGGCCATTTTAAACAACAAATCGCGAAAGATGTGCACTGATTTAGTGAATTTCCGAATTTATAGACGATGGTGCAATATCGTTAGCTGAGTTCAAGAGATTTTTCAATGATGGCATTTTGTCAGAGGAAGAATTGCTAAAGCTGTTCAATGTCATAGACACTCACCACACATCGTATGTACATTTTGTAGTTGATAATCTTTAGATATGGTGTGCTAAATTTTAGTCTGCTTTGTCATCGTACACTCTTAATCAGCTGTTAGCAAAGTATTGAGTGGTTTGTGGAATATTCTATCTCAGTCAGTTAAAGAAAGGTTGGGGACCTCCCACCTTAATAGTTTTTAAAATATATCCTGAGTCCACTAATAGTCCTATTCATTTTTTATGTTTCAGCTTTATAGACACACAGGAACTCTGTGGTACGTATGTTTAACTCTAAAAACAATTTAAGAATAGTAGCATTCAACTATGATTATATGGTTGCACTCTTCATGTAGATTATTTTCAAGAGCATTTGGGTCCATTTTCATCCATATTTAGTGGTCTTGAGTGCATGAATTCTGCCGTGAAAAATGTTCTCACTGAAACAGCAAAGGTAAACTGAATAACATAAGCTCTACTGGCTAATATTTGTAAGTTAACATACATGTTTTACATCTTGAATGACCTTAGTTTGTCCACCTTTCCCTGATGTTTTGTTAACCCAACAGTTGGGGGGGGGAGGGGTACCTCACCACCCATGCCCACCATAGAAGCCAATGCAGTAATTCATGCATTTCTATTTTTTGCTTATACTGGTCAGCCATATGTATGTGTCTTCATTTCCTGACTTATTTATGTCTTTGGTTTAGAATTATCCAACAGCGAACTTCTTCACAAGTTTCACCATAAGATTTTTAATGCGTGAGGTATGTTCAAAAATAACCGAACATGAAACATGATGAATATTGTAGCATTTATAGCAACTGTTCATTTGTAACTAAGAATTCTTATGAACAAGATGTACGGTTAATATTTTGTTTAAAACATGAGCGAAAACTTGTGATCTCATTGTAATTTTATGCTTCATCATTGTCAAGTGTTGCAATTATATTACTTTTATGTAGCTGCTCAACCAGCTCGGCTCATTGGAATATCACGTGGACACAGCTCTTGACAAAATAGATTCAGATGAAAAAAGCAAAAGGTCGAGCTTAGGTTTTTAAACTTATCAAAAATTTCTGACGATCATTCAGAAAACTGCAATGTATTAGATTTAGATTTCTTTTTATTTAGAACTGGCACACCATACACAGAACAGAAAACAAACGAAGGAACGAAAAAAAGTCGAAAGAAATCTCAGAGACAACAGCCACAGATGACAAACGACGGTAGGCAAGCTAGTACTCAGGTATTTTTTGCGTCTCCTTGTCAGGGAATCGTCAGGGATCGTATGAAGAACTTACTGAACTAAGGTTTTTGTAGTATGGAAAGGCTTTTGGCTATGAATGGTGTCGTTTTTCTTTTTTTTTACGTAGGGCATTCCCTCTCCAAACTTGCATCGCAAGTTGATCGACTTGCTCACCTGGTTAACCAATTGGAATCCAAAGTAAACAAAGCTTACAGTTTTTTGTGCCGTTTCATACAAACATACGTAAAAACTCATCCATCTAAATCTATATATTGTAGGTGAAATTGGAAATTGTCGAAGAAGAGGTTGATCCGAATAAGGACAGAACGGTCAGTGATTTTGTCGAAAAACTTATTTTTGATCTTGCATACTATAGGTGGAATGTTTTTGTTTAGTCCATTATCGTTCGTCGTAAGTTTGTTGTGAATACAGAATGTCACGAAGAGTTCAAGAAATCATTAAAAGTCTTCATTAACTCGACTGGCTGTGCCGTAGGCTGTCTTGAGTACGTTTATATACAAATAATTGAACGTCAAACTTTTTCCTTACTGTGTAAATCTACAATGATACTGAACGCAAATTTCTGCCATACTGTGTAAATCTACAATGATACTGAACCCTAAGCTTTTGCCATACTGTGCAAATCTACAATGATCCTGAAGATCAAACCTCTACATTATGGTGTGAATCTATTTTCAAAGCATCACTTTTCGCGGCTTTATTGTAAGATTTGTGGGTTTTTTTCAGACTCTCAGTACGTTTGTTCACAAACTCTGACGTATTTATACTTTATGAAATATGGAGCAGCAAAGACAGTTTAAAGAGGTTTGTTGACATTGAGAAATCGTGAGTTTAAACAAGGGACAAATAAAAAATTGATATAAAATTTTCCGCTACATGGAATGAAGCGAAATTCGCTCAATCTTGCTTATGTTCAAAGCGAAATCTTCCGAAAATTTCAGGAACAATGTCTTATATCATTCATAGTTGGTATGTATCACCAGAATCCAAGGCATTTCTTCGCTCCAATATTGATCATTTGCAAAGACCCGAAGAATGTATCCAAATGCCAATTCCAGGTTCGTCATCCGCCTTTTACTTGGTATTTAACTATTAATAACTTATGTAAACCTTGTGAAAGTTAACAATTCACAGAGGCATAACCAGGAGGGTGCACGTAATTTTTTTTCCATGACAGTTCAAAATTGACAGCTATATTTTTACCTTTTTTCCCTGACTCCCCCTCCTTTTCATAAATCCTACCTATGCCCCTGGAACTAGTTTGGCCTATGGACATCCTGAGCAGTGATTATGCTCAAAGTCATCATTGAAAAGTCGTCGAGATTTTATTAACCTGGATGATAAACTTTTCACAATCTTTAAAGGATAGTTCCATGTTTACATCACTTGCTTTTACAACTCACGTACTTTTCTAGCTGCGTGGTTAGAACAAGATGGTGCTAGCGAAGATATCATCTAACCTGAGGGTAAAGCATTGTGTTGTAGAAGATGTGCCTCATGAAAGAACATCAAAATTTGTGGCCTGAGGGTAAAGTATTGTGTTGTAGTAGAAGATGTGCTTCATAAAAGCACATCAAAGAGTTGTGTGGTAAAGTTTAGCCGTAATTCATATTGAATAGTTTAAGAACATAGCGTTGGTTTTAGAACTAAAAACGCTGAATCAGTTGGCTGTCGTAGTTTGTCTTTTTTTTCTAAGGATAGTGAGTTATTTTTGGACCGTTTAATGGCGTTTTTGTTTGTAATTGTCATCCAAAGATGGATGCATGTAGATGTAATTCTCATTGTATAAATGATGCCCACGTGATGAAACACGTGGTGTACACATGATTTCTATGATACTTGATTGATATCCGTTTAATTTTCAAACCTACAAAGAAATTCTCGAAATAGCTGCATTGCTTCAAATTTGATGTGAAAACCTTCGTTGCGTCTAGCATTATATAATTGAAAGAAATTCTGTTCCCTGCTACAGACTGTGTATAATATCTCCGAGGTTACTGCGCAGTCGCAATTAACAAATTAACTTGACTAAATTAACATTGTTGCGTTAATTTGGTGACATCATCCAATACGCACGTCACAGAAAATGATGTCGTCCAATCATGTTAAATGGTAGTTCTATGCTAAGAACGACATACTCAAGTGAATTTTCCCATTCAACGACTACTAACGGGCGCCCAACGCGCTTCTATGATTTCGTAAGTTTTCAAGAGAAGTCAATTGACAAACTCCTTCCTCGCTGCTTTCCACATTTTGCGTTGCACATTTCACCACATCGTATTCTCGATTACGAAAGATCTGCTTTGGGTTTTCCTCCGACTGGTGCAGAATACAGTGACTCAGAGCAGCGGAAAGACCCGACTGGTGTCGAAGACGCGAAATTTGAAGAAGAAGAAGAAGGTCACGGTGATCATCCAGATACGCAGGAAGATCAGGAAACAGACGAGGGAACACTGTCTATTCCCCAGATAAAGAAAAGAAATTCATTCGCCAAAGATTTAGTTTTGCCTGAAAAAATCGAGGGATCAAAAAATGTACGTATCTAAGTTTATTTTTCGTAAAGTTTGTGTTAATCATTCTTACTTTCAGTAACACTTGCATTTCTTGTTCTCAGTTGAATAAAAGAAAGATGAGCAAATCATCACAAAATTTTGTGGATGAAGTGACCAAAAATATATACAAAAGTACTGCCCACAGAGCGGCTGAGGAATATGCATTGACTATACCTAAACGGCCTGCTGTTCTTCCCAAAATCATTGGTAACAATGAAGACAGAGAATTGTATCATTCAATCTATCCTAGGATTGGAAACTGGAAAACGGAAGTCGTGCCAAAAGCTTGGGAACGAGGTCAGGAGCGACCTTTATACGAAGCTCCGAGGAGAAAGCAGTCTTTCGCCACGAGATTAAGATCAAGGTAAGCTATTTAATGAACTCTTTGTTGCAGAGGTCAGTTTTGAGAAGACCATGAACCAATTTCTCAGGGTAATTTTTTGGTAAATATTTTCGCCAGAACTCATTCAAATTTGTAGAGATTGTTCAGTTGCTTAGAACATGACTCATCATCTACGAAATTGGTGGGAGAGTGCTTTCGTTTACGCATAAAATATCCATACATTTCACCTAAATCTGTCAGTTTTATATTTTAATATTTTTGTAGCAAAGGTAAGACAATGCTCATCGATAAGCGTGAACAACCGGCAAATGAAACGACTTTGAAGAAAGATACGGAACAAGTACAGTACGTAGCATGTTTATGTTTGTTTAGCCCAAAATAGAAATTCTTTTTTATTAATGCTTAAATATGGACAGTGGCTTCACCAGCTTGAGAAATCGCTTCAATTGATTTGAAAAAAAACTAAATATAGAAAAACATGAATATATGAAAATATTATCTCCCCTCATTTATCACGCTTGCGAGGCCACTGAATATGGAGTTCATCATTAAAAGAGACTCTTTCAACCATGAATGCATTTATGTTTCCAGTACACGTCCCTTCCCTGGTTATGGTGGCTTTGTACCTAAACTTCCGGTCATTCCCAGTCCACAGCAAGATCTTCCTTTGATGCAGTCCACTTATAGTGCCACATATGGGTGAGTTGTTGTTAAAATACTGTCGCTTTACTACTTAGGAGAATTTAACTACAGTCATAAAACACAGTATTTGGTTAAAAGGGACAATTAGGAACATTGAGGACAGCTTTTGTCGTAATTATGTTTATCAGGGACAATTAGGAGCATCGAGGACAGCTTTTGTCGGAATTCTCTTTATCAGAGCCCAATTAATCGTAAGCAATAATTTAGTCTTCCTTCGCCTGTTTAGAAACGGTTACAAAGAGTTGTTAAGGATTCAAGAATATGCCCACAAAGGTCCCCTATCTAAAGTCGTGAGCCCTACCTTCCCCTATAATCCATTTAACAAGGCCAAAGAGAAGTTTCACCCGACAAGCGCTTTGTTCGCTATCCAATTAGAAGGTATATGATGTAGGATTGTGCCGCTGACCATTTTATTAAATTGGTGATCAAATTTAATTGTTATTGGTGTGAGTTTCGTTCAAATGAAACTAGCTACATGTCAAAATTGTAGTGATGATGAAGCATGTAATTTTTAATGCAGAAATGAAAAAACTGAAAGTAAAATAACATTTATAGTAAACACATGCTAACTAAGGTGATGTTTCATTGGCGGGAACAAAAAAAACTGAAAGTAAAATAACATTTTATGTAAACATATGCTAACTAAGGTGATGTTTCATTGGCATCCAACACAAACGAACAAAACTTTCTTTACTCCATCGTCAACTGTTGTTTTACTGTTCGTCAAACGAAGGAACTATTACTACTGTTTTCTGATATCGGATACTCCCCCCCGGAACCTTCACAGAGTGACGTATTAGATGGCGATTGTTTGTAAACGAATTGCTCTCCAACTTGAAGGAGTGGCGCGAGTTTAGCTGCCGTTTCGAATATCTAGAAATAAATTAGATTAGTGGGATTGACTTGTACATCTCGGGATGGCAGTCAAGATGCTGAGGTTATTGAGGTTCCATACAGAGGCGTAACTAGAGGGTGTATTATCATATATTCAGTTGTGCCCTACTGATTTCTTTTTAAAATTCAAATCACTTTCAAAAGAAATCAGTAGGGCACAACGGAATATATAAATATGCCACTCCCCCCCCCCCTATTTAACGTTCTAGTTATGCCTCTGGTTACATGGCGGGATGAAGATGGCGTTATCTATTTAAAGAAACAATCAAATATGAAATATTCATGCTATAAATTATGTCTTGTAAAATTCAACAGTCAAATCTTTAAACTTAGTGTCATTCACCACAGGAAATTTCAGGAATTTGAATTTGAAAACATTGCTGTCCACATTGTACCTTTGTATCAATACGGTTCCCTTTTCCTTCTCGTTTCATGGCGTCCAGTCTCCTCTCGTAGCTCGCAAACTGTTTCGCCGCATTTCGTCTCTCTTTTATTTTATACAACAACACACAGTAGTTAAGGCAAATGGCGGGATCTTCTCTGGCAAAAATAAAAATTGAACTTGGATGTTGTTCATCTGAGAATACTACTCATAAACGTATTTTTGATTTTTGAACTATCAATTGGTGAAACTTATGAAATAGAACAAAGGATGTATGAATAGGACAAATGAACCGTTTTCCAACTTAAACTGAAGTAGGTAATATTTTCGTGTTCTAGCATTATACGAAAATCATCCCTAATCAAATGTCTAAAGAAATTTATCTTAGAACACAGAATTATTACCCTGAAATAACAAGAATGATTAGAATAACTTATAACGATTAATAATCAGTGCTAAGTTAATAAAACAAGTAAAGATATAAATATAATGACGATGATAAAAAAAAAGATAAGCTACGTAGTTAATGATAATGATGATGATATTTAGAAATAGTTATAAGAATATATACTTGTCAAAAAGTATGGCTTGCTCGTACGCTTTTTTTGCGTTCTCTGAATCATCCAAGTGCGTCAAAGCCACTACAATCAAAATACGTTAATGCTCCAGTCAAAAAACAAAACCGCAAAAGTAAAAAGCATTTCAATGCGCATGCGTATTACCTGCTAGTAACATAAACAGTTCACCGTTTCTCGGTTGGAGAGACAACGCTCCGCTTATAAAATGAAAGGCTGAAGCAAATCTTAAAAAAAGGGAGAGAAAGATATTAAAGATATCAGCGAGAAAAAGCTCTCCCTAAAGTCTAATTTCCACTTGGTGGAATTCCCCGTGCGCAAAGTCAAATTTGCGAAATGATTGGTTGTCGAAAAATAATGTCGACATCTACAAATCACACCCGTTATCAGGTATTACGCGTTGAATTTCCCGCCTCGTGGAAAATAGCCTTAAAAGCAGGCGATTGACGATAACTGCTTGTGAATTATGTCTAAAAGCGATATACACGTTGCTTTCGAGGTATTTGTGCTTTTCTTTGAAAAAGAGTTGTGAAAACATACTGATGTATGGTGATATGAATCAAGCCAAGATTGTAGAAGATTTTCCATTCAAATGGAGCCAAGTAAGCGGCTCTTTTTAAGCAACTGATTGCCTATAAATTAAAAAAAAATGGTGGATGAATAAAAAATAATGATTCTTCAGCAAATGAAGAGGTGGCCATTCGGGGAAGGTGTGAACATTCGGGGAAGGTGTGGACATTCGGGGAAGGTAGAGAGGATGTACGCTTAACTAGAGGGGAATCAGGGGATGAATGGATAATATCTTGGAGGACAAACAACAACAAGAGCTTTTTGAAAGATAGGAGTAAAACTTAGGTTAGAGGCCTAATGAAAAAAGTGACTTCAACTCCCCCCTCAACCCGTCAAGATTAGAGGTGAAAGAACCTTACAGCAATGTGTTTTTTCTTTCCAAAGAAGCACATCCCAATATTGTTCCACAGTTGTGCAGACTCGGGTGTAGCAGCGGCTGCTACCCGATACTTGGTGATAGCAACATCGTAATCACCGTGTGTCTGAATGATTGAGCCAGCTGCGAGAATTGCCTGTAATATGATGAGCAAATTTTCATGATTTGCTCGAAAAGTATTTGAGTGAGTGGCTGTAAAGCGGTGTGAAAAGACCACCTTAGAAAAAGTATGTAAGTGGATATCTGGTATTAAAGGGACTCCTTAGAAAAAGTAGGGTTGTAAGTGGATACCTGTTGTTAAAGGGATTCCTTAGAAAAAGTAGGGTTGTATGTGGATACCTGTTGTTAAAGGGATTCCTTAGAAAAAGTATGGTTGTATGTGGATACCTGCTGTTAAAGGGATTCCTTAGAAAAAGTAGGGTTGTATGTGGATACCTGTTGTTAAAGGGATTCCTTAGAGAAAGTAGGGTTGTATGTGGATACTTAAGTGTTGAAGTAGATACCTTAGAGAAAGTAGGATCATAGGTCAACGCATTACCAAGGTGTTCAAATGCTTTTTGCGTTTGTCCAACCTGAGATAAAAAGATGAGAAACATTTCAATGATTTCAAAGCACGTCTATCCGAAGGATTTATAGATTTTATTGCTATGCACAAACCTCGAGATACAGCAGTCCAAGTGTCGTCATTAAGTCAGGTTTTTCAGGTGAATGACTTTGTTGTAAAAAAGAAATTAGGAATTTTCAGAAAGAAAGCTGTATATTTCTATGAAAGTACAGCTAAATGAACGACAATCTCCTTTTATCATAAGAATCTTGAACTTACTCCACTGCTTGTTTATAAACTTCAATGGCAGAGTTCACGTCGTTTAACAAGAGATGAACTTTCGCTAATTGTACGTAAGATGTGTCATGGCGGCTAATTTGAAGGGCTCCCTTTAGCGAAGTCATGGCCTAAAATGAAACACACTGAATTTCAAACAAGTTTTAGCCGGAAAAAAGTATAGCCTGTTTGTTGAATTATGAAAACAGCAGCAATAACGACTGCTATGTTTTCTTCCTTTTATCTATCCCATCGACTACATTCCATCTTCACTCTCACAGGATAAGGTTGAATGAGATTTTAGTGGTGGTATACGATTGACGGTTTGCAGATAAATTCACAATTAAAATATGGAACGTTTTTACGCTTTACTTCAATCATGCATCAACAAATCTTACATTTTCATAATCTTTAAGATACATGTAACAGACACCTGAGAAAAAGAATAAACTTGTACAGATGTTACAAACATATGTGATTGTAGCGTTCTTATATTACATCGCGCACTGTAACCTGTCATACCTTGATTATGGAAAATTTCCTAGAAAAGAAGGAGAGGAAAATTTTGATCGAAAGCTCGTTCATACAATCGAACGGATAAAGATTGTTATTGAAAGTTGAAATTATTCATAAAACTATACATGGCGATTGCGTAAAAAAAAAAGAAAGATGACATAAAAGCTATCCAACAAAACACGATGCTGTCCAACAAAACACGATGCTATCCAACAAAACACGATACTATCCAACAAAACACCATGCTATCCAACAAAACACCATGCTATCCAACAAAACACCATGCTATCCAACAAAACACGATGCTGTCCAACAAAACACGATGCTATCCAACAAAACACGATGCTATCCAACAAAACACGATGCTATCCAACAAAACACGATGCTATCCAACAAAACACCATGCTGTCCAACAAAACACGATGCTATCCAACAAAACACCATGATATCGTGCAAAACACCGTGCTATCCAACAAAACACCATGATATCCAGTAAGACACCATGCTATCCAACAAAACACGATGCTATCCAACAAAACACGATGCTACAGTACCGCTCGCGTATTTGTTAACATAATTTTGCGTATGATACGCGTATCATACGCGTATCGTTCTCGTATCATACGCGTATCTTTCTCGTATCATACGCGTATCGTTCTCGTATCATACGCGTATCGTTCTCGTATCATACGCGTATCGTTCTCGTATCATACGCGTATCATTCTCGTATCATACGCGTATCCTTCTCGTATCATACGCGTATCGTTTCATTTTATACGCATGTCTTTCTCGTGTCATACCCGTATTACTTTCTTAATATTCTCGTATATGGTTTCAACACGTGCGTATCTACGTCTGCAATCTCTGATAGTGTCCGTATTGAATGAATAGTGGTTTCATGCGACAAAACATTTTTTTGCCGTACGATACGCGTATCGCGTATATCGTATTTTACTCCTTTGAGCGCTGAAACTAAATCTCTAAAATTTACAGAGCACCGCGCTCAAACGATTTATTATGATATGGCTTTTTGCCAATTGCCTATAAAGTCTATCAAGTGACAGTTGGCTATTCTGTATTTCTCGAGTAGACGAGGAACTTTGTTGTGAATGTGAATTTACAACGTAGTTGGATTCGATTGTTGATGTTGCAAGATGCACATCCATATAAGCATGTTATTAATAAACGTGTATTCTATTCGTATGAATCGAATCGTATTTTAATAAAAGGCACGTTTCGTCGTGATATAATAAACGCCTTAAATAAAACATTAAAGTCGATAAGAAAATATTACACAGATTTCTGAAAGTACATAAAACATTAGCTTTAAATGTTGACCAAAATTTATCCTGAAAAAATAGTGAAATAACATAGAATTCCATACCAGGTATATTACGTAAGCAATATAAAAAAAAAACCAACGAAATCGTTAACAATTTGAAAGCAAAATTGCTGCTCATTACGATGAACAAAGTTCTATCAAGTATCACAGCGTTTCATCCTCGTATCATACGTACGCTTATCCTTCACGCATTATACGCTCATCATACCCGTATCCCTTTCGTATCATACGCGTATCGTTCTCGTATCATACGCGTATGTTTTTCGTATGATACGCATATGATACGCGTAGCGTATGTTAACAAATACGCGAGCGGTACTGTATCCAACAAAACACGATGCTATCCAACAAAACTCCATGCTATCCAGCAAAACACCATGCTATCCAACAAAACACCATGCTATCCAGCAAAATTTCACGCTATCCAACAAATACCAATTTATAGTGCATCGAATCAACAGCAAATGCAATCTCCTTTCTTACCCAGTCTTCGGCATTTAATTTTGAAGCTTCAAGGTATACTTCCAATGCTGCTTTATGTCGTGCTAGCAAAAACCTACATTGCAGTGATGAAAAAATGTTGGTAAGCTCTGTCAAAACAAGGCCTGTGTTTCATGTTGATAAATGTTGTCAATATTCCACAGTTCTACTTACAATGATCGTGCAACTTGTTTCAAGTTGTCTATGTTGTGAGGATTAATCTGTACTGTTCTTTGAAACAGCTCCAACGATTCTTCAATTTTTCCTTCTTCCCGCAGAAGAAGAGCTAGAATTTTGTGGATTATAGATATGTTTAGAGGTAATCTGAGATAAGTATTAAACGAGGATTATGGTGAAAGTGAATCACAACATTTCATTGAACAGAAGTGGAGGGCAGACTACAAGGATTAGATAGGATAAAGGATTAGATAGGATAAAGGATTATGGTGAAACTGAGTCACAACTTTTCCTTGAACAGAAGTTGAGGGCCGACTACAAAGAGGATTAGATAGGATAAAGGATTAGGCAGGATAAAGGATTAGATAGGATAATGGATTAGATAAAAATATAGATCAGATAAAGGGCGAGAAAGGTTTATATAATTTTTATATTAACAAACCTTGTATATACAATGCATATTCACACATTCCTTGACTTTCCTTTAGTTGTTCATCAATAAAAAACTAAAACAGCGATATTTACTTGTATAGTCAATATTTCACGATGCATTTCACAATAATTTTACTTTTCACTTACTTTACATTTCTCGATATCTTTGCGTACATAGTGTAAATGTATTAACCAGTTCCGTCTTTCATAAATAGGGAGTTCTGGAGCTGAGAAAACAAATGAATTTCACCCAGCAATTCAATAGACTATACACTGCACACACAACTAACAGACTAACAGTAGCACAAGCTTGTTTCCAAATTACTAGTTTTAAGTTTTGGCTACAACAAAACTCTTTATATTCGATACATTACACACCTTTTACAGCTCTTCTCTTTGGTTTGGCTGGTGGTTTTAGAGTTCCAGTGCTTTTATTAGGCAAATCAGCGTAGAGCTCTTCATTTCGTCCGGCTGAGCTTCCAACATGAGTGCTTATACTGTCGTCACTTGACGATGCGTTTGCGGAATAATCGGCTTGTCTATCACCCTCTAAAGCATATCCAATCGAAGTCGGCTTTTGCATTGTGTTTAAACGGTTTCAATGGAAAAGAAACTGCCTTTTGCACACTTTTAATCATTCGGTAGAATTTTGGCGTCCATGTTGTTATCAGTGATTGTTGTTATGGGGGCAATAACGCGTGGGTGACACGCGCGGTTCGCCCACGCGTAAAGAGCACATGAGAGGGGAACACGCGTGAGGATTTCTGAGACACTGTGATATTCAGATTCATAGGAACAAGCAAATTGATATAAAAACAAATCACTTTATTTTTTTATATATGAACGAAAAAGAAGATTTCTAAATTTTAGTTTAACAGCTTTGATAATGAACACTCAAAAACAGTCCTTCTCAGGACTTTATTAACCTGGACGATCATCATTTACAAACATATAACTTTATTTATAGTTGAATTTACACTTGACAAGGTACTTCATCTTGATCTAGAGTGGTGGAAAAAATACGAATAAAATGTGTTAAATAAGATGTACATCACAGCAGTAATGATAAAAACGATAAAAGTTTAAAATTGAAGTACCTGGTTCGTATTGTAAACAATATACTCTAGAAAAAAAAAAAAATAAACAATCACGATTTTCTCCAAACAAATCCTTACTAAATATAGGTACAACGCGTTCTTCAGTTGTAGAACCAAATGGATCGACTTACCGTTATAGTTTAATGTGTAGCCATTTGGATTTTTTATACCAGTCTCCGTCTCTTTACCCAAAGGAACGACTGTTCCGGTAGCTCTAAAGAGTATCAATATTTGTTCTATTATGCTGTTTATCACCTACACTTAATAATTGTGCCGGGAATAATGTATGTTGAAATTGAATAATTCACCAATTAGAACCTTGCTTGAAGAAAACATTACTATAGTACTTACAACTCCAGGTCTTCTTTTGGATCAGGGGCAATGTTCCCGCATCCTTTAACACTATGAAAGCCTTCAGGCAGTTTCTCCGCGTCATAGTCGGCACTTAACAAATCATTGGTCTTCCCAAGAGAAACCTGAAAATGCGGGAAGTTAAAAAATGTAAGGACTGATCACATGACTAAAACTTTGCAGCACGTGTAACATGTGTAAGATTGATCACATGACTAAAACTTTGCAGCACGTGTAACATGTGTAAGACTGATCACATGACTAAAACTTTGCAGCACGTGTAACATGTGTGTATGGTCGGTGTGAACGCACCTCGCTCAGGAGCAAAATTCCCGTATTTTGTCTACGGTTCGTGAAACAATAGTTTGCACTTTTTGAACACATGTCAGCGAAGTAAACGCCTTTGCCAAACTATACAAATCAGCATAAAATATGTCATAAAATTGTGAAGATTTACAATTTGGAGGGAGGGGGAGGCATATTTATGTATGGATTCTATAATCCGTAGAAAACAATAGTTTTCAAATAAACGGCATATCATATATTATATGAATTCAGTACTCCCTTCCCAAATATCCATCTTCCTACCTCCATGAAAAATATATAAGATTCAAGAACGATTTAATTAAGGTTAGATTTCGAAGAAACGATAGTGAATAGCTTACCATGTATCCAGTGACCGGTGCTTCCGGTGGCGCTATACGTAAACCCTGTTTTAATATGCCTACCCAGTTTGTCAAACGCGAACCATGCCAGAGAAGTTTTCTTGAAGAAATTTCAAAAGAGATTATATTTTTAAAGTAAGCTGACTGTTAACTGGAAGATAAGATGAAATTTCAAGGAAAGACCAATCTAAAGCAGTTTTTCTTTTTAATTATACACCGAAACACGTCAATCTTGCTAACAATTGTTACGAGGATTGCTAGTATTTATGTATGTTGTACGTAGTGACTATTCATTTACCTGTTTCCGTGGTCAATGAAGTTTGAATGAGTAGGATGATGAATCTCAAAAACATCTTCAATAGTGAGAGAATAATGACAGTGAGTCTTTGCATGCGTGTTTTGTACAAACTTCTCTATCATCTAAAGAAAAACGTAGTGTAGATGTCTTGAAATTTGTCAACAATTAATCATACAAGTAAAATCACAGATTCAATTTTAAAAGAAACATGAAATATTTTAGCATTGAAAATTATTTCTATAAAAACAGTCTCGCAAGTTGTGAAAAAAACATGGAAGTTTTTCGACAATCTTCCACCCGACCTGAAAGTCTGTGTTGGTTTTATCCAGAGGAGAGAGTTGACAATTAAGAGCTTTGTAATGACTATCGATTGGATTTTCATCAAGCTCTTCTTTAAGAACCGTCATCGCAATCTCAATGTTGCCCAAAGTCTAAAATACCAACATAAATAGTGAATTTGGACGAGTTGCTCGCAAAGTAAAATATATTATTATGCAATTTTTCAATATTTCACAATTCCAATACGCAGAACTGAGCGTTTACAATAAAGATCTAAAGAAATTATTTACTTCTAGAAGTTGGACTTTTAACTTCACTTCTTCTTTTGTCTTTATCATTGGCGGTTGTCTCATTCTGAACAACAACAATTAAAACAGACATACTTATTGTATTCAAACAAGAAAAAAAGCAACAAAAAGCATGTCTTCAACTGCAGTAAAAAACTCACCCAAAGCAATGCGGAATTTTTGTATAGAATTCATTGCAGGCCTCGACGAGCGTTGATCCTAAGTCACCTTTTGAAATGCATTCATCTATCAACTTGAGAGAGGAATAACCGGCTTTTATTTGTTCTTTCGTTAACTTTCCTGTGCGTCGAAATAAGAGAAATATGGAGGTAAACAATTAGAATTTTACTCTCAAAGAATCGCTCCTTCAACTTTTTGCACATCCGTATTGAAAACAAGCAGTTTTGCAAAACCCGGAAAACAGAAACTGTTAATTATAATATTTCGTTGTAAATGAACAAATTAAGATCAAAGCTGTAAATCAATTATAAAAAATCCTATGCATACTGAAAGTTTAAGAAAATTTATTTATTTAGAACGAAGTCATTGCTTGATATATTTTGAAATGTGTGTTGTATCAAATTATGACTTTATTCGTAATAACTTCCACCAAACAATCATATCGACTTACAAAAAAAATGATTTCTCAAATTACATAAACAGACTAAAGTCTTGACTTAGAATACACAACTTTTAACAACGAAAAACTAAACTGTACCAAGTGGTGCTATATTAGTGTCATATTTCATCTCTTTAACAGTTTCTTCCATAGTTTTTACGTTACATATCAATTCAATCAATGTCTGAAAACAAATAACAAACGAGGAGATAAGGAAAAAACGTGATTCAATGAAACGGCAAGTGACTTTGGTCAAATTGTTTTTAACTCAATTCTCATACCTGTAATTGTGTGTCCAACTTGCTTTCAATCTTTTCAACTTTTGGTTTTTGTTCACACAATATTGGCGCGTCTGTTTCATCCTTGTCCTTACATTGCAAATATTTCATCAAATTAAATGCATTGAATCATGGGAAGACTTGCAACATTGCAAGATCAAATTAAATGCATTGAATCATGGGAAGATTTGCAACATTGCAAGATCAAATTAAATGCATTGAATCATGGGAAGATTTGCAACATTGCAAGATCAAATTAAATGCATTGAATCATTGGAAGACTTGCAACATTGCAAGATCAAATTAAATGCATTGAATCATGGGAAGATTTGCAACATTGCAAGATCAAATTAAATGCATTGAATCATTGGAAGACTTGCAACATTGCAAGATCAAATTAAATGCATTGAATCATGGGAAGATTTGCAACATTGCAAGATCAAATTAAATGCATCGAATCATGAAAAGATTTGCAACATTGCAACTCAATACTTGAACTTTCTAGGTGATGATTTCAAGCATTTATAGTTTATTTTTGCTTGAATTGCCGTGTCTCCGTGTGGTAATTGTAAAGGTTGTTTTATAATGCATATAATTAAGTCTTTTTGAGGTTTTTTTAGATTATCAAACCGAAATCATACCTCAGCATTGTAGTCAACGATTATCAAGTTGTATTTTCCAGGAAATTTCTCGAAAGATTCCTTATCTTCCCACTTATTTTTCGTCTTTTCATAAAATCTGATAAATGTGCGATACAAATCATAGAGTAAATGGTTTGAAACATGTAACAAACATGTAACAAATCATAGAATTCTACAATTCCTATTTACAACAAATGAATTTGATGAAAAAATTTCCCCAAGAAAAGCGTACAGGTGCTTACTTCCTTTCGAAAGCCTTCTTAGCCTCCTCGAGGTTTCCATCAAAACTTGTCAAGCTGTTTTGTCCTGAATAACCGACTACAAAAGGTTCATAAAAAAAGATTAATAAAACTATAAAGAATTAACGAACTTATGTCAAACCCAAACGAGCCGCAAATTTTCAAGAAACATTTACAACAACATATTCAGAATGCAGATGCTGCTAGCTATAATTACATAGCTATGTACCTCTTCCCCATTTAAACCATACATGATATCTGTCACTCGATATATCTTTAAGTAATTGCATCTGATAATATTTGTTTTTGTTATTCTCGACGTTGGTCTAAGGAAAAGTAAAATAAAAATCAGAAAAAAACTTACCAGTAAGGACTTCAGCAAGCAAATAACATTACAACTGAGGTTCAGCCATAACCTACGTACACAACACGCATGTCTGGGGGCTAAAAATTAGTTTTAGTGGAACGTAGCAATCCAGTTTCTTAATCAGTAGATCAGTTAACGGTTGATCGTAAACCTAACCTTTAAGTCACTGCTTTTATTTTTTTAATTTTAAGACTTTGAAGAGTAAAAATAAATATTTCAGTTGCATTGTCGTTGATTTGTATTTCGGTATCCTCGTACATTACCTGGTTCAACATGGCATCCCAGATCAAATCGCCTTCGCAAAACACCTCCACCTGAAATAAAAGAGTTGAAAAACTAGTGAAGACTTTCTTTCTTTGCCGGTTACAGCAGACTAAGTTACGTAAAGATGCCGAATAATCAAAACTCGCCTTGTCTTTGATAGAGCATGCGTCGTCGACAAGTGTGTTGAAATTTACCATTCTTTAGGCTTTATTTAACTTTAAAACACAACTTAAAATGCTACAAACAATAATATGGCGGATAAACATATGAATGAGTACCGCTGGTCATAAAGTACCGCAGATAGTGGCACAAGGAGCACCCGCTTCGTCTTTACTTTACTTTACGCTCCGTACTTTACCGGCTATTAGCCACGTCTCACAAGACGAATTGGGTGCAAGGAGACCAATACCACAGAATAGATACATACAGAAGGGCCACTCATTGAGTTCTATAAGACCTGGAGGGGAAACGTCAACTAAATTACTGTAAATTATCAGCGCGCGGCCGCGTGGTCAAAAACATGGCGGATTTTGGTTGTCAAAGTCAGCGGAAAGGCGCGGGCTCATAAAATGAAATTTTTTTCGCCCACCCGGATTTGACAACCACAATTGCGATTATATAAAATATCAATGCCAAGCACAAAAACTTTAGAAATTTTGTCTTAAAAACATGCTGCAAACTTGTTTGGTATACGGATGCTGAAGTAATGCCAGAAAAGGAAACATTTTATGACACCGGTAAGCAACGTAAGATTGTTTACTATTTAAAGTGTTCAGTGTTTTGTTTTAAGTCAATACTTGAAGTGTGATGGCATATATTTTGTGAATGTTTTTACTCCTAAGTTATAATTTAAGTTATGTTTATCCAGTCTTATTTGTTCTTTACTTAATCGATTGCTGGACGAGGCAAAGCAACCAGTTCTTATCGAGATATGCATATCTTAAAACTCCTTGTTTCAACTGAGTTGAAATGGAGGATTTTTTCATGATATTTTTCTGAAAATATGAAGCAAATATTAAGGACAGAGCTGTATTGAAATCAAATGCAGTGCAGGATTAATTAATGAGCTCTTTGGTACATGTCGTACAATAAAAAATACCTTTATTAAACAGCAAGCCTGGACAATTTGACAGATTTGGACAAGCATGATGATGGTGTGTAAAGGTTTGCTTTATGCTAAAAGTTTTATAAATGCCAACTGGTGTTTCTGTAAATGAATTGTTTGTTACACAGTGTAGTAAACAGGTTAGTACATCAAAATCAAGATAAAAACTACTTTGTTCAATGTGCCAAATTTTGCTCCTACCTTGAAATATTTGCTCAAGAAAAGCTTATCATGACATGCATGAAACGTTAAATACAGTACTGCATCATCTGACAAAATCCATATTTTTCAATTCCAGGTGATTAAAATTCACATAAGATGCATTGGTTGCAATGAAGTTGAATGTGGAAGAAGCAAAATTGATGGCAAAGAACTTTTATGTCTTTGAAGAATTACGATATCATTTAAAAGAATAAGAGTAGCAATGTAGTAAAAGAAGCCACATGCCTTCAACATGAGACTTTTTCAATTATGTATAGTTACTTTGTACAAAATACTATTTTAGATAAACTTGATTTTTAAGTCATTCACTGATATTTTTACCAAAAGACAAAACAAAATTCAAAGGCATAATGTAAAATTCAAAATTTGTCAAGTTGTTTGAACCTAGAAAAATTAGTATAGGTAACTGTAATTTGTAAGGACACAAAAGAAAAGTAGTGCAAGAAGGTTAGCATTTTTGAGAATTAATAAGTTCTTGACATACATTACACAAGGCCATAATATTATAAATAATGTCTGTATAATTGTTATTATGCTAAATATCTTCACCTACATTATAATTATTTAAACAAGTTTGCCTTCATGCAGCAATAAGAAAAGTGTTATTTCAGAGAAACCAATGCACTTTGATTTAAGAAATAGTATTTTCAATGGGAAATTAATGTAGTTCTGTTCAGTAGTAGATCCATGGTTGTCAATAACAATCCAGTTTCTAATATCTTGGCTCAAAACAGAACCAGCAACATGATTAGAGAATTTCTGAATTTCGTTCTTTTGCTCTCCTAGTTCAAGATATTTTCCTCATAAGTTCTCAGTAGATTTATCAGAACATCATAATACTTTATAAGACACCCAGAATCAATCCTACCAAAAAAAACTCAAAAAAATTACATACCTACTAATAATATATTTCCAGTCGACTTAAGTCGTAGGGTAAGCTAACTTTTCCAACTCCTTTTGGACATTTTACTAAGATTTACCCATCTATTCAAGAAAGACAGTTGCACCAAGCTGTTCACAAACAGTCAAAACACAAGTAATGCGCATGGGATTATGCATTAAAGCTTAACACACATTGACAGTGTAAAGATTGCCGTTTGATATTTATTTCTAATATAGCTAAAGCATTACTTGAAAAAATATACGTTATGTTACAGTAGATTTACCTCATTTAAATGTGTGTGTCTATTTCACAAAAACCAGAAGCATTATTTCAATATTTTATGCTTACGGTATCGTGGTTGTTTTCGCTGGTTGTCATTACTATGAGCAGTGTTAGAGTTCCGGTTTCGGGAGGGAGCGAATGTTAAAAATTTTTCTCAAAGTGGAAGTTTTGACAACCAAAATCCGCCATTACCGCCATGTTTTTGACCACGGGGTCCAGGCCCCTTTGCCCCTCCAGGTCTTATAGAGCTCAATGGGGCCACTTCGCGAAAAATACGGTCCTAAATTTTAATGCGCATGCGCCACTTCCGCCATGTTGGCAGCAAGATAAACTTGCTACACTAAATAAGGGTAGCAGTGTACAACTCAAAAATCTTGGCGTTATTACTTGAAAAGTTGAAATATTTATCCTGAGACGACCAAATCAAAGCTGTGCTGAAATGGGAACATACAATCAACATATTTTTATGCTTTTTCATGTACAACCAATGTGTACAATTCTATCGAGACCTGTATGAGAAATGCTGTGCCGTGGCCGTGTAGTCAAGGTTATTCGTATTTATTTATTTGTAAAGAACGGAAGCGGAGAAGCGCTTAACGAACGTCTTTAAATCAGAAACAAGAAGGAACTATGTGAAATTTATCAACGGACAGGCTACACTAAAAAAGATATTTCGTATGACATTGGATTTGGTGCTTTAGAATTCAGACAAATTTAGTCATATCCCGAACACTCGATAAATGTTCATTGAGAAATTGCAAACTTGTTCAATTGTATTTAATGCCAATGCCATATTGTATTGGGAAAATTCTTATATTGTATGATTGTAGCTAACTTCCAGATGCTCTTAACTATATGTTTCTTATATTTGTCATGTTTTAGATAATTTAAAGTATTGATTCCGTTGTAAGGAAATAAAATTGTCCTCTTGCTTCTATTGATATATATATATTGTTATTTTCGTTACATCGCTGTCGCTGCATTAATTTTCAGATTAATTTTCAAGTTAAATATGCTGCACAAATATTCAGCCACACCCTTGCTGCATCGATTTGCACATATTCATCAATTGGAGCACTACCACCATCAGCCATGGGTACAGCTGAGTTGCTTTTCAAATTTGATTCGCTTTTCGATTGCCTCAATAGTTCCACACTGAAATCAGCAAAAGAACAAAGAAGTGCAATAAGCAACAGCAATACTCACATTGCTTTTCTCAAAGAAGCAATGTCCTTTATCCAGGGAATCAAAGTGGTAAAAGATGGTAAAAACATCACAGGCAGAATCAAATCACTGAAGGGATGGCTTATATCTATAAAGGCCATTATCTGTCTCTGGACCTATCTTCATGCCTCACATAATTTTGCATTCTTGCTTACCAGAAGATTAAACACAGATGCTCTAGAGAATTTTTGGAACAATACCAGCAAGGAGGTAATTCTGACAATCCCACGCCAATACAATTTATCAGAGCTTTCAAAGGTTTTTAGTTCACTTTTGACCTCTTCCAAAGGAAACTGTTCTAAAGATATGGACACTCTGCTAACACAATTTTCAAAAAAAAAGCCCAAACCACTTAGTATGCCACTTACCCATGCAAAAGCTCCAAGTAACTCACTGTTGATTGGTGAAAATGACTACCGAGAACAAAATATTGGCAACAATTTATTGCTCAAAAATGCTGCTGCCTATGTTTCAGGATATTTGCTAAGCAAAGCTTTCAAAATCCACAGCTGTCTCCAATGTAAGAACGTTTTGACTTCAAATAACATAAACAATGATGGTAATTTGCTTTGCTATTTCAAGGCATATAAAGAACTCAACTTTGGTGAACTGACTGCTCCTTCATCGTGCTATTTAAATTACATTATGCAACTTGAAGACACCTTCGTGGATTGCTTCTCAGTCACAACCAATTGCAATTACAATTACAATTACAATTACAATTACAATTACAATTACAATTACAATTTCTTTGGTTAACATATCAAAGATAAACAGTTCTTCACCTTCTTTGAGTGTTGTTGTTTTCATTTCGTGCTTAACTGCCGCATCAAGATGCCTATGGCTATTTGCAGAAAATGTTTTCGAAATGGAGGAGTTTGTTTTCCATTGCCAAACATCTAGAAACAACGAGATATAGCAAAGTTGTGACCATGGTTTATTTTGCTACATGAGAGGATAAAGAGCATGTTTCCAAAATGGTCTGTGTGGGAATATAAGAGGATAAAGAGCATGTTTCCAAGATGGGCTGTGTGGGAATATAAGAGGATAAAGAGCATGGTTTCCACAAGGTCTTCATTGACTTAAGACAAGATAAAGAGCATGGTTTCCACCAGTGTAAAATGCAAAATACCTTAATTTACGACACTGCAGTACAATAAGAACATGGGTCAGCTATCTGTTTTCATTTAGATTATCATAGCAAATGGGACTACATACATTTATCATCAACGTTGACATCTTCTGGTTTACACCTTACAGCAACTTCCCAACCCGTCTTTTTATTACGCTGGACCATTCTTTCAAAGATAACTGATTGTTCTGAACGTGGCATCTTGATGTCCATGGTTTTTTCACCACAAGAAAAAGCTTGTGAAATATTTTTTTTCTGTGTTAGATCATATGGTTTCCACTTGCCTTTGCCGTAACCATATTCCCATTCTCTTTTGATGAATATATATCATTAATGTCTTTATCTTTCTTTATTTTCTTGCCTGTGTTGGAATTTCGGTCTAAAAAGTAATTCTACAAATGAGTTGGGAATACAATAATGACTACATATGTAATGCCATGCATTTCAAAAAATATTGCTTTTTCCAGAATATAAAGTGAATATATGAATTTTTCTCCCCCCACCCCAAGCCAAATTACGTATCAAGCTGGCTTTGTGTCTGAGGTGGGCTATGTAGCCACAAAGACTCAAAAGTTGGTCGCATATAGACGATCCAAGTTTAATTTGATGGCCAAATTATTGGAGGGCTATAATTCAGCCTACCCATCACCCACTGGCTCTGTGATGTTTTGGGGGAGACACTTGACTTGTTTTTTTTATGTCAGTTCCTTCAGCAGAGAAATCTGCTCACACACAAATAATTGCATGTGCCCAGGAGCACTTGTGAACTTATTAGGTACTCTCATGGACGTAAGTGGTAAATATATATGTAATATTTTATAATGCAACAGACAAAAGGACCAATGGTATAAAAATTTGGTGATTTTGAAAACACAGACAGCGTCGTTGTTAAGCATAGTGTGCTCTGATTGGTACAATTCATAAATGATACAACTATCATTAATTCATTATTACACACCATCATCTTTGGGCTTTTGTTTTGTCGACATGACTTTTGAATTTATCTTACAATTTTGTAGTGCTGTTCAATTTCAATTATTATGTTCCATGTATCTTTCGATTTTACTAAAATTTCAACATAAAGTAAACATTTCTTTCGTTTTCACCACAGCCAACGTTCAATGTACCCACAATTCCTACTATGTCCTTGGGGATTCATTCGGAATCTTCCCGCGAATTTTATTTCATAGAATTTTATTTCACACTGTGATATTCAGATTCATAGAAACAAGCAAATTCATATAAAAACACATCACTTTATTTTTTTATATATGAACGACAAAAACGATTTCTAAATTTTAGTTCAACACCTTTGATAATGAATACTTTATTTATAGTTGAATTTACACTTGACAAGATACTTCATCTTAATCTAGAGAGGTGGAAAAATGCGAATAAAATGTGTTAAATAAGATGTACACCACAGCAGTTATGATAAATACGATAAAAGTTTAAAATTGAAGTACCTGGTTCGTATTGTAAACAATATACTCTACAAAAAAAAAATAAAATAAATAAACAATCACGATTTTCTCCAAACAAATCCTTACTAAATATAGGTACAACGCGTTCTTCAGTTGTAGAACCAAATGGATCGACTTACCGTTATAGTTTAATGTGTAGCCATTTGGATTTTTTATACCAGTCTCCGTCTCTTTACCCAAAGGAACGACTGTTCCGGTAGCTCTAAAAAGCATTATTATTTATGCATAGTATTTGAAGATATTTTGTTCTATTATGCTGTTTATCACCTATACTTAATAATTGTGCCGGGAATAATGTATGTTGAAATTGAATAATTCACCAATTAGAACATTGCTTGAAGAAAACATTACTATAGTACTTACAACTCCAGGTCTTCTTTTGGATCAGGGGCAATGTTCCCGCATCCTTTAACACTATGAAAGCCTTCAGGCAGTTTCTCCGCGTCATAGTCGGCACTTAACAAGTCATTGGTCTTCCCAAGAGAAACCTGAAAATGCCGGAAGTTAAAAAATGTAGGACTGATCACATGACTAAAACTTTGCAGCACGTGTAACATGTGTAGGACTGATCACATGACTAAAACTTTGCAGCACGTGTAACATGTGTAGGGCTGATCACATGACTAAAACCTTGCAGCACGTGTAAAATGTGTAGGACTGATCACATGACTAAAACTTTGCGGCACGTGTAAAATATGTAGGACTGATCACATGACTAAAACTGTGCAGCACGTGTAAAATATGTAGGACTGATCACATGACTAAAACTTTGCAGCACGTGTAACATGTGTAAGATTGATCACATGACTAAAACTTTGCAGCACGTGTAACATGTGTGTATGGTTGGTGTGAACGCACCTCGCTCAAGAGCAAAATTCCCGTATTTTGTCTACGGTTCGTGAAACAATAGTTTGCACTTTTTGAACACATGTCAGCGAAGTAAACGCCTTTGCCAAACTATACAAATCAGCATAAAATATGTCATAAAATTGTGAAGATTTATAATTTGGGGTGGAGGAGGCATATTTATGTATGGTTCTATAATCCGTAGAAAACATTAGTTTTCAAATAAACGGCATATCATACATTATACGAATATAGCACTCCCTTCCCAAATATCGATCTTCCTACCTCCATGAAAAATATATGGAGATAAGATTCAAGAAGGATTTAATTAAGGTTAGCTTTCGAAGAAACGATGCTGAAAAGCTTACCATGTATCCAGTGACCGGTGCTTCCGGTGGCGCTATACGTAAACCCTGTTTTAATATGCCTACCCAGTTTGTCAAACGCGAACCATGCCAGAGAAGTTTTCTTGAAGAAATTTCAAAAGAGATTTTATTTTTAAAGTGATGTGACTGTTAACTGGAAGATAAGATGAAATTTCACGGAAAGACCAATCTAAAGCAGTTTTTCTTTTTAATTATACACCGAAACATGTCAATCTTGCTAACAATTGTTACGAGGATTGCTAGTATTTATGTATGTTGTACGTAGTGACTATTCATTTACCTGTTTCCGTGGTCAATGAAGTTTGAATGAGTAGGATGATGAATCTCAAAGACATCTTCAATAGTGAGAGAATAATGACAGTGAGTCTTTGCATGCGTGTTTTGTGCATACTTCTCTATCATCTGGAGAAAAACATAGTGTAGATGTTTTGAAATTTGTCAACAATTAATCATACAACTAAAATCACAGATTCAATTTTGAAAGAAACATGAAATATTTTAGCATCGAAAATTATTTCTATATAAACAGTCTCGCAAGTTGTGAAGAAAACATGGAAGTTTTTCGACAATGTTTTATCTTCCACCCGACCTGAAAGTCTGTGTTGGTTTTATCCAGAGGAAAGAGTTGACAATTAAGAGCTTTGTAATGACTATCGATTGGATTTTCATCAAGCTCTTCTTTAAGAACCGTCATCGCAATCTCAATGTCGCCCAAAGTCTAAAATACCAACATATATAGTGAATTTGGACTAGTTGCTCGCAAAGCAAAATATATTATTTTGCAATTTTTCAATATTTCACAATTCTAATAAGCAGAACTGAGAGTTTACAATAAAGATCTAAAGAAATTATTTACTTCTAGAAGTTGGACTTTTAACTTCACTTCTTCTTTTGTCTTTATCATTGGCGGTTGTCTCATTCTGAACAACAACAATTAAAACAGACATACTTATATTCAAACAAGAAAAAAAGCAACGAAAACCATGTCTTCAACTGCAGTAAAAACTCACCCAAAGCAATGTGGAATTCTAGTATAAAATTCACTGCAGGCTTCGACGAGCGTTGATCCAAAGTCACATTTTGAAATGCATTCATCTATCAACTTGAGGGAGGAATAACCGGCTTTTATTTGTTCTTTCGTTAATTTTCCTGTGCGTCGAAATAAGAGAAACATGAAGATAAAAAATTAGAATTTCACTCTCAAAGAATCGCTTCTTCAACTTTTTGCACATCCGTTTGAAACGCGTTTGATATTTGACTCATCTGTCACGAATGACAAATGTTGTTCAAAACATCCGCACACACTAGGAAGTTCTGTCGATCGCACTTGTCACGAATAACAAGTACGCGCGGCAAGTTCACCAGTGTGCGGCGGGCTTTAGAATACACAACTTTTAACAACGAAAAATTAAACTGTACCAAGTGGTGCTTTATTAGTGTCATATTTCATCTCTTTAACAGTTTCTTCCATAGTTTTTACGTTACATATCAATTCAATCAATGTCTGAAAACGAATAACAAACGAGGTGATGAGGAAAAAACGTGATTTAATAAAACGGCAAGTGACTTTGGTCAAATTGTTTTTAACTCCATTCTCATACCTGTACTCTCGTGTCCAACTTGCTTTCAATCTTTTCAACTTTTGGTTTTTGTTCACACGATATTGGCGCGTCTGTTTCATCCTTGTCCTTACATTGCAAATATTTCATCAAATTAAATGCATTGAATCATGAAAAGATTTGCAACATTGCAAGATCAAATTACATGCATTGAATCATGGGAAGATTTGCAACATTGCAAGATCAAATTAAATGCATTGAATCATGGGAAGATTTGCAAAACATTGCAAGATCAAATTAAATGCATTGAATCATGGGAAGATTTGCAACATTGCAAGATCAAATTAAATGCATCGAATCATGGGAAGATTTGCAGCATTGCAAGATCAAATTAAATGCATTGAATCATGGGAAGATTTGCAACATTGCAAGATCAAATTAAATGCATTGAATCATGGGAAGATTTGCAACATTGCAAGATCAAATTAAATGCATTGAATCATGGGAAGATTTGCGACATTGCAAGATAAAATTAAATGCATTGAATCATGGGAAGATTTGCAACATTGCAACTCAATACTTGAACTTTCTGGGTGATGATTTCAAGCATTTATAGTTTATTTTTGCTTGAGTTGCCGTGTCTCCGTTTGGTAATTGTAAAGGTAGTTTTATAAAGCATATAATTAAGTCTTTTTGAGGTATTTTTAGATTATCAAACCGAAATCATACCTCAGCATTGTAGTCAACGATTATCAAGTCATATTTTCCAGGAAATTTCTCGAAAGATTCCTTATCTTCCCACTTATTTTTCGTCTTTTCGTGAAATCTGATAAATGTGCGATAAAAATCATAGAGTAAATGGTTTGAAACATGTAACAAATGTTACATGTAACAAACATGTAACAAATCATAGAATTCTACAATTCCTATTTACAACAAGTGAATTTGATGAAAACATTTCCCCAAGAAAAGCGTACAGGTGCTTACTTCTTTTCGAAAGCCTTTTTCGCCTCCTCGAGGTTTCCATCAAAACTTGTCAAGCTGTTTTGTCCTGAATAACCGACTAAAAAAGGTTCATGAAAAAAGATTTATAAAACTATCAAGAATTAACGAACTTATGTCAAACCCAAATGAGCCGCAAATTTTCAAGAAACATTTACAACAACATGTTCAGAATGCAGATGCTACTAGCTATAATTATATAAAATGAATAGTCGTTTTGCTCCCATGTTTCATAAAAAGATATAAAACCGTTGCCTTCAAAATGTTGAACGAATTTTACTTGTCACTACACTTAAGATTATGTTTGTCACTTTCAAATACTGGAGAAAGAAATTTTTGCGAGTTATTTCGATTCACTCGCAAACAGCGAGTTATTTTATTCACTCGCAAACAACGAGTCACTTATTCACTCGCAAACTTCTCGCACTCGAGAGTGACTTGCAAATGCATCGCGAGTCACTCGCTCAATCGCAACTCGCCACTCTCGAGTGACTCGCAAGTCTCTCGTCATTTGATACTCGCGAGTCAAGTCATGTTACTCGAGGTTGGTACTGTAGCTATAATTACATAGGTATGTACCTCTTCCCCATTTAAACCATACATGATATCTGTCACTTGATATATCTTTGAGTAATTGCATTAGATAATATTTGTTGTTGTTATTCTTGACGTTGGTCTGAGGAAAAGTAAAATAAAAATCAGAAAAAAACTTGTATTTTCCAGTACATACCAATAAGGACTTCAGCAAGCAAATAACATTACAACTGAGGTTCAGCCATAACATATGTGCACAACACGCATGTCTGGGGGCTAAAAATTAGTTTTAGTGGTACATAGCAATCCAGTTTCTTATTCAGTAGATCAGTTAACAGTTGATCCTAAACCTAACCTTTAACTCACTGCTTTTATTTTTTAACTTCAAGACTTTGAAGAGTAAAAATAAATATTTCAGTTGCATTGTCGTTGATTTGTATTTCGGTATCCTCGTAAAGTACCTGATTCAACATGGCATCCCAGATCAAATCGCCTTCGCAAAACACCTCCACCTGAAATAAAAGAGTTGAAAAACTAGTGAAGACATTCTTTCTTTGCCGTTTACAGTAGACAAAGTTACGTAAATATGCTGAATAATCAAAACTCGCCTTGTCTTTGATAGAGCATGCGTCGTCGACAGGTGTTCGTCCTTTAAACATGACAAATTTTATAGATTCTTTATTGTCTTCTACGGTCGTCGCGTTTGATGTAACTTTTGACTTTGACTTTTTCTTTTTTGTTTCTTCCTTAGAAACAGGAGTAGTTGTGTCAGTTTTATCCTCTTTTTCTGTTGAAAATAAAGTGTTTATAAGAAAGATAACTTTTACATAGATTATGGACTAATAGATTATGGACTAACAGTTCAATCAATAACAAACCAGCAACATCCTCCGCAACATGTCTTAATTGACCTTTTTTCTTCTTCTTGCCAATCACAATTTCTTTGGTTAACATATCAATGATAAACAGTTCTTCACCTTCTTTGAGTGTCGTTATTTTCATTTCGTGCTTAACTGCCGCATCAAGATGCCTATGGCTATTTGCAGAAAGTGTTTTCCAAATGGAGGAGTTTGTTTTCCATTGCCAAATATCTAGAAAAAAGGCGATATAGCAAAGTTGGTGACCATGGTTTATCTTGCAACATGAGAGGATAAAGAGCATGTTTCCAAGATGGTCTGTGTGGGAATATAAGAGGATAAAGAGCATGTTTCCAAGATGGTCTGTGTGGGAATATAAGAGGATAAAGAGCATGCTTCCAAGACGGTCTGTGTGGGAATATAAGAGGATGAAGAGCATGCTTCCAAGATGGTCTGTGTGGGAATATAAGAGGATGAAGAGCATGCTTCCAAGACGGTCTGTGTGGGAATATAAGAGGATGAAGAGCATGCTTCAAGACGGTCTGTGTGGGAATATAAGAGGATAAAGAGCATGCTTCCAAGACGGTCTGTGTGGGAATATAAGAGGATAAAAGCATGCTTCCAAGGCGGTCTGTGTGGGAATATAAGAGGATAAAGAGCATGTTTCAGGACGGTCTGTGTGGGAATATAAGAGGATAAAGAGCATGTTTCCAAGGTCTGTGTGGGAATATAAGAGGATAAAGAGCATGCTTCAAGAAGGTCTGTGTGGGAATATAAGAGGATGAAGAGCATGTTTCAACGGTCTGTGTGGGAATATAAGAGGATGAAGAGCATGCTTCCAAGACGGTCTGTGTGGGAATATAAGAGGATAAAGAGCATGCTTCCAAGACGGTCTGTGTGGGAATATAAGAGGATAAAGAGCATGCTTCCAAGACGGTCTGTGTGGGAATATAAGAGGATAAAGAGCATGTTTCCAAGACGGTCTGTGTGGGAATATAAGAGGATAAAGAGCATGTTTTCCACAAGTGTAAAATGCAAAATACCTTAATTTACGAGACTGCAGTACAATAGGAACATGGGTCAGCTATCTGTTTTCATTTAGATTATCTTAGCATATCAAATGGCACTACATACATTTATCTTCAACATTGACATCTTCTGGTTTACACCTTACAGCAACTTCCCAACCCGTCTTTTTATTACGCTGGACCATTCTTTCAAAGATAATCGATTGTTCTGAACGTGGCATCTTGATGTCCAAGGTTTTTTCACCAGAAGAAAAAGCTTGTGAAATATTTTTGTTCTGTGTTGGATCATATGGTTTCCACTTGCCTTTGCCGTAACCATATTCCCATTCTCTTTTGATGAATATATCATTTATGTCTTTATCTTTCTTTATTTTCTTGCCTGTGTTGGAATTTGGGTCTAAAAAGTAATTCTATCAATGAGTTGGGAATACAATAATGAGTACATATTTACTGCAATGCATTACGAAAAATATTGCTTTTTACAGAATATAAAGTGAATATATGAAATTTGCTCCCCCCATCCCTAGCCAAATTACGTATCAAGCTGCCTTTGTGTCTGAGGTGGGCCATGGAGCCACAAAGACTCAAAAGTTGGTCACATATAGATGAAAGTTTAATTTTATGGCCAAATTATTGGAGGGCTATAATCCAGCCTCTCCATCACCCACTGGCTCTGTGATGTTTCGGGGGAGACACTTGACTTGTTTTTTTATGTCAGTTCCTTCAGCAGAGAAATCTGCTCACACACAAATAATTGCATGGGCCCAGGAGCACTCGTGAACTTATTAGGTACTCTCATGGACTAAAGTGGTAAATATAAATGTAATATTTTATAATGCAACAGACAAAAGGACCAATGATATAAAAATTTGGTGATTTTGAAAACACAGACAGTGTCGCTGTTAAGCATAGTGTGCTCTGATTGGTACAATTCATAAATGATACAACTATCATTAATTCATTATTACACACCATCATCTTTGGGCTTTCGTTTTGTCGACATGATTTTTGAATTTATCTTTCAATTTTGTAGTGCTGTTCAATTTGAATTATTATGTTCAATGTATCTTTCGATTTTACTGAAATTTCAACAAAAAGTAAACATTTCTTTCGTTTTCACCACAGCCAACGCATCAATGTACCCACAATTCCCACTATGTCCTTGGGAATTCATTCGGAATCTTCCCGCGAAATTTGTTTCAATGAAAAGGACGTAGGTGACCCAAAATATACTATTGTTGTCAATCGCCAAACAACTAAAGAAGATATGTTTATCGTGTCCATTTAATGCTTCCAAAGATTATTCCCAAAAAATTTCTCATATTTTTAAAAATTATTAATTAAAAAATACCTTTTAGATTGAAAAAATTGGAACAAATGAACAAACATATCTCTACAGGAAATTAATATATTTATATTTGCATATACTTGGGTCACCTGTAGAATACTTAGTCACGTGGTCTTTGATATTGTGAAGACAACTAAAACGTAAGATGGTCGTTCAAGATAAAAAGTTCGGTCAGAGAAAAATCGCAGAAAATGAGGATTTTAAGTTTGGGTAAGTAGCTTTACCTGGCTAAAATGATAAATAATATAAATATAGTAATAAAGCTAACGCTTAACATGCTTTTGAAAGGGTTTAGGCTCTCGTAGTTGATAAAAACAGCAACAATAAATATTTGTGTTTTCCGACATATTTTACAGTATACGTCGTTTTAAAAAGCCTCGAAATGTCTTTCATTTGTGGACTCATTAATTTTTATCATTGATTTTTCGTATGTATTTAATCTAATTTAATCGTGACTTCGACAATTGTCCTTTAAATGCCACAAAATTTCATAAGTCGACGGGAGCAATTAAATTTCACCGCTTTAGTTCGTAGCGCGAACGGCCCACAACCCCCCGAAAAGCGTAAGAAGCAATTTTATTATAATTTATCATCTTGTAGCATACATGCTACAATTTAAAATTTTACATAATGCCCATACGTTGCTATTTCATCAAAAAGTTACAGAGTATATTTTTAAATGTAAACTTCCTGTTGAGTGTTTGAATTATGGTACACAAAGTTATATCAAGTAAGGGTATTTTCCTCTCACAAGCATGGCATACATACTGTAATTCTGCTGTTATTCTGGGCTCCAAGTGTACATAATTAAAACCTTACAAAGTTTAGGATATTTGTTGTGTGATGGGGTAACTTTATCAGATATATGCTATTGTAGTTTTTTGCTATTCTTCTCATACGTAGATACAAAGCAAATTTGTTATGTGTGACCCACAAAAAGGGAAATTTACTTCATTTTCTTAAACTCCACACTCTGTAAGCTTTGATATGACAAAATTATGAAAAATAAATAATATCCCGCATTCTTTAATTTCAATTCAAACCGAAATGCTTATAGTATGTGAAAGGTTTCCATACAGGCTCTGTTTTAGGGTATTGCCTTCAAGTAAGGTGAAACAATCAATTCTCTTTTGCTTATTTGTAATAAAACTCCTTGTTTGACATCATCTTTGCCATTTTCAATATCAAAAAATGTGCAGCCATTGAAAGCAATGATTTTCTGTTAAGGAAATGTATGTATTGTGAAGATAAATGGCCAATATAATTTTTTAAATTTCAGCGATTCAATATAAATAAGTTAACTGTTAAGAGTTATGTTAACCACTTATTTTTACACCAGACATGTTCAATATAATATTGAATAGGTTACAATGTAAGCTTGAATAAATAGAATGTTAAGAAAAAAGAATTATTTAAGTTTTGTTTTGAAATATGAAAACATTTCATGAAAAAGAAAGTCTCTATGGTTGCTTATAAACAAAGTTAAGTGCTGTGTACCGGAGCTCCAACTATTTTTTGCCTGCAAGAGCCGGAGTTTGTTCATCTGTGGCAAAACTTCAGCAGCAGTTGTTTTTGCTGCAAAATACTCTCAAACTTCGGTAAATGTATCGGATCAAAAGATTTTTGTAATAACAAACAAAAAAACTCTTCTAAAGAAAATGAAACATTTTATGCATGACACTAGATTTGTGTTCTCACTTGCAAATTTTTCATGAAAATTCTGAGTGCCGGAATTTCATTTCACATATAAAAATTTACTAATAATATGCCTTAATCTGTTTAACAATGACCATCAAAATTAGCCAGCCACAACCAGATATTCAATTTATAACATACCAGGAGCCGGAGTACAGAACTGACTAGAGTGCAGAGGCGGAGCTGAAAAAGCAGAGATTGCACAACAATAAGTGCTGAAATTAATAAAAAAATTGATTGAACCTTGTGGCTGATGACAAAATTTTTTCTTGTCTTTGAATGTTGTCATAATTTCAAATATTTTTTGTTTACTTTGCTATCTTCAAATGGTAAATGTTTTTAGACACTGAACCAAACATATTTTTGGTCCTATATGAAATCAAGTAGTCCCCTCTAGGTTTGGAGGTCCTGGGCAAAATTTTCCTACTCCCTTTCACGGATATTAAGCTTTACAAATAATAAGCCACGAAGAAAGTTATTGGCGGAACTCTGCCCTACCCCCCACCTTTTCTAGAGTTTTTTGATATCTTTCTATGTCTTCACTGAAAATTTTTTCATCCGTTTCTCTAAATAGGGTGTCTCAAAAGCAAAATGGAACCCACATAAATTATGTATTCGCTAAAGTTATTATGCACAATAATGTACGTAATACGAAGCATTCACCATTGTTCACAGAACTAGTCAGCTCTGTACCTCTTGGATTTATTAGGGTTTAAACAAGTTAAACAAGTTTCAACTGAACAGTACTGTATACACTGATTAAAGTAAATGGTCTGAACCAGGGAGTATCGTTACATGTTTGTAGATGTAGATCGTCCAGGTTAGTAGAGTCCTGAGAAGGACTGTTGGTATTGATGTAGACTGACGTTTCAACAACCTTAGCGGTCTTCATCCACAAACATGTACTGACTGCCAGTATGGTAATCACATGCGAAATAAGATATGCATAGCATGAAAAAATTCAATAGAGTGGCTCTACTGTATGTTCTCTATACTGTGGCCAGGCGGAACAAATAGCTACTGCCGATTAATTATCATTTTAATTTATACATAATTATTTGTGCGCATTCCGTTTTTTTGGAACATGGTGTATATGAAATGCTTCACTATTGTTTAAATGAGTTAAAATTTAATTTTATATTTTTATGAATTTCATCTAAAGTGAAAACGTAGAGATGGACGAACAATTCTCGAGATCCAACCTCGAAAAGAAACACAAGAGCAAAAAAAAGCACAAAAGCAAACACAAAAAGAAATCAAGCAAGGATGACATCGAAAGCGAGGAGGATGGTAAGAAGAGATCTGATGAAAAGAAATCAAAAAGCGGCAAACATTCGAAGGAACGTTCAAAAAAGAAATCTTCTCAAAATGATGTCCTTGATGCGGCCCTTGAAGATTTGGAGGAGCGAAGAAGATTTTTGGAATCACAACTCGCTGCCGAAGATAAAGATGACGGTGAAGTTAAAGTAAAAAACTGTAAGACGAAATTGGATTCTCCAAGAGAACCTACTCTGGAGAATTCTCAAAGCAAGAGAAAGCATGAAGACGATTCTATTTTATCATCGATAAACGAGGAGTTTTTAGGCAAAACAATCGAAGTTAAAAAGTCTAAAAAAACATCGGAGCTATTTGTGGAGAAGAAGAGTGAAAGACGCGAGTGTTCTAAAGAAAACGACGCAGAGGATGTGAAAAAATCCCACAAAAAATCCACCAAGGATAAACACCACAGTTCAAGAAAAAGATATTCTTCTCCTATAACTGAAAAACCATCTAAAAAAGCCAAGGATTCCAGTCGATCCTCGGATAAAAAATACTTAGAAACTCCGGAATCTTTAACAAAAACAAATTTAAGTAAAGATAGACATTCCATCAAGACAATCAACGACAAAATGTCAACGTCTAAACAGATTAACTATATATCGTCTGATGATGAAAAACATTCTACTAGAAGAAGGTCAAGCAAAAGCCCCAAGAGTAGAAATGTGTCTTCTACTGATCAGAAGAAGTCGTCGAAAACACAAGATGAAGAAGAAAAATCATCTCGAAATGAAAGCATTGCTCATTCACGTAAAACGTCTAAATTAATGAACTCTGAACATGAGTCAAACGGTATTGAAAATATAGAAATTATAGACGTGTTTTCCGGAAGTGATGACTCGCCAGAAAAGGATAAAAAATCTGTCCCGCAAAAACCTTTATCAGAAAATGTTTCGTTTGGTTCCCTCTCTCTAAGTAAAGATAATGACGTTTCTAAGGAAAAAAATTACCGCAGCGATGAAATTGAGAATGGAAAAAATAAATCGTCTTCAAAACAAAAAGACGGCTATAGAGGTCGTAGTCGTTCCCCGCGAGAAAAATCCAAAGATATCCATCGCTCGCGGGATCGATCACGTGAGAGAAGATCACATGAAATATCGCGAGAGCAAAGATCGCGTAAAAGGTCGCGTGATAGGTCACATGACAGGCGATCTCGTGAAAGGAGATCACATGATGAAAGGTCGCATAGCAGGAGATCACATAACAGGAGGTCTCGTGATCGGAGTTCACGTGACAGGAGTGCACGTGACAGGAGACGTGGTAGAAGCAGGTCGCCTCGTCGTTCGAAAAGTAACAAATCAAAAAATGAGAAGACAAATGATTCAGAGAAAGAGAATTCAGAGTAAGTGCAATGTTTAAATAAATTAATATTGAAGAGAAAATCACTTGATTATCATTCGTCTACGATGTTCAAGCATTTTTTTACAAGAGTGTCAACAATGATGAACCCTTAAGTTAGTGGTGGTATATGAAAATAAATTACTACAGCTCTTTGCCGGATGTATTGAAATTTTAAAAAACCTTTAAAATAATTGGTGTGATAAGATCTTTTGGAAATTCATAAAACAATAACCAATTGTTGACTCGTATTTACATGGTTATGAATATGATGTTGAACTATTATAATTTATTTTGATTTATGTAGACTCACTTGACATTTGAGTGATAAGATCTTTTGGAAATGCATAAACAATAACCAATTGTTGACTCGTATTTACATTCACTAGAATGAAAGTCTACGATACTTGTCCTTTCTCTGTTTTGATTGTACATCCTAATACCACATGATTGTAATTTATAAACTATGACAAAGTATTGTATTGTTAGATCTGATTGTTTATCCTTTCATTTAATGTCTTCAATGTTAACTGAGATTAAAACCTCGCACGTAAAAAATCTCTTCATTAATATTTTTTATAAGCGAGGACATGGTCAACTTTGAGATGAAGGAAGATGACGAAAACGAGGATGAAATTATCGAGAAACGACGCCAGCAACGCCTTGTAATCCTACAAAAATACAAATCACAGGAGCCGTGTGATTCACCGGCCGTGTCAGCGGTCAGTTCACCGTCAGGCAGCGAGTTGAACACCAGAATACCATCCTCCAAGAGTATTCCCAAGACGTTAGTGTCAAACGATGATAACAATGACAAGAACCAAAACATTTCAAAGAGCGAGAACATTTTCGATGTCGATAAACCCAACTCAAAACACGAGGAGAAAGTTTATGAACTATCAGACATGTTTGCTGATGATTATAAGGTTAGAATTTCTTCATGAAAATCTCTATGTTTTACGTAGTCTTTATGAAGGTAGGCGTTTAATGATATCAAATTTCTCACTAAGTAACCTTAATTTGGTTGCATTACTCCTACTCTAAATTTCTTCAACCATAACTTGAACTCGAAATGAACTGAATAAACAACACAAAGATTCACAGTGATGTTGTATATGACAACATAAACGTATTTTGTTTATAAGTGCTGCTTATGTTGTGTAAACAGCATTTTACACGCGTTTATAAGTGCTGCTTATGTTGTGTAAACAGCATTTTACACGCTTTTATAAATGCTGCTTACGTTGTGTAAACAGCATTTTACACGCTTTTATAAGTGCTGCTTACGTTGTGTAAACAGCATTTTCAATGGTTAAATAACATAAGGTATTGGTGTTTTGTCCTATTTTTGTACACCATTGTGTAATGCTATACCTCTCTGACCTAGGCTCCAGAGGTGTCCCAACTAACTGTAAAAGAAAACGAAGATCCAAGTTTAATGGATAACTGGGATGACGCTGAAGGATATTATCGTAAGTATCATCCGCAATCCAATCATCTTCCTCATTAAACTTGTATGTACGTATAGATACTACGACGACTAAGAAGCTTGGGACCTTCATAACCTTACGTGTACTATGCATACCCTAGACCAGGGGTCTCCAAACTACGGCCCGCTGGCCAGATGTGGCCCGTTAGGCCTCTCAATCCGGCCCGCAGAGACACTTGAGAAAAAAAAATACTATTAAACAAAATATACTTTGTGCAGAAAGTTCACGTTATGACGCAAGCCAACTAGCAAGAGTTTTATTAAAATATTCGTTCTTTGACCAGAGGTATACGGTTCGTCGGCCCTCAACATGCTGAATGAAAGTTCATGTGGCCCTCTGGCTGTAAACTTTGGAGACCCCTGCCCTAGACCAACAATTTGTGCTTATTGTTTGGAGTAGCCCAGTAACGATCTTTATTATTCTTCTAATTTGAACGCATTCTAAACGCGTACGGTGTAACTCTTGACCTTCGGTCACGGGTTTGCACTGATCTGCTCTCCAGTCCTCCCAAAGGTCTCCTCGGCTTGCATAAGCCTGTGCAAACACTGGAAACATCTTTTATTTCTTAAATGTTTCATAATAACAGGAGTGCGTATTGGAGAGTTACTGGACAAACGGTACGAGATCTACGGTTATACTGGTCAAGGTGTCTTCAGTAACGTCGTCAGAGGGCGTGATCAAGCACGTGGAAAGCAAGATGTTGCAATTAAGATAATTAGAAATAATGAAATGATGTAAGTATAGCAAATGGCGACTGCGCAGTCTTTAAATGAGGTGTATAGGAGTGACTTGATATAAGACTTCGAACCTGTTGATTTTTGACACGAGTTAAGTTGAAGCTGCATTTATTCAACGGAAGGTTGATTCGAAAAGTAATTTGAATTCTTTTTGCTCAAGGCACAAGAGTGGTTTAAAAGAATTAGAGATTTTAAAGAAACTCAATGATGCCGATCCTGACGATAAATATCACTGCATCCGTTTGTTTCGCCATTTCTTCCACAAGAAGCATCTTTGTCTTGTTTTTGAACCGATGAGGTATGACGATTTTTTTTTCCTCTTTTCTTGAAAAGCCAGTCTCCTGAAAAACCTGACAATGCTCTTGTTAGGCAGATCCCTTCCTACCCCTCATCAGTCTGATCTATGCGAGTCGTGGTATAAAGATGGAGTTTCTTTTATGTTATTTTGCTTTTTTCATGATTGCTTTAAATTGTGTGTGTTTCACTTTAGTTTGAATTTACGCGAGGTGTTGAAAAAGTACGGACAAAACGTTGGGTTACACATCAAGGCTGTTCGTTCTTACGCACAACAATTGTTCCTCTCGTTGAAACTTATGAAGAAATCAAGCATCCTTCACGCTGATATTAAACCAGATAATGTTCTGGTAAGATTTCCTTATCTAAATATTTGTACGTAGGTATTTAAAGTTGTGTAAAAAATTGTGCTTTCAATGTTGGTTTTTGAAAGACTTTCTTACCGAGGTGAGAATAATATTATTGGCTGAGTACGTATCTTCCTATATGCTTAAGCTTTATTGACTGGTTCGAAATACAAAGAGGTGTACAATACGGTGAATACGCTGTAGAAATGATAAGTCTAATTAGTAAGTACGTAGTTAGTGTTTATGACTTTTGTCAGATTCATTCAATCAAGAAACTCATTCATTTTACGTAGACGTCTGTTGACATCTTTACAAATGAAATATTTGTTAACAAAGTGATCTAAACAAACTCAGTATTGCAGTCATCCCGATTTGTTTTAATCTTTACGTTCGTAATATTTTTTGCTGTTTCAATGTAGGTTAGCTCCAACAAGCTCGTGATCAAATTATGTGACTTTGGCTCTGCATCGCACGTGTCTGATAATGAAATCACTCCGTACCTTGTCAGTCGATTTTACAGAGCTCCTGAAATCAGTAAGTTTTAGTAATTCCTTTTACCAGTATACATAGACTTGGAAATTGTCCTGCCATTGTCACATGATCACCAAAAAGCGATTCCTTTCTTCTTTATAATATTATTAAAGTTCTGGGGATGGGTGCACGAAGCCTGGATAGTGTTATCCATTGGATAGCAATTTTTTTAAACTTTTATGAAACCTTTAAAAAGCAAAAAATATAAGATTCGAATGTAGCAATCACCGAAATAAAATACTGTTTCGAAGATTACGAAATTTTTTCGTAAGAAAAATACTTTTTTTACGAGTTTGAAAATTTTTGCTATCCAATGGATAACGCTATCTAGGCTTTGTGCAACTGGCCTCTGTACGGCTAGGCAACTTTGCAGTATTGTTGTGTGTGGAATGATTATTGTGAGAAGAACTACGTGCATCAGACTACATTAACTTTTAGGTGTTGAGTGTCCGACATTTTCGGTTCATTCATTCAGATTTAGTATTTCTACTCAATTGCTTTTCAAACCATTCACAAACTATGTTCATATAGGTGGATACAGAATCAATTTTTTACTTTGCAAGACATTAATCGATAATTTTCTTTCAATTTAGTCATGGGTAATAGCTACGACTATGGTATCGATTTGTGGTCTGTAGCCTGTACTATCCTCGAACTCTATACGGGAAAGATAACTTTTCCTGGTAAAACCAATAATGAGATGTTGAAACTCATGATGGAGGGAAAAGGAAAATTACCCAACAAAATGATCAGGAAAGCAATGTTTAAAAGTCAACATTTTGACGAAAATTGTAATTTCTTGTATACTGAAGTTGATAAAGTAACACAAAGGGTAAGTTATCCTTTCTTATCCTTTCATTGATGTTGTTTATCCGTTGATGCCCCTTTAATAATGTGGGATATGTCATCGTCTGATATCCCTTTTCTAATGGGGTGTAGATTATCCTATGTTATCTCTTTTCTTATGTGATTAGGTTATTTTATGTTGTTCTTTTCTAATGTTATTAGATTATCCTATGCTATCTCTTTTCTAATGTGATTAGATTATCCTATGTTATCTCTTTTCTAATGTGATTAGATTATCCTATGTTATCTCTTTTCTAATGTCATTATATTATCCTATTGTGGAGTAGGTTATCCTTTGATTTTATTTTAGAATGTATGTACCTAGGTCACTCTATCCTTCGTTATCCCTACATGTTGAGTATTGCACATTACCCTATATTACAAAATACCCTCGCAAACATTTAGCACATTGGCTACACTGAGTGCATTATCCTTCGTTATCCCTACATGTTGAATATTGCACATTGCCGTATATCACAAGATACCTTCACAAACATTTAGCACATTGGCTACACTGAGTGCATTATCCTTCGTTATCCCTAAATGTTGAGTATTGCACATTGCCGTATATCACAAGATACCTTCGCAAACATTTAGCACATTGGCTTCTCTGAGTGCACTCATATATACCTGTTTTGTTGTGTGTGTGGGGATACGATGGATGAAACCTTTGGTTTGCATGCGATGAGTTTTGAACAACGTGATTTTCTTGTCCGATTCATTTCATTTCTGTAGGAAAAAGTGACAGTGATGTCTACGATTAACGTTACAAACGAAATCACGGAGTCTCTACTCGACACTCACAAAGTTGAAGATAATCTGAAACGAAAAGTCACACAGTTCAAAGATCTTATCGACAAACTCCTCATCTTGGATCCATCCAAACGGCTCGCCATCAATCAAGCTCTCACACATCCGTTTATCACAGAGAATGGCGATGTGAACGCGTAAGATTATTAAAGACTTTAAGGCTTTCATATGCATTTATTGATATTTTAAATAATGTTTTGTTTTCGTTCGTCCAATCGTCGCTGCTTGAACAGGATTAACGATGAATTTCGAAGCATGACGCGTAATGAAGCTATTATGAATGGCTTTCTCATTGATCAGGCTTATAAATTCGTGAAGGAGATACTAACTGTCTATGGAAGTTATGGAGAAGGTTGCACTTTAGTTAGCTTTCATTCGCTGTGAAGAAAATCACTTATATTTTCATTTCAGGCGGCCTTAAGCTGTCTTCGTAGTTAAGAAAATGCTTTGTCACACGAAGCATAATTTGATTATTGTTTTGAAAAGAGCATTATGTTTTTCGTTCAATTGATCGTCATTTGTTCGTAACATCAGTTAGTGGACAAGACCTTTCATTTGACGACTGTCGTAGAATTTATGGTGGACACTTGAGGGTAGAAAGATGGTGTAAGGGTAAGAGGGGATTTCTGTCCAGCTTACTTGATGCTTATAGTCTATAGAAATACACCCTTAGAATGTCATCACATCATGCTTTTTCATGAAACATTTTCATTTTTTCTTAACCTACCTATCCTCTACATTTTCCCTCTATCCTCAGTGTCCGCTACTTGTAAAGGTAGGTCGGACCATTGAACTTAAGATAACTGGAATGCTACTTCCCGCCAAAATTTGACGCCAGCAATTCAACGAATTCCATCTTTCCACGAACGGCCTAAAGAATGTGTATATGTTATTGTAACTTGACCACAAGACACGTGTGTCTTTAGGTAAAATTGTCTTCATTCAAGTACAGAGGTAGCACTCCTGTTGTCTATATAGTTCAGCTGGTGGGACATATGCATTTCAATAAACTGTATATTGTTTGGCGTTCAATAATGTTGTCCGTGGAATTATTCATATTAATGGAGATGTGCAAAAGTTTTATTTTTTTCTCGTGAACCGTAATGTTCAACTAACACTAAAGCCAGCAGCTGCTATACGACGGTTCGCTGACTCGTTGTGTATTTTTTCAATATAAATTTTCTTACTCTCAACGAATATTACAGGTCTCATCCATCGCGGAAGATGTGTCAACAGAAACGACGCATGCGCAGTGTTTAGATCATGCTCTCGATCACGTGACCTGATCGTAAGTAACGTCAAAAGACAAGCGAGATCTGAAAAATATAGTCTGTCTTGTCTGTTAGCTATATGACAAAGTTTACTGAATCATTGCTAGATTTTTCCTGCTAACCCCTCTTATTCCCTCTCTCTATTTAGCCCACTCCAATCACCTCAAGTACCTCAATGCTTACCCGAGTTCCCTCCTTGTAAGCGTTATTTAGTGTTCAAATATGCAGAGCTCTGTCCTTTTTACACCTCGATACTTGAATATTTGTACCTCGATGTCTCTGCCATCCAAGTCCATTCTGATCCCTATTCATTCCCCTCCTCTTCAAACAGGATACTTTCTGTTATCACCTATCGCCTTTAGAATGCTTAGCTGCAAGCATCGCGCATTTACACTACCACCGCGTTAACTAAACTGGTTAACATTTTATTTCAGTTTGCAATGAACACGAAAGCATACGAAAATATTCTCCAGAGAACCGTCCTTGAGACTACAGCATTCCCATGGTGCATTTGTTTCGCTAGCCGTAAATGCTTAAGATTGAAGAGATTGTGATGAATGATTGTGTAAAGATGATGTTTTGGAAATACATCGTAGACGAACTTGTCAAATTGAAGTTCATCTTAAGGTTTTTATTTGATGCTTTGAGATTTTAATCTACCGAAATATTTTCTTGGTGATTTTATAACTTATTGCGAGATATGAGACGCAAAAATATTTAAGCTTCGCTGACAGTTTTATGTCCACTATGTAAGATTTTACCATTTCCTTTTTTTTGTATTTCAGCTACGTGTTGTGGACTTCAGCTTGAGTCTCAATACATCGCCAACATTTTCGTAAGTATTTTGTATTGAGGTAAGGGCGAAAGCTCAGCTATGTGTTTTGCACTTCAGCTCGAGTCTCAATACATCGCCAACATTTTCGTAAGTATTTAGTATTGAGGGCGAAAGCTCAGCTGTGTTTTGCACTTCAGCTCGAGTCTCAATACATCGCCAACATTTTCGTAAGTATTTTGTATTGAGGTAAGGGCGAAAGCTCAGCTATGTGTTTTGCACTTCAGCTCGAGTCTCAATACTTCGCCAACATTTTCGTAAGTATTTAGTATTGAGGTAAGGGCGAAAGCTCAGCTATGTGTTTTGCACTTCAGCTCGAGACTCAATACTTCGCCAACATTTCCGTAAGTATTTTGTATTGAGGTAAGGGCGAAAGCTCAGCTATGTGTTTTGGACTTCAGCTTGAGTCTCAATACATCGCCAACATTTTCTTAAGTATTTAGTATTGAGGTAAGAGCGAAAGCGGGTTTTGCATGATTTGTTTCAATTGCAAAATCGAAATGTTTAAGTAAAAAATTTTCATTTGGAAAAGTAGTTAAATTCAGTAGTTTTGAAAGTCGATTTGATTACATAACATGCTCTTTAGCTTTAATTTATGATCAAACTTGCATCACAAGTACTATTGGGAGATTTCACAGCATGTACGTGTGAAGTATGGCTGAGTTGGATGTGCCAGATAGCCGGTGGGGGATTATTAATTACGGGATTTTAAGTCCAGTGTCTATTCCACCCAGGAAGTTCAATCTCTTGATGACGTCAGCGTTCCTTGCGCTCCTTTTCCTTCGCATTTCCCGCTTGTTTTTTTAACTCATAGTATCAACAATGAAGAATGAATTTAAAGTTCAAACTTCGTGGTTTCTGAGCGTCGTGCATTTGAACAGTAGATCGTACGGTGTTTAACAGCATAAATGGTCTAAATTAAGAAGATTTAACTATTCCTGAATGGCAAAAACTAATTATCTCTAGGTACAACGGGCCTCTCCCGGACCAGTAGGCCTCAGTGTACGTAGCCTACTGGATAACCTTCCACCACCACCCCCCCCCCCACCCCCACTGCAGATATCACTTTACTAGATACCAAATTGAACCAAATAACTGCTGACCGAATCATATCGGATGCCGCCGTGATTTTCAATCAATATTTCCGTATGCTAGTAATACATAGCATTATTTATAATTAGTTCAGTTTAACATCAAGGAAATGAGTAGAAGGGGCTGTGAGTTGAAGGGATTGCGTGTTGAAGAGGTTGTAGATGGGAGGGGTTGTGGGTATGAATATTTGTATGTAGGAGGGGTTGTAGATGGGAAGGGTTGTGGGTATGAATATTTGTAAGTAGGAGGGTTCCATGTAGGAGGGGTTGTGGGTATGAATAGTGGTATGTAGGAGGGGTTGTGGGTATGAATAGTTGTATGTAGGAGGGGTTGTAGATGGGAGGGGTTGTGGGTATGAATAGTTGTATGTAGGAGGGGTTGTAGATGGGAGGGGTTGTGGGTATGAGTGGTTGTGCTTAGAAGGTAAAAGCTTAAGTAAACGATCTTTTTTCTTTCCATTTAATTTACCCATTTAATAACCATTTTAGAGATGACATAAATACTCTTGTATTTTTGACATTATTATGACTTGATATTTTAATTTCTTCGATAAAATAGATTTCTTGGAAATTTAACTTTCATGTTTTTACATATGTTTCATTTAATACAAACTACTACCAAACCAGTCGATAGGAATGTCAAGATGGTAATTTTGGTTTATACATATCGCATTTTATAATGAATTATGGCATCCACGATGAACGCTGCAGCTGCGATAAATCCAAAAATCTATATCAAAAAGATTTTAAATGCATTCAATTTGTCCATTCATCTCCGCTGGGCAAAGCTCTGTTTGCGCGCAGATATTTATGTCCATTTAATGTGAAATGTACGACATTGTAGATCATTAAAAAAATTATGATGATTTACCATTCCGGTGAGAAGATGCTTGCATTGAACTTTATTGTTCAATGTCTCCAATATAGCGCAGAAATTGTTACCGTTGTATGATGTATGCGCTTCGAGTAACATGGTGGATCCCACTACCACTAGGATTCCAAGAAACGCAAATACACCTGCCCCCTAAAAATAAGCATTTTAAATCTAAGCTGTGTCCTCCTTTTTTCAAAGCTCCTTTGAATATAATGCACTGTGCATTTCTGTCTTCATATTTCTTGTCTCCTGTGCATATCATTTGTGGAGCACTTGTCATGTATTGAGACAAAATATTGTTAGACTTGACCCTAATTGGTTGTACGTTACATTGCTTACTGTTTTTGTCCAAGCTATGTTCACAATTTTATGAATCCCCGTGAGGAAAATCATAAAGAATACAACGGTTACTGCAATGGCTATTGCTGTAGCTGCAATAAAGAATTCGACCCTGTTTTTCTTCTCGTAATCTTTTTCTGGTCCGTTCTTCAAGAAGAGTCCTACCACGCCAAGCGCAACAAAGAGAAGTGCCTTAAAACAAAATCATGTGAACTTCCAAACTCGGCGTATAAAACGTTGAAAATTTCTCTTTCTTTGTATTGAACTATTCGAAATTGATATACCGTCTGACAATTATACAAAGTAAAAATGCAACAAACTCCGAAGACAATGTCCATCTTTAACTCAATATTTAAAATGAAAGAGAGGAAACGATAGACGAGTGCTATCTCTACTTAATTATAAATTCATCATTAGACTGACTTGCAAGCTAACAGCAGAGAGTAAGAACCTACAGAAGAGTCACTCATGTCGGAACCTTTGATGTTTTTGTCCTCGCGCATGGTGGCCGCCATTATTCCAGCCAGATGATTAGGGGTTTTGACTTTTTCCAAACCTTTAAATGATCCGAAGTCATTTCTTAAGTCAAAATATTCTTGAATTCATTATCAAGTATTGACGTGATGTAATTTTAATGGTTGGAAACAAGTGAGAAATTCTTATCATCTGGCTGGAATAATGGCCGACATGAGGACACGTTGTACACCTGAGTGACCCTTCTGTATAATCATTATTCTGTGCTAACAGTTGCTCAATTTATATTGAAGTATAGTGACATCATCAGGATGTTGCTATGGTTACTATTGCAGTGAAGTTATCAGTAAATAAACTTATAGTATAACTTGTAATATAAAATAACCACAATTCGACGTGTGCTCTGATTGGTCCATAACTGAGTTTGCATTTGCCCGTGCAAACAGTTAACATCTTTTACGTCTTAAATATATATCGATTCACTCTATAAGTTTTTCACTTATACTGATATTGAATTTGTAATGAATTCGAAATATCTTTAGTTTATTTTCTCCTCTTTCATTTCAAATATTGAGTTAAAGGTGAATATATTATTATATACGTGAACTATAATCATATGGCAAACGATAAATTATTAACATTGTGTCTTACCATCTCGAGTATTTTAAACAGACCACCTAACGATGTTACGTATTGCATTCCTTTTCCAATTTCAGCCATTTTCATCCAGCTGTTTACTCTGTCTACACATGTATACACATTTCGATATTTTATATGCTGAAATTAACCAGTCCCACCGTAAAGCTCTTCTTTCAAAAGAAATATGATACCAAAAAAATACAACAGAAATTATACGGTGGCTTGAGCAAACTATACAAAAAGAGTTAAAGAGCCAGCCACTAGATCAGATTCTGAGCATTATTAAAAATTCTTTATATTTGCGTTATTGCACGGCTCATGAAATATAATGTGTGCCATGCACATAGAATAATTTGTTTAGTTATTACATTTCTACAAATTATTCCTGCATACGCAATTTCAACTCACCTTAGAGAAAATGATCTTCTCACTTAATTAGCGTTAAAATTGATTGGAGAAACTCTGAAGGCATACGACTACAAGCTCTTATCTTTTTGAAGCGGTTTCTCGTCGTCCTTTGCTCTTTAACGCATAACACTGATAAATATCAGTGTATGAAGCACGGCATTAATATAATACCAAATTTTATGGTCATCGTACGCTTTTATAGTACGATTGCTCAGACAATATACAACCTGTTACAGTCAAGGCTATCCAAGAGCTTGCCCTCCTGATCGATCTACTTTGGATGGAAAATACTAATACTACAATTTAAACTACATACTAAAGCCGTTTTTTGACGACGTGTTAGAGTATAAATTTGTTTATCAATATGAGTATGCTCTGCTATTAAACCTTTAGGATTATGCTCTGTATTGAACGTTTTGGTTCAAAGATTGGGTGAAGGACGCGTTGTACCACGGGATTGTTTGCAATAGCAACCGTTTTTCTGCCCTTTTGAACTGTGTATTTATATTATGGCGCTAGAATTTGAACAACGCGGATGTTTTGTGATGTTAAATGCAGCTTGTCCTAAACTGACTAAAACAGTTTAAACAACATGGATGTTTATTCTGGTGTGTACTTGAAATGCAGCTTGTCCTAAACTGTCTAAATTTTGAGATTATTTAATTCCGATAATCCACCATCGTTCATTAAAAAAAGTAAGCGTCAATTTCCCATTTTTTATACATAAAGATGAAAGTTAGTTGTTGACATTGCATCTTACGCCTTACTAAATTTTAATGTTGGCTTTCAATTATGGTCGTGGAATTTTCAATACAAACTGTCCACTAACGTTTGCTTCACATCTTAAGCGTCATTGAAATGTCATCTTAAGCAAAGAAAAATTAATTAACTTAACATTGTTATGGAAATTTCCTAATTACGCTAAATTTGGCTTGGTTTAGTGAGACTGTGTCGTGGGCGTTACGTCCCCTAAACATTGTAAGTTCTGCTTTGCTTTCATCTTGTTATCGTAATGAGCTCTTCTCAACCGAACTCTCGTTGTGCGAGGTTCGTACAAAAAAAAACAAAGGTCCGATATTTCTTAATAAAGACCGAGCAAGCGAGGTTATTAAAATGTTTATTATATGGCATTATTTGACCAAAAACGAAGCTTGCTTTCTTTCTCGTCCTTTCTGTTTTTTACCGATTGACTTTCGGTTTCGTCAGTAAAAAATAAATCGTTTCAAATTGTATCGTCTTCATAGTTAAACTGTTTTCCAAGTGTTTTTCCTTAGAATCACATTCGTAAATGGTTTTTTGTTGTTTTTTTTTCTTTCCGTTTTGCTGTTTGCATTACGAAGTTTGTTTACCTTTGACTGTAAAGTTACGCGTTTTAGACCGTGGTCGATTACGGGAAATTAAGGGACCGGCAGAAATGTTTCTGAGCCAATTAAAGCGCGCCATTTTGCCGGAAGTGACGCTTGCCATTTAATATATCTCATAATGCTTCCTTGCCATTTATTTAGCTGTTGACACATTAACAAAAATGGTTTGAGTATTTTAATATGAACGTGTTGAGTTTTACAGTAATCTTTTCTAGCATTTATGTACCATACGTTATGAGTTTACAAATGAGAGTTAAGAAAGAGTCAAATCACCTACGATAAATGCTGAATGGTCGAGTTTCTGTCGTCGACGGGTTTTTCCCCTACACTGTGACTGTCGTCGACGTTGCAGTTGTTGTATATGATCGTTCATTTGTTATCAAGAAATGTAAAACTGCGTCTAAGATGAATATCACCATTGTAATAAAACCACATACCTAAAAAAATAAAGTGCTCATTTTGGTCAATTTGTTTTTCTTTAGAATGAATATATTTTTCATGCCCGCTGACCGGTAGATCCTTCAGCCAAAACATTGCTATTTATAAAGTTTTGAAAATTTGTTTTTCTTGCAATACGCTATAAATATTGCTCATTTTATGCTTCATAGTTTCGCTTGATGATGTAGCTATACCAGGGTTGGGCAACTTCTCCAGTTGGCGGGTTAGATTTAGGAAAATGAAGTTATTGGTGGGCCGGATTATTACATGAATAATATTCAATATCTTAATCACAAATATAGACGGATACAGTCGGCGGGCCAGTCAAAATCCCTTCAGGGGCCGGACCCGGCCCGTGGGCCGTATGTTGCCCACCCCTGAGCTATACCATAAATCAAAAATGGCCTTATCATTCGACTTTTCACAAAATTTGAAATGAAAAGACATGTATAGGGTATGTACACCCTAAGGCAAGGGATTCATGAACCAATTGTTATTTAAATCCTCGCCTTTCATACACAACCTGTCGACATTTTTTTTGAAAATTGTCATACAACTTCTTTTAATAAAATCAAGACTAGAAATGTACCAATAAAAGTCCTAAGTAATAAATTGCCACACTGAGCATTATTTAAAAGTACGAAATGATTGACAGCAGAAGAGAGTACACCAAATTTTATAAAATTTCAAAGTTGGGTTGAAATTTTTTTTATAAGTCATCGCAATAAGACCCATTCTGATGTCGAAATTTTTACAGTAAACTTACCGTTCCCACGATTAGATGTGCGCATTTTTGTTTTTGATCTATCTCGTCTAAAAGCTCGCACACTTTACGGTCGTTGTAATAATTCAATGTGTCGGCCATTAAAGAGGATGAGATAAGCAAAAGAACGGCCCAGAGAAGGAATATAATACCATGCTAAATAATGATATTTAAAGATATATGTCTGCACAATACGCATGCGTTGTTTATGTACTCTGCTACTCACTACGCATGCTTTGTTTGTGCCTTATGTCTTACTCATAACGCATGCGTTGTTTGTGTCATATGTCTTACTTACTACGCATGCGTTTACGTTACAGTATTCGTACTCGCTACGCATGCCCTTGCCGTATTAAATTCTTACTGCTATTGGCCAATTAAAACCGTTCATCCTCTCATGGAGACCGCTGACAAACAGGAGCCAGAATGCCATAACTAGGATCCAGGCCAAAATGATAACAGCAAGAAAGAATTTTATGATATTTTTCTTAGGAGGTTCTCCGCCCATTTTGTCTAAGAAATATCCCACAGTTCCTAGTGCGGCCATAAGCACTATCTAAAAACACGTGAAAATTAGATGGACGTCAAAGTACTCAGTTACTTCATAAGCTGCTGAAAATGATGACGTTTTAAGACACAATTCTATTTTTTTTTTGATAAAATAACATCACGTTGTTGTGATGTACTCGAATATAGTAACAAGATAATCATTGTCTCCAATGTTCTACTAACTAAACTACAAGATCAACTGTGAACTATGCTGATATATCATAGAAAAATTTTAGTTTCAATTATGATGATTTAAAAAACACACGTCAAGTAATACGCTTACAAACTCAACTATCTTCAATACTCCAGGAAGTGACTTGAAATATTCACATCCTTTCCTGAGGGAGCCCATTGTAAATGTCGTCTATAATGTGATAAAGCAAATATCGTCATTACGATGAAATAAAAGTTCTTTTTCACTGATTGCTCTGTATACTGGAGTCAGTTGCACAAAGCCCATTTTGCGCAGTCCACTGGATAATATTTCGAAGTTTTCAATAAAATGTTCATTTGAAATATTTTTAGTTATGCGACAAAAACATGAAAACCAACCAATCGTTATCGCTGTTCTGGCTTCGTACAACTGACCTCCCATTGTGCTACTGATCTTTACAAAATTGTATAGAATAATTTTCAATCGAATTCTTAGTAAATGTAAATGGTGTGTAACCGACTATCACTAAGCATTTTATTCTGTGATGTCTTTGTTACAAAAGTTCTCATTCATTAAAAGAATCCTTTTTTAACTAACCTTGCTTCCTTAAGGCATTTCATTTTTGTAAACTTAAAACATGCATCTTAAACAATATGATTTTATAAAACCTACCATTTTTCCAACTAAAGTTTCACGATCGCACGAAGGATTATGTTTCTTCGCTATAATTGTACTGTGAGTCTAAATTACATGCTATTCGCACGATCGTTTTAAACGTGAAAGCTTGTCTAATATATGTTTAACAATAGGACAACAAAGATATTCCAATATATTTTTAATGACAGGATATAGTCAAGTATTTAGCTACTTACATAATGAACGTTAGCTTTTATGTATGCTTTGGTTCGAGAAGTTTTTATGTTCAGAAACAATGTTTAATTTTTCATTCAAAGTTCCTGAAACGTATGTTGACCAGTAGGGTTGGAACATTGAGTGGGTGGTGGGAGGGTTGCATTTGCGTGATTTTCAATCTAAAATTTGCGCGTGAGAAAATCTAGCTGTGTGCGCAATCTTTAGGCGTTAAGATCCTGTATCCTTGAGCTGAAATTTGGAATTAAAAACCGCAATGGATTCCTTTACATAGGGCATCTACCGTTGATTGTGCTCTCAAAGTCCATTTACAACAACGGCCTCCGTAAGTACAGTGACAGCAGCAACAAAGCAGAAAATCTACAAAGAGTAAAGAAGGCAATTTTGTATCAATAGAAGAACTACACACAATCAAAGAAATTGAATTTTTCTTCGTTTGAATTAAGATTTGGTAACGTAGGCCTGTTTCAGACGTAGCATTTTACATGAGCCGAATGCATTAAAGACAGAAGAAAATGAGATAAAATTCCTCATTATCTTTTGTTTTAAACGCATTCGACTCATGGAAAACGCGACGTTTGAAACAGGCCTACGAATGAAGACAAAACTTACGTAAGCCCACTGAAGGTAATTACAACTGGCATGATTGTTAAGCCAATGGCAAAGTGACGGGTGTCCTTTTGAAGTATCTTTCTTGTCGTTTTCGTTGTCGTAAAGAGTGGCAACTAAGACAACACCAGCTGTGATAAACAACGTGGCGAGAATAATTTTGGACCAGAAAATCTAAAAGTCGCATGTAGATATTTGCAATATTTAAATTTTCCTGAAAATTTTTGTGCAAATTCTTTTGCTTCGAGTAAAAAAATGACAGAGATTTTTGGTTACTTACCGCCTTACGCAAGATTCTAACAACATTTAACCACATCATGTCCATTAAGTGATACAGAAAGGTGAAGACAACAACCATTGCACATCCCAAAAATCCTTTTTTTCTCCATTTGTTAATTTTAACTTCGGTCTTTTTCGCAAACCGGTCTAATTTAACGACCGCGATAAATAAAAAACCCTAAATGATAAAAATCACTAATTAGTTTACGTTTTGAATATTCACCCGTCTAAAAGGATGAATCGATAAATTAATCAAACTTTAGCAGGGAAAATATGAATGGATGACCAACCATATTTCTATTAGCGCTCCACCCCCTCTCTTAACACCTAAAGCGTGGCAAGAGATTCATCCTATTCACTGTATATTTCCCATTCAATGTTGCTTAAAAAATCAACGAAAAGTAAGCTTTTTAAAATACAATAATTGTGATGATAATTATAATTTTGACTAGTTTATTTCTGATATCCTGATATACTTTCTCTTAAATGGTTGAGTAATTCCAGGATATTATGCGTCTCATTAATGGTCCAACTTTCACGCAGGTATTAGCCTGTCTTTAAAGAAAGCTCAATAATTTCACACAAATGAAAGTTTTTTTTGAAATATTTGCACTATGACCCAATCAAAATGCGGTATCTGACTTGAACATAAACAGAGCAAGCACTACGTATCTGCTCAATCAACTTTCCACGATCGTTATTGAACTTTAAAAAAATAGCATTTTTCATTTAGTTAAAATTTCTCTTTAATTTGACCTTGGGTTTTGATTCATGTCGAAAGCACAAAAATTTAAGCTTAAAATGTAAAGGTGGCTAAAATAGTCTCTGGATGTAAAGCAATACCAAGCGTTCTGGTCTCAACCTTCAGTCCCGCATTTCAGCTTCCTGTCGTTATGATCAGGGATTGGGTGTGTATGGAAGTACTGGGATTAGTAATAGTTTTGTCATGCATGTGTTGAAATTTTGACGGGAGGTACATTTAGGGTGAAATATTCAGTCTTATCACAACGAAATTCATGGCAATGCAATCCTACAGGCGGCAATATCTCTTAACAATTATGTTTTATTTTACGTCTCATTCGTGACACTCATGCACGTGACATTCATGCACGTGACATTCATGCACGTGACACACATGCACGTGACATTCATGCACGTGACACTCGTGCACGTGTGAAATGATCAAGCAAATTTTGATTGGTTCAAGGACTTCGTGTCAGTCACGCTTGAGCAATGAGACGAAAATTCGAACGCAAAACGGTTAAAAGAATGCATCGTCGAAATGCATCATAAGTTTTTGGTTTGTTTTTCAGGACGTTACCATCAAACACCATTATCTTTCAGTCATTCAGTCGTATCTTGTGATATACAAATATACTGTTGAAAATAGATGAAAGTTCACTTACAATGCAAAGCTTGACAATCAAAACAAGAGAAGCGAGGAAGAAAAACAACTAAAATAGAGAAAAATAAGTGTTTACATTTTGGTGAACCTTAGATGAACTTCGCGAGAAATTACGTTGCTCTTTATTTTGTATGTGAAGACATGCTACTTACAGAAGCGCAAATAAGATATTTACAACTGGCATATTTATCCTTCAGAAGCCAGTCGCAAAATGTGGTGTTTGCCTGTAGAGTATTCTTCATGTCACTATTGTAGCTAGCATGGGTGACAGCTAAGTAAACACCAGCTGCGAACAGCATCGCGAACAACAAAATCCTGCACATATACATCTAAAATCATATAAGTATAATCATATGACGTCACATATAAAATGAGTCCAATTAACATTGCAAATGCTTTTGGTTTATATATTCATATCACAGCATCTTTATTATATTTATACAAATTTCGCTTGCCTGCTGCTCAAAACTTTCAAATGTTGTTTTGAATATATCATTTGCACGTTTTTGCCAAATTATAAGTTCTTTTGAAATAACTCACCCATCCCCACCCCCCTTCAAGGATTGACATACGTACGGCAAGTAAGCAAATGATTGTAAAACTACTTGATTTTCATAACAATCTGGTATGATTTATGTACAATACTTTGGACCTTTACTGGTCTTATGTGTACTTTTTCAAATGTTCAGAAGTGCAACAGCACGCTTGCTCATTTACTCACAAATGAATTTTGCTTTAGAAAACATCGCATTTCTAATGACGAAGTGAATTGCAATGATGAAAAAGATTAACTTTGATAATTGAATTTTGTCTTGATAACTTTTATCTTATTTAAACTTTTCGTTGTTCAATAAATTCTTTTGGATTGCAGTATTCACATTAAATTTTAAAAAAGAAATTAAAGTATTTAAAAATAATAAGTGAATGGCGGATCTATAGCGAGTTTGGACCTTTACTGGCCTTATGTGTAAATGAGCACATGCTTTAAAAAATGTTTTTGATCTTCACAAGCTAAAAAGGGGAATTCCCTAAATCAATGATGCACGAGAAATGTTCATTAAGGGGCCGATAACATGGAGCAATTTCAGCCCAGGCTGAGTTTCAGTCTAAACACCAGGCTGAAATTAACCAATAATCACACAAAATTTCAGCCCGGCCAACCGGGCTGAAACTCAGCTCGAGTAGAAATTTTTCCATGTAATCGGCCCCTTAATATTATTTGGGAATTACACATGGTTTTTAATAGTAAAACTATATGTGGTTTAACACAACTGAAATTACCGTATAATAGCGTTCTAAAGGTCTCCATTACAAAGTTTACCAAATTATTTGCAGCGAGTGCGGGTTGCATTAAGTTCCCTTAAAATGCATAACCAAAATTACAATTTTAAAGAAAGCCAAGCATAAAATCTTAAACACCTTCAAACCTGTTTAAAGCATCTAATGTTCTTCTTCGGCAGTTCATCTTTCGAACATGCATATGTGCAGCGCGTATTATAATTCCAATGATATGTTTCAAAGCAACATTTGAGCCTCTTTAGCCACGAGCAAGCGGAATTTGTATAAATGCAACAAAGAGGCTGTAACTATTATGAATTATTTAACCAAAAGCGTTGGCAATCTGCAATTCTAATTCGAGCCATTTTATCTGTGACGTTTCCCGTGATGCCTTCACCGGTTTCAGAGCCTCCATACCTATTTAACTATGGACCTATTTTTAAGTGTATATGTTTACGCAAACACTTAATCTATTCTATAATTATAAGCAAAATATATTGGCCAAATGCAGATTCACTTACACATGCTATTGTCCACGATAATAAGGAACACGGTTTTTTCGCCATGCTTTAATTTTGATCCAGATATGTAATGTTGCCGTTGGTCTAAACTAAAATATGTAAGGCGGTTTATGGAAAGCAAATGCTGGCATTAAAAAGAGACGTCTCTTTTGGTAGGATTTTTTTTGCCATTATGGAATAATGTAGGAAAAACTTTTGAGGCATGATGTGAAATCTCAAACTCATTCAGTTGTTCATTTTAAACTGATGGCCAATGCTTTGCCTCACTGTTTGAAAGCGTAGTTCTAAAAAGCTTCAAAACGACGACGTCGAAAAAATAACGAAGGTAAAACAACCGGATGTTGACGACAGACTGAGTATACACGTCATCTTAGACGTTGCTTCCTGAAATTTAAATCTGTTTCGTGTATGAAACGCAAGCAATTGTATTTTAATCAACAAAATATTCGTTGAAATGCGAAGCGATACGGGAAAATGATGAAGCAATTTAAATTATTCTTTATTGCCGCCCGCTCAAATGCTCTATTAATATGCAAAACTTGCTGAATTACCTCGAATAAAAAGCTTTGTTACTATTCAAAGTGAAATTAAATAACAAATTTGACGGCGCAATTTTGCTGATTGTATATGTTTTGAAATTTGAATTTACTAAAATGAGCCGAGGTTAAAATGCAATCTCATTCATAAACCTACAAATTATTGTAGTTTAGACGCTATGACTTCTTCTTGAGAAATATCAGTGCTTGAGAATACAAAGCGCTAACCGAACTGAAAGAATAAATTGTAGTATTTTTACTGTCATCCATTCAAATATACTTCAACACAACATAATTTAAACAGATTTACCTAGATGTACAAACTTGACGGAGTTGGGTCACGCGATGATCAACATCCTTTGATTTATTGTTAAGACTCCTTAGAAATTTACACTTGTCGATTAAGCTGAAGGCAGAATCAATGAACCAAGGCTTCCAATTCAAAATTCAAAATACTTTCGTAGCAATGTTATTGGTTATGAACATCCGATTAATGTAATCTCACCCGTTGAGTTACTCTGAATGTACAACCGATTCATGTTGAGCGTTGAACGGAAATGTTTGTAACGTTCGTTTTGAACGTTTAAAAGTGACGTTTCCATTCAAATAAAGAAACGTTGCTATAATCATTATCTGTCAAACGGAACGATGTAGCTTTTGATAAAAATGCGGAACATTATTTAATATCAATTGTTTCTAATGTACTTACGTGTATGGTAGGTGAGGTGCAGACGGGGGGTGCGATCAGTTGGTATTTGACAAACTTGGAGATCAGATTCGTAAGTGATCCTAATCGTCGAGAGCCTGACCACCCCCGACTACACCTTATCACACCGGATTAAGCTCGGTGGAAAAGAATAATGAAAGAAATTTTGTTCTGTACTACACCGCAACGTGTAGATAATGATGACGTAATGCTGTGTCCGTGCGTGTAGCATGCGATAGTGATGCTCGTTCCAAGTCTGCGCGCGCCGTTCCTATGATATAAACCTTAGTTATTGCGTAACCTCATTAAATACAATGCTTTTAAACTCGTCGAATATAGAGTTTTACAAATTTGTCGTCAATTTATGGAATGGTATTTTCTTAGCAGAGTAATAATTGTGGACAACTTCAGTCTCCATTAAAGACATTTGATTTACAGCGAGTGGAATTTATCTTTACGATCTAAAAACGTTGGCAACGTATTTTTATGTGCATGGGAACGTGACATCACTCAACACTCAACTGAATAAACTGTAGTTCGAAAGGCAAATATATACAAGAATAAGCTTCTATATTTGTTGTCGCAGTGAGTTAGCAAGGCAGCAGATCTAAAGATAGCAGGCAAAATTTATAAATTTAGCTTATGAAATACATTTCTGGTAAAAGTATGGACACAAAATGCAATGCACTCTTCGTATAAAACGGACGTGACTACTATCCGATTACATAAGTCTTCATTCAATTGCTGGTATATAAAATGCTATAAGAACTAATTCTTAACTTTACATACGACATGCTATTGTATGATGATTTTCTACCACTCAAATGGTCTGTTTCAGGGCGGTAATGTCCCATTTTGGTTTTTGTTGTGACTTAACAATTTTACAACTATTAATCGTGAGCATCAAGGAATGTACAAATTTAACTTTTTTGTCTATTATTGTTATTTAACTGTTAATTGGTAGAAAGGCTTGCGCTTTTCACTTGAACTTTCAGTTTTCTTCCTCGTACAACTGAAAGAAATAGTGAAGACTTATTGTGAACTGTAAAGTTTACTGACAGTTAACCATGCAATGGAATTAACTAATAACAAAAATAACATACCATACATGGGACACATACGAATGCAATGTATCGAGTCTGCAAAAAAACATCAAATTTTAATAATGATACTGTGTGTTGACTGTTTTTTATGGCATGCAACAAACTAAACCATCATCAATAATGCACGAAGGATTAGGAATTAAGCTTTTCTTCTGCAAAAAGACCAGATGCTAAGACTTATAAAAGAACATATTGTCAAATAAACAAAAAAAATCAAGTTTGTTGAGTCGTATTTTGGGACTTTTCATTGCTATCATGTGACTTATAAATCTACTTTTGGTCACTTACTAAGCAAAACTCGACAATTAAAACAACAGCAGCAAGGAAAGAAAACACCTAAAAAAGAGTTTAGACATAGGTGATCTTTAAATAAATCTTCAGGAGAAATTGGGTTTCTTTCATTTTGTATCTATAAAGATATGTCACTTACGGAAGCAACAATAAGATAAGTACAACTGACATAATTATCTGTCTTTTGGAGCCAGTCACAAAATGAAGTGTTTGCTTTTGGTGTATTCATCTTGTCATTATTGTAGCTAGAATACGTGACTGCTAAAACAACACCAGCTGCGAACAGCAAAATGGCCAAAAAAACCGTGCTGAAATAAACCTAGAAATCGTGTAAAGTATTTGTTGGTTTTATTAGTTTATAATTTAGAAGGATTTGTTATTGTCAACCACATTGAAGAAGCTTACATAAATAGATGTCAGTGAGCAGGTCACTACAGATACTGAAAGTTATGTACACGCAAGCTTGCAAATTTTAAACTAAGTATTGTTGTTTTGTTTTGTGGAGAACCTTTGTCTCATAAGTAGCCGAACTCTAACTGATTACTTACCGTCGCTTTTAAATTTTTGAATACATTTATCATGATCATGACAACCAAACAAATCATTGTGGTGATAGTGGCAACCAATCCATATTCCAAATATCCTCTTTTTCCCCACCTGCAAATTTCGTCGTCTGCCTTGTCCAAGAATATGCTAAGTGTAGTGATAGCAACCACTAAAAAAACCTAGGGTGATGTTTTGTTATGATGAATCACTTTATATTTTATTTTCACTGGATTGGAAGATTTTTAAAAGCATAGTTTTTCTTTTCAACCCTTTAATTTAAGTAAAAGAATAACTTGGCCTTTTTTACGACTTTCATTTTGAAAGGGTGCATGGCTAAAGTTTATTGCATAATTATATTCAAAATATCTTGGAGAAACGCAGACCCACTTACCAATGCTATTGCCCATGATGCAATAGAACGCTTGTTTCTCTCAAAGTCAGTCATATGTTTTAATTTTGATCAAAAAGGATAATGCTTCAGTTGCTCTAAACTAAAATATGTAGAGTGATTTATAAAAATAAAAGACAGACATTAATACGTCCGAAGAAAGGGACATATTTAATTTGCTTAAACATTCTGTCTGTACATTTTGGCAATGTGCGTTGATTATATATTTGCGTTCTTTTGTCTGAAAAAAACACGTTCTTTTAATGCCTTTGAGCAAAATTTCTGCACTCATCTCTTTCACTGTCATTCAGCGTTTGCTACATTAGAATGCACGGGCGCTGATTGGTTGAATTTTATAAATCGTGTTTCGAAATAAAATTCTATATAAACACGGGAATTTCGGTCTCGCGGGTTGCGTGGTTTGTGTAGGAATTTTTTAAAGTAAAAATATAAACGATATGTAGATAGAATCGATAAATTGATGTTTTCAATATTGTTTTATCGGCTATATTTTACATCGGCTATGTTTTACAAAGGAAATACAAAACATATTTAATTGTTTCTATTGAGTTATAGAAGCATGCACTTGTACGAGTTTTGGAGAAACTCGAAATTATTGTGAACACTCTCACTTCGTGCTCAAGCTTGCCACGCAATTTCTGGCCTACATTGTAAAAAACTTCAGGATGTAATTTGATTGGCTGTGTATGAAGACGTAAAAGTTGAGCTCGCCGTGATGCATAGAACGTGATCAGATAATATGGATATCCTGTAAAGTTTTAGAAAGTATTTGCATCAAATTTTACTTCTTTATTGAAGAGTTATCTTTACTGTTTGTCCTAAAAGCATTGGAGCAAATCCTTCGCATTTTCAAAAACGAGTTTCACTTTAATTTAAAAGTTCTTTGTTTAGTGTAGTTTTCATAAAGAAGGCCGTAGCCAGCGGGAAGTGGTCTGCTTAAGTGTAATTACTAAATTGGCCAACTGATCTGCCCTCAAGTTCTTCCTAACGTTTCCTCGGTTTGAATAAGCTTGTGCGAACACATTAAACATTTTTTATTTTTAAACCAATCACGTCTATCAATATATACTATAGGCATTTAATTAGTTGAAAATTACACCCGCAGTGAAGTGGATAATGTTATTGATCGCGTGGGAAATACCAAGAATTGCATAAAGCATTTTTTCGTAATAATTTGAAACGTATATAAAGAGCTTTTTATAGTAGAAAATGAAATTAAATCACATTGACGACGCAATTAGTTTTAATAATTGTAGCTAAGGTAGATATTCACCTCATCTATAAGCCTAAGATTTATGGTAGTTGAAATGACTCCTCTTTTAAGAAATATTCGATGAAAATGCAAAGTGACTCCAGAACTGAATCGAACAATTTAAAATATTTTTGTTGTCATTAGTTCAAATATACTTCAACACAACATGTGTTAAACAGACTCGCATAAGATAAACGAACAGACTCATATAAGATAAACAAACAGACTCACATAAAGATAAATAAACTTCTTGATTGATTTAGTGTTGAGTAACAATCAAAGTAATCCTTTGAAGCAAAGATCCCACATGGCTCCTTAGAAAATGTCAGTGACGGATTAAGCTTAATTAGGCAGAATAAATAGGGCCTTCAATCAAAAATTTCAAATACTTTTGCTACGATGTTTTTTCACGGTTATGAATATCCGATTATTTTCATTTTACAAATCGAATTAATTTTACTGCATTTTGAAACGTAAATGTATCCGATATAAGCTGCTATATTTTATTTTGAGTTACGCCACTTAAAAAAATTATTGAAATTCTTGTTTGCTTGCTTGACTAAAAGAAGCGTTTGTCGTGTCAGAAAAAATAGTGTCCGTTAAAGTTTTTTGAAATAACTCATTAAATACTATTTAAATAAACTTACCGAAATGCGTATTGAGAATTCCCTGTAAATGATAAATTACCACTGCATTACATCTTTCGTTGACTATAATTTGGGAGCATTTGAAAGTTAGGCGTGGGTAGATTCGGCTTGCATAATGCATCCAGTTGGAGTTGAAGTCAGTGGTCAACAAGCATTAGTGAAAACCGACTCATAGCTGTGAACCAGGTAACAGTAACGTCAGAATCTGTTTAATCAGCCAAGAGGTTTGTACATCTAGGTAAATCTGTTTAACTTATGCTGTGTTGAAGTATATTTGTACGGATAGCAACAAAATATTTTAAATTGTTTATTCCGTTCGGTTACCGAATATGATTTTCAAGGAATATTTCTCGATGAGAAGTCATAGCGTTTAAAATTCGATGATTTGTAGTTATATAAATAAGATTAAATTCCACCCTTTTGTGTCTTTATAGTAATAATCAACATTATCCCTTGATTCTTTGTAAGATCACAACCTTGACAGTGGTCGATTATGCTTAGGGCAGAATCACTGAAGCAAGGCTTGCAGATCAAAATTCAAAATACTTTCGTAATAATTAATATAATCTCATCCATCAATGACCAAGTTGCTTTTAATCACAGTATAAAAACAATCAATAGTCTCAGTTCCACTTTGTAACTTGGTGATGTATATCTAATTAGATTTTTAATGTACAGCCGATTCTGGTTGAGCTTTGAACGGAAATATTTGTTACGTTTGTTCGAAATATTTGTCAAGTGACGTTTCCATTCACATAAAGGATCGTGACTAAAACACCACACGAGTACGTACGAGTACATACGAGTGACATGTTCTCGTGTGGTGTTTTAGTCGCGATCCACATAAAGAAGCATTGCTGTAATCATTATCTGTCAAACGGAACGACGTACTTTTTGATAAAAATGCGGGGAGGTACATAACTAAATATTTTACTTTTAAACTCATCGAATAAAGAGTTTTACAGATTTTCCAGCAATACACAGACTGATTTTACGTATTTTCTTAGCAGAGTAATAACAGTAGACAACTTCAGTTTGTACTGGAAATGTTCTCTGTATTTATAAATATCCGACGTTACATCATGAACATTTTAATGCTTTTTGAGTGCGCTTCAGAAAGAAAGCAGGTGTAATGAGTGTATTTTCTGCTATACCTTCTTGGAAGTGAAGGCTTCACATTTTAATTAATTATTTTTTGTTGGAATGATTATAAGAAGTAACACAACGTAATACAATTATTTATTATGAATACATTCGAGTGTACAAATGTAGTGCAATTGTCTATGTAATAATTTTATTTAAGTGTGAATTAGAAGACATTTCCATGTGTTTTCTCTAAACATTGAGTTTTATTCCTCTTCACAACACTAAAAGAAATAATATAAAATTGATGGTTATATTGATAATGAAAATTGGAAAATTTTAGAGTTAAATATTGGAAGTAAAATATCGAAATAACATACAACGCAACTGCAATCGACTCTTACATTCCCAGCCTGCAAAAAAAACAAACTTTTGATGAAGATACTGCGTGTTAACGATTTTTATGTCGTACAACAAACAAAACTCTCAGATTCTCATTAAAAATGCCTTAACTCCTTATAGGAACTAAAGAAGTGTCATATGTAAAGTATACGTGCATCAAATGTTTGTCAATGTATGCTTTTCAATCAGTTTATTCCAGTCAAAATTATAATAAAACTTAATACATACTTTTAAAAGTATATCTGCGCCTAATTAAATTATGGAAGTTCAAAACTCCATGAAACTACTCTTAACGAATAAACAAAACATATTACATGAAAGAAGAACATTTATTGGAATAATTTCGTCTATAAATGACAAAACCATATGAATTATTTAGCACAAACTTGTAAACACAGCTTAGCTACGAATCTGTTCTGACAATCTTACTATGCAAGTTGATGGTTACAACAACTTATCAACAAGTTTTTCAAACAAACAGCTTGCTGTCAACCATTTTGCAACAATTAACATGTTATAGGTCTGCGAATAAGTTCAGACTTTTTCAGTCAAAATGTCTTGACAAAAATATCCGTTTTACATGTGTAGGTCACATATAAAAAGTAAACTCTAAAGCTTTTGTGATATTTACTGATCAACTTAAAACAATCTAAGCGAATTTTCACTCAATGCATGTACCTCAATACACAATCGACAACTCCCCATCTAAAACCTATAGCTTTTAGCAGTATAATGTGATTTGAAAATCTACTGTAAAAGTGCTTGTAGGGTGGAAGTAATGCAAGGTCACTTACACAGGAAGCTTCGAAAAGCAAAGCAAGAGCAGCCAAGAATGAAACCGCCTATAGTAAAGAAAAATGTTTCTATATTTATAAGATAACTTCACATAAACTTATAACTAAGTAATTTTGATTTTTTTTATCTGAGGACTTGCTACTTACAGAGGCGCCGATAAGATAAGTACAACTGGCAAAATTATGCGTTTTTTGGAGCCAGTCACAAAAGGTGGTGTTTGCTTGTGGAGTATTCATCTTGTCACTATTGTAGCTAGCATGTGTGACAGCTAAGACAACACCAGCTGCAATCAGCGTCATGACCAGAACAATCTTGCTCATAACAATCTTAAAGTCAAATACAGTATTTGTTGGTTTTGCTCATATTTGTCGGCTTATTAATTTAGTCATGATAACTTGATAATATAAATTGGTTTTATTAACGATGGGTATAGAATGAGTTCATTAGAGATTGTCTGTTGTTTAAAATACAAGACATATATTGACATTTTCATATGAGCCCTAAAGAATGCAAACGTATATAAAACATCAAGCCATACATTGGAATTTTGTAAACAAAGTAATTATACTTGTTTTAAAATTATAGAGTAATGTTATTTTTGTTTTGTGGAGAATTTTAGTCGCATAACAAACGAGAGAGCTGACTATGATGTTGATTACTTACCACTACAGAAGAATTTTTAAATAAATTTAAGAATATCATGGCTATTACAGCAGTCAGAGCGGTAATAGTGGCGTTCATTCCAAATTCCAAATTTCCTCTTTTTCCAAAAATGCATATTCCGTCATCCGTCTTGTCCAAAAATATACCAAGTGTAATGAGGACAATCATTAAAAATACCTAGAGCCGGTAACGCAATGTTAATTTACATTTCACTTTCTTATCATCTCTCAATTGTTAAAAAAAATTACTTTGACTTGCCAGAAAGAAAATGTGATTAAAATCTATTGCATATAATTGTTAGCAAGATATCTTGGCTAAATGCAGACACACTTACTAATGCTATTATCAAAGATACAATGGAGCAGACGTTTCTCTCAGCCATTTGTTAATTTTGCTCCTGATAGATAATGCTGCAGTTGGTGAAACTAAAATAAGTAAGATAATTGATAGAAAGCAAAAATGATAGCAAAGGCAAGCTTCAAAACGTTTTCTTCATATGGATATATATTAAAAAGCCTTAATTTGTAAGATCTTCAATATTGAGAAACATAAGAGACATTGTGAAGAGATGAGAAATCTCTTTTTTGCTTCCTCTCATGTTTATTTTTAAAAAATGGCCATGTAAGTCTGTTCACTTTCCTTTCATGAAGCTGATTTCTAAAAGCTTTAAATTTGTGATGTTGCACGGTGTTTATAATGACAGACCAAAACATTACATGCAATGTCTTGAGACAAACTATAGGAGTGAAGCTTGCATGTTTAGCAACAACAAGAGAATCACCAATTATGTCTTCTTCAATCTCAATAGCCTTTATTTCAATGTTGGATCTCATAAGTTCAGCAAGCCCACTTTTTCTGGTGAAGTATTAGTTGTACTTTCATTTATACACAAATCACAATGAGGTTTTTATCATCTTCGAAACATTTGGCATGCTACCTGCCTATTTACACAGAAAATTTCTTTACTTTTTACGTAGTGGCTAGCTTCTCGTGCAGAGCTGAAATCCGCAAAAATGTGACAAATATATATTGATAATTATGATTAATAATTATATTAATAATGGCGATTAGTTATGTCAAAATGAGAATTTTTTATAAATATTTTTATGAACAATTTGTCCATGGATAAAAGATTTCCGTATTGTAGCTACATCAACTTAAATTATGAGAAATATCTTTTGGTCGCCTTTTTGTGATTACAGCAATCAAACCTACGTATTTGTGAAATGTAAAATTTGTAACTTTCATTTGGGATTTGAATTAAAAGACAATTGGCTTAATAACTGTATATTCTTCAATAGCTAGTTTGAAATGCATTTTGTCTGCCCGTGAAGACTTTCTCAAGCTGCCATGAAAGCGATAATGCAATAAACCGTGTCGATAGATAATACCAAGAAATAGTACAAAAGCATTTTTCCCCGTAATTTTGTCTTATTAAAAGAATTCTTAATGCTAAATAAAAGCGAAACAAATTAACAAATTCTACGACGCAATAAGTTTTTATATGATAGCGTATCTTTTCAATTTAGCTTCTAAAATCACCCGAGGGTTATTTTTACATCCTATTTGAAACGCAATGGTGCCCTATTTAAAAAATTTTTGACAATGCGAAACAATACTAGAAATGAAGAAATCTTTCTTCTGGTTTGTGTATCATCCGTTCAAGTGCTTCTATCAATATAAGTTATCTAGACTTACTAAGAAAACGGACTTACCTTAAATAGGAAACTTTCTGAAAATATGATAAAAAGTACAGAAAAGTTAAAACTTTCACCTCTGTTTCTTGGTAAGATCACATCTAACTACTTAGAGATTGTTATTGACGTACTTAACATAAATGGAAACAAAGTATGACACAAATTTGAAATTCAAATTACCTTCGTAACAATGTTATTGAATATGAATCTCCAAACAATATAACGTACAAGATAAACTGCTTTTAAATGTATTTTGAAATTTAAATACATCAAGAATAAGCTGATGTAAGATTTTTTTGCCAGTTTTTATAAAATACCTTAACCATTACAGCATAAATGAACGCTTTTCTCAGACAAAACCAAACCATCTCAGGGCATATTTTTTAAACAACTATTATAAAGATTATGGTAAAATTTTAGAACAACGCTTGCGCAGTAAAACTTAAATTCGTCATTGAAATCGTCATGAGCTTGACCTCAAACTATTGCCCAACCTTCGCCGTGACGTAACTTCTGCATAAATATGCTACAGCCAAATCTGTATTGAGCGGACATCCTGTGTTAAGCGGACATCCTGTGTTAATCGGACGATTCGTGAAGTCCAAAATTTAATGCCATATAGCTAATTCGTAGTTATGAAACTTCTATCATGCGAACACCTTCATTAAACGGAAACTAGTCTGTTTTAAGAGGGTGTACGCTTAATGCTGGTTTAACTGTAACTACACAACGGAAATTTCCATGTAACTGCAATGTGTTTATCTCACAGTAATGAATGGATAATATGACAACAGTGCAATTATAGTAAATTAAATACATCCTTGGTCAATAAAAAATATTTTAAATTATAATAATTCATACTTCACTACTGGGAATGACGTTGATGACGTAAGAACATGAAAATCTATTTTAGAAGTTTAATTTGTAGCAACTCTCGTAAATTCTTTAGTGAAATATTGTGCAGTTTAATTTTAATGTTTGTGATGATATATGGTAAGAGCAAAAGCAAGTTCTCCATCATTGAGTATATATGTATGTATCTTTGCATTTATCACATGCCAATGGTAAAGTTGAATGAATATATTCAATTCGCTTAAATAACACTGTATTCTGAGTGTGCATTGCATCTTTTAATCCACATCTAAAATTTGACAAAAAAGAACTAAATAAAAAGGAGAAAAGAGAAAGTAAAAATTTCAACAACTATTGGGAACTATTAAGCATCGTACACTATAACTTTATTGAGTTACATTGTTCCAATTGGCTGAGCGGTCTGCATGTGATGTTGCATGTCATCGTATACTATAACTTTTTTGAGTTACATTGTTCCGATTGGCTGGGCGGTCTGCATGTGATGTTGCATGTCATCGTATACTATAACTTTTTTGAGTTACATTGTTCTGATTGGCTGGGCGGTCTGCATGTGATGTTGCATGTCATCGTACACTATAACTTTATTGAGTTACATTGTTCCGATTGGCTGGGCGGTCTGCATGTGATGTTGCATGTCATCGTACACTATAACTTTATTGAGTTACATTGTTCCGATTGGCTGGGCGGTCTGCATGTGATGTTGCATGTCATCGTACACTATAACTTTATTGAGTTACATTGTTCCGATTGGCTGGGCGGTCTGCATGTGATGTTGCATGTCATCGTACACTATAACTTTATTGAGTTACATTGTTCCGATTGGCTGGGCGGTCTGCATGGATGTTGCATGTCATCGTACACTATAACTTTATTGAGTTACATTGTTCCGATTGGCTGGGCGGTCTGCATGTGATGTTGCATGTCATCGTATACTATAACTTTTTTGAGTTACATTGTTCTGATTGGCTGGGAGGTCTGCATGTGATGTTGCATGTCATCGTATACTATAACTTTTTTGAGTTACATTGTTCTGATTGGCTGGGAGATCTGCATGTGATGTTGCATGTCAAAAGGTGCCAACTATATACATGCATCCTCTTTACCCCATCAAGTACCTCTACTTTGTTAAGTGCACTATGTAACTTACAAATATAGTGTAAAACGTAGATATAGGAAGAAAAATCACTTACAAGGCCTGCCTCAATGATCAAGAAGGAAAAAGCAAAAATGCAAAATACCTAAAGAAAGTAAGAGTTTTTATATGTAAGAAAACTTTGGACAAACATTTAAAGAAAGTCAGTTTCTTTTTTTTTATAAATGTCTATTTACAAACGACGACATGCTACTTACAGAACTCCACACAAGATAATCACAATTGCCGTGATTGCTTGACTTTTTAAGCCATTGGCAAAATGTCATGAGTCCTTCGACCGTATTCTTCTTATTATTGTCATAGTTTGTATGTGCTTTGGCTAAGACACATCCAGCTGTCAACACCAATAAGGCTACTATAACTCTGCCCCACAACACCTTAAAATCAGACATTGTTAATATGTAGAATAAGGACTTCATCATGATGTTAATTAGGAATACCTAAGCAGTGTACGCTACTAGAGCTAACGTCAAGGGCCTGGAAAGGAGTTTGCTTGTTACCTTCACACTTTCATCATTTAAAATTTTCCGTAGATAAAACACTATAATGAAAACGAGACTGATTAAAGAGACTGTAATGACGCTCAATCCATACGTCAAGGCGCCTATGTCGTTCCATTTTTCGATTACATCATTTGTCATTATCATAAAAGTACCAAGTGTGCAGACGGCAGCCAGCAAGCAAATCTGAAAAAGTACATAACGTTATTTACTCTTATTTATGAAATACATAATGTAGTTCTTATGTCTCGTTTATCTTCTAGGATAAAAGCGTAGGATATTTTGTATTTGGCGAGTCTTTAAAAAAAATAGCCTGACACACCTAGATGTTTGAGTATAGGTCAGTAGAAACGCCTTAAACTGACTTTCATTTTTCAAAATATTTGATTTTATAAAATACCGATGCTGATAAAGTTTCATTAGTTTATTTTTAACAAGAATTCAAATTTTTTGTAACTTAATTTCATGTGACCATTATGCTCAATACAATCATGTAGATTAAATTTTATAAACGAATAATGTGACCAATGTGTCAGTCATTACACGTAGGTAAAATATTTAGGAAAACAGACTTACAGATGCTGTAAACCACGAGCCTAAAGAATACGCTCCTATATTATTGGCCATCTAAAACTTTTTTTGTTGAACTGCAACGGTAAAAAGAAAAAGACCAACAACATGACGAGCATTGATGATATAAAATGTAATTCGCTTTATCTTTAAAGTGTCCAGGATCGTTTGTAAAAAAAACACCAGTGACATGTAAATGACAATGTTGAGAAACTATTATTAAAGTCAAAGAATATTTACCTGATAAATCATAAACAATTTGCTACATGAGAAAACTACCCATTTTCCCCTTTTGAATAATTTGATTGTCTGAGAAGTCTTTTAAACTGAGCCAATTGTTATGATATATTTGAAGTATCAAAATAATTTCGTATTTTAAGAATTTAAGTAATGAACAAAGCAGGCGATGCAAAAGGTGTTATTGGTATACTATCTAAGAATCAGAGAACCGTAGTATGTGAAACGCAATGACGTCTATTTCAAGAAATATTGAAATATCAGCCCCATAAACCTAAAGGGATTTTTATCCATAGTTATCGTGAGGAACATTTTGTACGCGTGTAGAAATATTCTGTTTCATACACTACATTTATTTTCGAATTATCTGCTTCGTTTTAACCTTAAAAATCAGACACGTTGTTGTTTTTGCTTAATACAATAAAAAATTCATGAATAACAATAAAATTTTAGAACAAAGCTGAAAAATTCATTATGATATGCTTCTCAGAAATATGTAAAATCGAAAGAAGTCAAAAATATGAAAATCTTAGTGTGTGTACGTTGCAGTGAATATTTCAACTCCAGGAAATATTTCAACATTTGTCTTGAGCTATCGAAGTTAATCTTTATCGTTTTAAAAAACAAATTGTAGTCTAGTTAATTAGTTCTTTGTTTTGTGTAAATTTAGCTCTCAATATTTCATACACCATAGTCTGCATAAACATAATCGCTTTATATTTACAAAATTTTCATCATATTTTTTAACGTTGCTACATTATTTCTCAAAGCGAGAGGAGGACTAAAAAACCAAGCGTGCATTTTGGTGCTATGATTGAATTGACGATAAGGATAAACTTGCACAAGTAACTAAACCAAAGCAAATACGAAAGATTATTTCACCATTAATTTATCAGTTTGTGGACAAACTATTCGACTTTCGTTGAGTAACTTACTTTTGTATGTTGAAAGCGACTTTTGACTGCGACTTGGTTCCTTAATCTTTGAGACAAGTTCGTCAACAACTTCGTGGAAAACAGTCACTTTTTGTTTGAAATATGATGAAAATGTGGATTGTTTAAGAAATGTTTCATGAATTATTAATAAAAGCTTTGATACATCAACCAATCATAATGATGAAATGAGTTCATAACAACGATTTACGCTCTGTTACGTATGTTAAGCTGGTTTTCATGTAGCTGTAGTATATCTAAACCATTAAAGCGAAACTAAACCTTTTTGATTATTGCAACGACGACAAAACGCAGGAAAAAGGTCGTAACCACTACTGCCACTCGCTTTCCTCAGACAAGTGGTCAACAGTTGCCACGACGTAACTTTAGCATAGACATATTGTTTACGGAAATTTCCATTGAATATGGTGTTGTTTTTAATGTTGTCGACGTTATATTAAAGGATGCTGAATACTTTATATTAGATGTTCTTTGTGTTTCTTTGTGTTCCTGATGTATTTGGACACACGCAATCAAAATAATTAGGTATCCACTTTTAGCAGTGTTTGTATTTTTGGCGGGAAGTAGCTACCTTTCAAATGTTGAACTGTAGACTCGGTTGCCAAAGAAAATCTACTTTGAATGTTTTGTTCTGATTGGCTCTCATAATTGCTTCTTTCTTTGACCAACCAATCTAGAACACTTTTATAAAAAAAATTGCCCTGGTATTTAAATTTTTTTGACCTGGCATTTCGTATTTTTGACCTATCCATTATCCATTATGACCGTACGGTGTCCGGTATGTAGAATAGCACCGTGGTATCCCTGCCTGTCCCTATCCATTATCCTTTACCGTACGGTGTCCGGTATGTAGAATAGCACCGTGGTATCCCGTTGAAAGTTGAGTCATTTTAATAACTTAATCAGTTTGCACAAAAAATGTTTAGATTTAAGTGTAGGTAATACTATAGTCCGGTTTTATTGGAAATCTTACTCCTTACTGAATTGTTTCGAACATTCTTGTTTATCTGTTCAAAATGTCGAATCTCATAAGGAAATTTGATTGAAATGTTAAATGTCTAGAAATATCTCACTTGTCCCTGCATGCGTCTGGTCCCAACTAGTGGCTTTCAACTGTAAAAATTTGTTTTTTAACTCAAGCTCAAGAACATATATTATTAATACAGGTTGCATTGGTTAATGTTTTTGGGACTGGAAACATGCGTTTTCATGCACGGTGTTCTGCTATCGTTAAAGGGCTTAAAAATTTTACTACTTAAATTATAGTTTCATTTAACAGAACTTTAAAAAGGACAATGTATTTTCTAAAACAATTTGTGCATATCTCTTTTCATTCTCGTAATATTGAAGTTTTCGTAATGTCCGATCAACCCAACTTTCGACGTCATTTTTCAAAACGAGTCCCCGGAAAGTTTTCAACATCTTTTATATTTAAGTCAACTTTTGGTTGAAATGATCATGCAATTGTTTATACCATTAACTCTTCAAAATTAAGGGAACTCTGCTCCGTTGAGGTAACAAATCGGCAAACATACCTGCTATTTCAAATTCTCATTATGAAAAATGACGTAGAAAGTTGGGTAGATCGGACATTACAAAAACTTCAATATTTCGAGAATGAAAAGAGATATGCACAAACTGTTTTAGAAAGTATACTGTCATTTTCAAATTTCTGTTAAATGAAATATAATTTAAGTAGTAAAATTTTTAAGTCATACGCCCTTTAAATGACACCATGTAGGTGAGGTGACAACTTGCATCTAGATGTCCGTTTTCCTGTACAAAAATGCGCTTTCATGGAAGAAATCCTCAAAACATGTTTAACACTTTTAGTTAAGTGCATGCATGCATACCTAGGACAATCAATAGCAATGTTTCATGGGATCTCTCATGTTATAAAAAACAAAACAGGAAAAACAAGTTAAATATGATACTATCTGCTATATTATCTAGTCTACAATTAAAGACTTCTTAATAGAGTTATACAATTAGTAATACAACTAGTTACAACCATTAATTATGAGCAGCATCGAGTGTAGAAATGTAATGTCTCTATTGTTTATGTAACAATGTTATTTAAGTGTAAATTTGTGGAAAAGCTTGCATGTATCACTTGATCTCTCGGTCTCCTTCCATCCACAAGTTAAAGAAATTATTTAGCGAAGACTGATAATGATAAAATCTGCTAACTGTTAGCCAGTAGAAGACACAAAAAACAAAAATAACATACCATACATGGGACACAGACGAGTGCAACGTACCGAGACTGCAAAAAAAGATGACCTTTTAATGAAGATATTAACTGTGTGTTGACTATTTTTATGTTATGCAACAAACTAAACCATCATTAATAATAGCCTAAGTTAGAAATTAAGTTTTTCTTCAGTCTAAAAAGGCAAGATGCTAAGACTTACAATGGAATATATTCGTATTAAATGACGTTACATTCTTATCGCGTGAATTAAATCTAGTTTCACTTACTACGCAGAACTCGACAATTAAAATAACAGCAGCAAGGAAAGAAAACACCTAAAAAACGAGTTTAGACAAAGGCGATCTTTAGATAAATCTTCAGGAGAAATTAGGTTGCTCTTCATTTTGTATCTATAAAGATATGCTACTTACGGAAGCGACAATAAGATAAGTACAACTGGCATAATTATTTGTCTTTTGGAGCAAGTCACACAATGACGTGTTTGCTTTTGGATTATTCATCTTGTCATTATTGTAGCTAGAATGGGTGACAGCTAAAACAAAACCAGCTGCTAACAGCAAAATGGCCAAAACAACCGTGCTGAGATAAACCTAAAAATCATGTACAATGTTCGTTGGTTTTATTTGTGCAAGGTAGTAAGGATATGTTACTGTTTAACGACACTGAATAAGTTTATACAATAGATGTCAGTGACCACTGACCAGGTCACTACAGATATATAAATTATGCACACGCATGTATTGTTGTTTTGTTTTGTGGAGAACCTTAGTCTCATAAGTAGCCGAACTCTCACTGATTTCTTACCATCACTTTTAGACTTTTGAATACAAATATCATGATCATGATAGCCAAACAAATCATTGTGGTGATAGTGGCAACCAATCCATATTCCAAATATCCTCTTTTTCCCCACCTGCAAATTTCGTCGTCTGCCTTGTCCAAGAATATGCTAAGTGTAGTGATAGCAACCACTAAAAACCTAGGGTGATGTTATGTTGAATCACTTTATATTTTATTTTCACTGGATTGGAAGATTTTTAAAAGGATAGTTTTTCTTTTCAACCTTCAAATTTAAGTAAAAGAATAACTTGGCCTTTTTTATGCCTTCATTTTGAAAGGGTGCATGGCATACGTTTATTGCATAATTATATTTAAAATATCTTGGTTAAATGCAGACCCACTCACCAATGCTATTGTCCACGAAACAATGGAGCGCTTGCTTATCTCAAAGTCGCTCATTATGTTTTAATTTTTCTCCCGAAGGATAATGCTGCCGTTGTTCTAAACTATAGCATGTAAAGGGATTTATAAAAAAAGCGAAGACAGATATTAATATGTCCTGATAAATGGACATACTTAACTAGCTAATAAACATTCTGTCTGTACTTTTTGACAATGTATATTGATCTTCTTTTGTCTCAAGAAAAATAATCATTCTAGATTACGACCTTTGTATTTTCATGTAAAATTTTTTGATGCCTTTAGGCAAATGTCCTTCAATTATCCTTTCATTATCACTCAGCATTTGCTAACATCGTAATGCACGCCTGCTGATTAATTGAACGATAAAAAATCGTGTTTCTATAATTCTCAAGCACTTTGTGCTTGTGTCGTGCTTGCCACACAATTTCGCATTTGCAAAATCGAGTTTCACTTTGATTTAAAAGTTCTTAGCTTAATGTGAGTTTTATAAACCATCGTTGTCATTTTGGTTTTCGTATTTGCACAAAATATATGTTTTCGCAATGTAGACAAAATATTCGTATAGATGTTAATGTAAATATCTTATTCTTGCGAGGAACAGGAGAACTTTGGTGAGCTGAAAGAATGTAGTATACTTGCTGTTGTAATAAGCAGAAAGATGAAACACGAACTCGAATAACTAGATCAGAGGAAACATGTCACATTACCTTACCTTTAAGACAATTTTTCAAATAACTTACAGTAGAGTAACATTTATTTTACTGAGTAAAAAGTGCCAGGTCCTTGATGTTTTTATCCCTGAAGAATACACGTCAACAACTGGTCAACCAAAATGTCGAATTTGTTGGTTGAAGCCTGATGATTTATGCCTTGCTAAAAAAGCATATTGTGTAATTCTTGGCTAATTTGATGGATCGACCAATCATATACAGTAAAACCGGAAGTAAGAGTGTTCTGTGAAGTATTACCAGACTGAACCAGACTAGGTATTTATCGTCACGTGATAATATCAAGTTGCGATGTCAGAAATTTGAAGTGTTGTTGCCAAATTTTTGTTATATATATATTACGCCTTTATTTAATGTAATGTCGAATTAGAAACCTTGCATATGTTGACTTTCTTGGTTCAAATTGTCTTGTGTAGAGATTAAAAATGTTGAACTCCATTCGGGATTTAAGTCAGACGGTAAATGTCTCGCTTTAAAATGTCAAGCTTTTTCACTTGTCCCTGGCTTTGTCTTAAACCAGTGGATTTTAACTGTCACTAAATAATTATTTCGTTAATAATTAAAGAAATTGATAATAATACCACACTAATGGTTACTTTTTTGCATGTAAATATTAATTGCAACGTAGCTTAGTGGTAAAAATCCACAAATCATCCTAGAACATGACAAAATAACTATATGAATCAGTTAACATCTCTAAACTAATAAAAAACCCACGAAAATCATCATAATGTATGATATTTAGTTCTCTTTCTATGAAATGAGTTTATAACATAGATTTACTCTGTTACACTTTTGTTACATTATGTTAAACTGATTTTCATGTAGTAGTATATCTAAGCTATTACAGCGAAACTGAACGTTTTTGATTATTACGACGGCGCAAACGCAATAAAAATATCCTTATTTCAATCCTCTCGCGCTTTCCTCAGACTAATGGTTTAACAGTTACCATTACGTAACTTTAGCATAATTATATTATTTACAGAAATTTCCATTAAATATGGTGTTGTATTTAATGTTGAGGACGTTATTTTAAAGGGTGCTGAATACGTTATATTAAAGCTTCAGTGTGTTCCTGATGCATTTAGAGCATTCTGTCCGAGCTTTGGTTGTTCGACTGATTCTCCCTTCTTCTTTTCATCATCATCTAAAAGTTAACAATAAAGAACAAAAGTTGATAAAGAATAAGAGTATATAACGAAGTGTAGAAGCTTATAATACGTAATGGAGGTTAAATATAAAAAGCAGAAGAAGATAATGATGAATTGAAGTTAGTAATAACGAACGAAAGTCGATTTCATCTCATCCGAATGTCGTTAACCAATAAGGATGTTGTATACATTGCATGCTGGACGATTCTCAATAGTTACTGACGTCGTCAATCTTTGAGTATGCAATGAACTCGGTCCACACCGTAACCCCTCGGCCTTAAATCGAATACCTCTATATCCTGTATATTTCTTGCGTATAATATGCAAATATGACCTAATAGTTAATAAATACAGGATGAAAAGTCACTTACAATGAATGCCTCGATAATCAAAGTAAAAGAAGCGACGAAGCAGAAAGCCTATAGAAAATAAAAAGAAATGTTTTTATATGTAAGGGAACTCGAGACGAATTTTTAAGGAAATAAGGTGCATTATTTAATAATGAACAAATACTATACTCACGGAACTGCTAACAAGATAATCACAATTGACATGATTTTTTGATTCCTTTAGCCACTGGCAAAAAGTCATCCGACCTATGGTCGTATCTTTCTCATCTTTTCCATAATTGGTACGTGTGTTAGCTATGACACATCCAGCCGTAAAGATCAATAAGCCGAGAATAACTTTGCTCCACAAAACCTTAATATGTGTTTGCAAGAAACTGTTAATATCTAAAATATTGAATTCAAGATAACATCAATTTGGTTAACCTTTATTCCTTACGCACGGAACGCAACAAATGCAAGCGTCAAATACCTGGGAACGAGTTTTCGTTAAATTTACGATTGTATTTGCCCGTAGATGAGCTACGTTACAAACATAAGTGTCAAAGACCTGGGAACGAGTTCTAGTTTATTACAGGCTGGTATTTGCCCGCAGATGAACTACGTTACAAACATAAGTGTCAAAGACCTGGGAACGAGTTCTAGTTTATTACATGCTTGTATTTGCTCGTAGTTGGACTACGTTACAAACATAAGTGTCAAAGACCTGGGGAATGAGTTCTAGTTTATTACAAGCTTGTATTTGCTCGCAGTTGGACTACGTTACAAGAGCAAATGTCAAAGGCCTGGAAACGAGTTTTTGTTACCTGGCGGTATGCATTTATACGTAGATGGAACACGATCATTGGGACAAAGCTTATTATTGAAATAATAGTGACGCTCAACCCGTAGGTCAATGCTCCAATGTTATTCCATTTGTGAATTTCATCTTCTGTAGTATTTATGAATACACCAAGTGTGATAATGGCAACGAGTAAGGAAACCTGAAAACGTAGATTATTATTGCACTTACTTACAAACTTACATCGATTATATTTTGTCTTATTTATCCTCTGCGACGCGACAAGTGGCGTAGCCAGCGTACTCGCTATGATTGACATCATGTTTTAAAATATGTCCTATCAAATTTCTGAAATATGTTCACTGAGCAAGTCTTGATTAGTCTACCAGCAATTCACCCCCCCCCTGTGCTTGCATTTTCTTTCTGACACCCCTAATTATCCGTAAAAGCAAAATGCGTCGTTAAAGGAAATTTAGATTACACTTACTGATTCCAGAATCCATAAACCCACAGAGAACTTTCCGACAGCAATCTCCATTCTAAAATTTTGTGGAATTCCTGTGACATAAGGAGATAAAAACTTATCAAGTTAAAAATTACAATAAAGAATTTGTTTTGTTAAAAATTACAATAAAGCATTTTTAAAAATATCAACAGTGTAGGGTCATGTCTTGAATCTTTTTTCTTCCAAGCGGTAAATTATCGTCGTTGATTCGTGAGTTGAAAAAATTTGTTATGATAACTTGCCATCAATATTTGCTATACGCGGGAATAATATTTGCACAATAAAATAGCTAATTGGCTGAGAAGTCTTTCAAATTAAGCATACTGTGAAGGCGATTACGCTAAGAAATAGCACAAAAGCATTTTTTCGTTATAATGTTCAAAGCATTGAAAGAATTTCTTAAAATCGAAACCAAATATCAAATTTGACGACGCATTTTTGATGACAATGTATGTTTTGAATTCTCTAAAATGAACTGAGTGAAAATTTTGAATCATCTTTAAACCGAGAAATCGTCGTATTTGAAATGAAACGTCGTTCATCAAAGAAATATTCGTTGAAATGCAAGAATATATGAGAAATAATAAAACATTTTAACACAGATTGTTTATTGCCACCCACTCAAATGGCTTATTAGTTTGCTAAACTTGTTGAATAAACTTACCTGGATTAACAAGCTTAAACTTGAACTACGATGAACAATATCGTTTGATTCTTGATGAGATTACACGCAACTCATTAGAAGGTGGATTCAGCTTAAGTTAAAATAAACTCAGAGAGCAATTTAAAATTCAAAATACCTTCGTAACAATGTTATTGGTTATGAATTTCCAAACAATATGTAATCTTACCAATCCAACCGCTCTGAAAATATTTTGAAATGTAAATATACCCAAGAATAATTAGCTGCTATAATTTATTTCTATTTACACCACTGGAAATTGTGGACATACTCGTAGCTTGTATGATGAAATAATGGTTTGTCGAGACATAAAAATAATTGTGTTTGTTGAAGAATTCTTTACAAATGCATTAATTATCTTATCATTCAAACGAACTTGGTAAATTTACCGAATAAAGTGATGTGCTCTAATTTAACTTTAACTAATATCTTTACTTTATTTATTCTAAAAGTATAAAGTTACACTGTAATATACAAATACATAAGTGCAAAAACAATGACAATATGATAACAAACCATTAGGTGAAAGTACGAACATGATATTAAAAAACTAATCAAGGAGCTTACAATAATTCTTATAAATAATTAACTGTAACTTACAAATTAGGATAAACAGATTTTCAAACTTGTAAATCACATTAAAGAAATAGACTTAACTGTCAACGCATGACGAACTTCTCGATCTGGGCTAAATTATGATAATATATTACAATATAATATTATAGGAAATCTTCTGCCTCAACCTTCCCTGTCTTCCTGTTTTGTGCGTCCCTGGGTAGGAAGCAGGATCCACATCTATCCCTTCTTTGCATCCACATCAATCCCTTCTTTGCATCCACATCTATCCCTTCTTTGCATCCATATCTATAATTTAAGAATAAAGAATGGAAGTTAATGATAAAGAATAAAAGTATGTGGTGAAAAATGAAATTTTATAATTAAGAATGGAAGTTTTCCATCGGGTCGCCCACGAACTATTCCAATAAGATATTCAAAGATAAATATGATATTGGATGATTGGATAATTTATCAATTTTCATTTTAAATTTCAAATGCCTTTAAAATAATGCCATTGGTTATGAAATTCTAATTAATGAAAATCTTAATAAACTACGCATGGGTTTGTGATAATTTATTTTTGCCAAACGCTGTATGCGTCACTGATGCTGTGCACAACATAACATACTAGCGAGGAGTTTATTTGTATACCATGATGTACGTATGTAGCCCTGTGTGTACCCATCCAATTCCTATATATTCTGTAGCTTTCTTGTGTTTAATGTAAATTGAAAATATACAGTCGATGATACATATATTGTAAAAAAGTACTTACGAATAGTACTTCCAAAGTAAAAACGAAAGAGGCAACGCAGCATAATACCTGTAGAAACTGAAAAGAAACCTTTTATATCTAAGAGAACTTCAAACAAACTTTTGAGTAAAATGATTTTCATTTTAAGCTACACTATCTTTAAACTATTTAATAATGAACAAGTTCTGTACTTACTGAAGTGCAAACAACATAATCACAATCGATTTGATGATCCGACTTTTTAAGCCATTAGCAAAAAGTTATCCGTCCTTTGATCTTATCCTTTTCGTTCTTATCATAGTTAGTTTGTGTGTAAGATATGATGATCGTGTATGTTTTAAATTTACAAAAGTGATCCGAAGGTACATTTTCACACAATCTTCTAACATGGGGGAAACGTCGTATTTGAGACACAGTGACATTTATGAAAGAAATATTCGTTGAAAAGCAAGAAATATAGAAACATTATAAAATATTTCTTATAGTCACCTATTCAAATGTTTCATTAATTTGCAACACTTGTTAAATAAACTTACTGAGATTAACAAGCTTCTTAAACATGTAAATATTGAGAGGGTAAGGATTATCCTTTGATTCTTGATGAGATTACATTCACAACTCCTTTGACATTGTTAGAGGCATATCAATTTAAAATTCAAAATACCTTCGTAACAATGTTATTGGTAGCAATTTTCCAAACAATTTAATCGTACGAATTCTTACTAATCCAACTGCTTTGAAGATATTTTGAAATGTAAATATATCAAAGACAAGCTGATGTAAGATATTTTTATTTACGCTCGTGACAATTGTTGATATTCTTGTTGCTTGTATAATGAAATAATGGTTTGTCGAGGAAGAAAAATAGTTGCGTCTGTTGAAGTAATAATCAATGCATTAAATGTCTTTTCATTTAAGCGAGCTTGGTATTCACTGAGTAAAGTAGCCAATGTGCATAATGAACATTTGCAGCCTTTTACCTTTGGTGTGGGGCCTGGGCTGCTCTCGAATTTTCCCAAAAGTCTTCTTGGTTTGCATAAGCCTTTGTAAATAAAGTAAATATCTTTTGTTTTTTAAATATATATGGATAAAGTTACAATAATTGTGATAACTTACTATACTTCCATGGAAATGACATTTCCGTGTAAATCAACAGTCTCATCGGACGAATTTGTCGATTCAGAATAATTTGTAGAGGTAGTATCATGGTTTCGAGTCCGAAGGGCGAACACAATTTGAAGTCTTTGAAAAACTCGCGGGTCCATGTTTTCCAAATTGCACAAGAAACTATGCTACTATTTTTTAATAATATACATGAAAAAAATTCTCAATTCTGCTGATTTTCAACTCTAGCGTACGTACATAGAGCTGGCAAGTAATTAACATCAATCAACTAGTATTTTTTAATGTCAGTATTTTATCACAAAACCATAGCTTCCACACACGCAGTCGAAACAAGGTATCTATTTTTAGCAGTGTTTGTATTTTGGGCCGTAAATGTCTTGCAAATGCTAAACTGTGGACTCAGTCGCCAAAGAAAATGTACTTAAATGTACTTACGCCATCCATTGCTTTTGTTTACGTTAGCTTTCCCGCCTTTAAAATGTTTTGTTTTGATTCGCTCTCATGATTATTTCTTTGTTTAACTAACCAATCAAGAGCACTTTTAACTACAATAGCAGCGTGCTATTCCTGTCTGTCCCTATCCATTATCCTTTACCGTACGGTGTCCGGTATGTAGAATAGCACCGTGGTATCCCTGCCTGTCGTAAAAGGCGACTAAAAGGGTTAGCGTCATGAAAAATATCCGTCCGTAAAAAATGCCGCACCAAATATAAACATTTGTAACAAATAAACTTTACGGAACATGTAAAAAACAAATTCTTTTTCACGAGTCTCAAAGCTGGAAAAATTTTAAGGAAAGAATATTTGAAATTTTCTACAACGGAAAAATATTCTATCCTTCTGTCAAATATTCTATTAACTCATTCGAACAATTTGATTGGCTGAGAAGTCATTCGAATAGTTTGATTGGCTAAGAAGTCATTCGAACAGTTTTATTGGCTTAGAAGTCATTCAAACTGAGCCCACTCTAATGCTGTTGGATTGGACGTGCTCTAAAGGAATGCTCCATTTGATCACGTAAGGTCCAATAAATTGCCATCTCATTTCCATAAGGAAATAAAACGGAGTTGTTGTCTAAGAATGCATGGAATTGAAGGCTAATTTAATGAATAACGATTATGTTCTGAAATATAAATGGCGAAACTAAAATTTGCAGATTTAACTGAAAACAAACGTGTAAGTACATGTAGTAAAGTAGTTATTTAACAAAGATTACCTTTCTTCTTCACTTTTTAATTTCAAATCTTCATGCTTAGCTACTAACGGTTAAAGCTGTTGAACTACATTCGTGTTTAAATTCAGGCTGTAAATATCTCTTGCTTTTTTCAATCAACAAAATGACCTTGATTTTGACAATTGCTTTTATTTGCTAACTAACTAAGACAATTAGTAATCATATTGTAATCTTATTGAGACACAGTCTACATATATTGATACATAAATTAATGTTAGCCAACCAATCAAGTGCATTAGATTTCAGTCACATGACATCTCATATGGCGCCACCACGAAGTTTACATATGGATGAAAGATCAGTTTCATGGATGGCCTCCACAATCAAAACGAAAGAAGCAAAAAAGCAGGCTGTCTGTAGAATAGAAAGAGCTCGTGCTTTAACATTTTGAAAAACGATAAAATATTTTTCATTTTTGATAAATCAAAGGCCAATGCAAACTACTTACTGAAGCTACAACAAGATAATCACAACTGACGCGATGATAAGAATTTTTAAGCAGACGGCAAAACGTCACGTGTCCTTTTGACGTGTTTATGTCGTGGTTATCATAGTTGGTATGTGTGTTAGCTAGGACACAGGTAACCGTTAACAGCAAAAATCCCAGGATAATTTTACTCCAGAAAACCTTAAAAAAATAACATAGTTTCTAAAGTTAACATTTTATCCATAAAATTCTCATCAAAACTAAATGAAGGTTGCTAATTGCTAGCTACATTGAGGTTGTTAATTGCTAGAAGTAGTTCAATTGAGGTTCTTAATTACTAGAAGTAGCTAAATTGAGAAGTAGGTAAATTGTTAATTGCTACATGTAGCGTTGCAGCATGTTTTGGTCGTGCAAAGTAAATCTTCAAACATCATTATGAATTTTTTTAGCAATCCATTGTTTTCACAGTGAGTTAACACAAAAAATTAGCAAAGTTAAGCCTGGTTGTGCCATTAATTGCTTTTATGATGCATTGCATATGTTATTTAGCTATAATGCCAACTTGATAAAAAAAGGAACAGAATTCACCATTTTTCCATGTGTTTTGTTTTGGCTACCACTTTTTTTCATTGATAAATGAAAAGTGACGATGGCGGATAGGCAAACAAGTGATGCGATAATCACACTCAGTCCATACGTCAAAGCATGTATATTATCTGATTGGTGGGGTACATCATCTGTCTTGTTTATGAACACACCAAGTGTACTGACACCACACAACAAAAAAGCCTAAAAATTTACACCAATATTAATGTCGTTGGTTGACTTTTTACTCCAGTGTTGAAGTAGTAGTTGAAAAAAGACCGTTTCGTTGTCATATTTATGTCAGGAGCGTATTTGTTTTAGGCAATGATTTCAACTTTTCTAATTTTGAATGGTATTTACTACGCAGTATATTTGTCACAAGAAGGCATACACGTAAAGCACAGAGGATCTTACTAATTTATTTGGGCCTGAACTATAGATCTTTGTAAGCATCTAAGTGCTATAGGGAAATCAGTTTCTTCATACTTAGTAACATGTGCATAGCGTGAGATATGTTTGTAATGTACATGTATTTGTGTGATATGATATGAATCCACCCGGTAAACGTCGGGTAAATGCCTGAGCGCAGGCGTTGTGAATTTTAAACAATTTCATTGCACTTATATGTGCGAAATAATAAATGACGAAGACAATCTCCAGCACACTTACAAATTCTAATATCCATGAAACTATGGCGAACTTTCCTATTTCATTGACCATTTTTAAGATTTGTCAAATTCCTATGCAAAAAAGAAATAAACAGACAATTTGGTAAAAGTTGGTATTGTAACCTAATTTATTTCGTCCTTAAAGAGTTCTGGCTCATGCTCTTATGTAATAAAGTTAAAAGGCATTTTGTGAAACTCCGAATTGTAAATATCTTTTTCAGTTCTCATGATGGAAGAGATTTGTTCTATATTGTTTAGAGAATATGCTTCGTAGGAAAAAATATTCCATTTATAAAATAAGGCAATTTAATTGGCTGAGAAATCTTTCAAACTGAGCCCGCTGTGAAATCGAACGATGCAATGGACCCCATGAGGAAAATGCTAACAAATTGCACAAAAGCATTTTTATCGTGATTTGAAAACCTTCAGAAAGAATTAAAAGAATTTCTTATAGCTAAAAGCAACAGTAATGAACAAATTTGACAGATTTGATTGATGAATGTTTTAAATTGACCGAAATGACCTCAGGGAAGGTTTCGACAGAAAATGTGCTCTAAGCGAAATCACATTTGAAACGCAATGCCGTCTTATTTAGTAAATATACGTTAAAAATGCAAGGCGATACGAGATTTGAAGAAACATCAATTATTTTCATCGTCATCTACTCCAAGATACTTAAATGCAACAAGAGTTAAACAGACTTACCTCAATCAACAAACTTCTCAGCTAATTTAACATTGAGCAATAATCAAAATAATCTTTTCGACTCTTGGTAAGATCACACCTAACTCCTTAGAAATTGTCAGTGGCGTGATAACCGTGAGTCAAAATAAACTCAAGCAGCAATTTAAAATTCAAAATACCTTCGTAACAATGTTATTGGTTATGGATTTATAAACAATGTATATCTTACCAATCCAGCTGCTCTGAAAATATATTGATATGTAAATATGTCCAGGATAAGCTTCAATCAAATATTTTAACCTGCGACGCTGGAAATTGTTGACATTTTGATTGCATGCTTGATAAACTATGAAGGCATTATTAAAACAAATTTTTACTAATGCAATTGAGGTCAAAGAGCATTCGCAAACCAGTTTTCGATTTAGAAAAGATAAAGCCTCATAATTCCTCCTCGCCGGCCGTCCGCTTCAAATAGACCCTACAGAAAGAAGTCCTTACTGATTTTAAATGTAATTTAGCATTTGTCGGTCAGTAATTCACTGTGATTAATGCCATAAAGTCGAGTTGAGTCGAACTTTGTATTTCTGATACGCGTGATTAACCCGGAAAGTAAATAAAACTATACGAACTTGTGTGGGTAGCATTATAGTTTACGATAGGATTTGGGCTATGTTGTATTAGCCGTATATTATTCTAGATCAATTTATAATTGAAACGCAGACTACACAGTGTATGGTGTCAAAAGCTGACTGTTCTTTAACCACAGACCATGTAGGATATGAATGATGAATGAGGAAACAAATATAAGACTCTTTATCTGCTTTTACGACATAAGAAATAAGATGAACAACTAAAATTATTTTTCTGTCTTTGAGTCTAGACAAACTTTGACAAAAATTTACACGTAATTTCATATAAATTAATGACTTTATTCACTCTCCCACTTCATTTGACGTAAGTCGTCGTAAGTATTCGTAAGTGCCCGTAACTATATTCTTAAAGCAATTGTGCAAATAATATTTGCTCGCAGCTTTCAGTATTGAGCTCGATCGTTTTCAATCAATACATAATATAGTTGAAAACTATTTGTTTTGCTGATGTCACTATTTCCAAGACGTCACTATTTAAAGTGACGTCATTATTTTTATGACATCACTATCCCACGTGAACACCTTTCAACAATGCAAGACTACGTATATAAAACTGTTAGAGAGAATGAGGACAGTGGTTTGGTTTAAGTAGCTACAGCTGGAGGCGGAGTTTTATCTCGTATCAACTTGAAATTGAAAAATCCATCGACTGCAAATATGACGGCAGCAACAAAACACGTCACCTGTTAAAAGAAAACATACATTGATTAAAGCATGAGCAAATTACTTGTAACTAAAGGAAAGTTAACAGAAAATTAACAACGCTTGACTGGTGTCAACAATTTTTTATTTGTTTGTACAGATTGCCACTAAATAATGCAACAACAAAAAAACACAAACACAGAAACATACATAAAACGGTTACTATAGACAAGCTAAACTACAATCCAGTAGGTCACATAGCATATAGGCGTCAGCCAGAAGACAACACACACACATAAAATGCTTGCTAGCGCTACTTACAGAAGCACCAGCCAGAAGACAACACACATTCATAAAATGCTTGCTAGTGCTACTTACAGAAGCACCAGCCAGAAGACAACACACATACATAAAATGCTTGCTAGTGTTACTTAAAGAAGCACTAGCCAGAAGACAACACACATACATAAAATGCTTGCTAGTGCTACTTACAGAAGCACCAGCCAGAAGACCACATCCTACATCATGTTTTGTAGATTTAAGAACGTCGCAAAATGTCCACGTTTTTGATGTTCCAAGTCGTTTCTCGTCATTGTCGTATCGACGGGCTGCATCAGCTATGACACAACCGGCTATGAACAGTATAATGCCCCATAGCACCAAGTTGATAAACACCTAAAAAAGATATGATTGATGCTACATAAAATTTTTTATTCAGGAAGGGGAGGGTGAGTATATTTACAAAAAACAATCGCCTTGCATTGTTTGTGGGAGGTAGCAATTTCGTACCTATCTAAGAAGATAGCAAAGCATTTATCAAATAAAGAGCAAGTTTGAGTCCCCCCCCTGAATGGTTTCTCATTATGAAAGTGGACAATTTTCTCTGTTTTCTGTACTAAAAGTTTCGATCAAGATGATATTCTGGGCTGATTTCTTTGATTTCATTTGCACGTATGAGTTTTTTGTCTTTTGAATCTAAACAATTCCTTTTTCTTACCGTCAATGGCCAATTGATGATGGTGACTTTTTCATGCAATCCACTAACAAAAACAGCGACCATCACCATGACGACAATCCAAGAGACGACAATTGCAAACATTCCGAAATCCAAACGACCTTTATTTCCCCAGAATTCAAAAGTTGACTTTCTGTTTACTTCGTCCATAAACTTCCCCAGTGTGATAAGGCCCGTCAACAAAACAGCCTAAAGATATTTATGATGTTCGACTTAAGTGGATGGGGATCTGAAACTTTGCTGGAATATTTTAGAAGTATATTATGTCGTTGCATGTGCATAATCTTTTGACCTAATATGAAGTACAAGGTATTTTAGCATTCCCCCCTCCCTCCGTCATATAAACGTGTAAATCAAAGTACAAACTCAAAAAAGGTAGAAATATGAGAGAAAGGGAGAACTGTATGTTTTTTAGAGAAAACTGAAAACAAATTTGCAACTCGAAAGAAGAACGATCGCCCAGCATTAGAGGGTAATGTCTTTTATTCAGATCCTTCGGGTGAGAGACTCAAACAACCTATGTTTGAAAAAGTCCGTACGCGGGAAATTTGAATGAACTCTAACTGCCGCCTGCTGCGTATAATTATTCAGTAATGCATAATTATATGAAGTAACAGTCAAATGCACATTACTGGCTCGTTTATACATACATTATCCAATCAAATAACAAACTAAGGATGAAAAACGGTGTATGAAAATTGCGAACCAACTTCTTATCGTTAAAACAAATTAAATATAAAACAGATGTTTTCTGTACTAAATAAAACTTGAATCTTGACTTTACAATTATACAAAAAAGCACAATACGCTGACATGCATAACCTATTCGTGCATTTTACAAAATTTACTCAAATCCCTTCATTCCACATCCCTGAAAAGATGACAGCTCTGCACTAAATTAGAGACGCGAATGAGAGAGATGAATATCCTATTTCGTGTGATTAAACCATAGTACGTTGGCTCTTTCAATTGTCTCAACATTGTGTCCTCTCAAGCCACAGTCTTGAATACAACACTTGTTACTGACATAGAAGATCTTAGTCAACAAAATGACGATTTTGAAGTATGTTTTCTATTAAATTACTTATTAACGTACTGCGAATTTGCTGTGAATGATAGTCTGGTAATATACTCTGCGCGTATATTTGGATTTTCAAATAAGGCGATGGGAGTCAGTGATGAACAAACATCAAAGAACTGCTGCTAGTGATATATTTACGTGATAGAGAATTGAAAAATTCAGCAAAGACAATCAACAAAATGTATATATAAAAGGTCGAGCTTGTGTAACTTCCTTAATGGCCACTATTCATCAGGTTTTCCCGTCGTCAGCAAAACCTTGCTCATTCTAGAGCGACATTACGATACATATGAAGAAATATTATAAATTCCTCACTGCGGCAAAATATTTACTGGAATAGTGAAGACGTGATAATTGTGTTATTAGTCTTACTCGTATGATAACAAAATTTCTATTCTTAAGACAACAATGGTCATGCTGCATTGCGAGTTTTAGTAATTTTTGTCATGGACTCATGGTATCGACATGCAAGGCGACACATGCCTTATACTGCTATCAAATAACACTTACAAATGCTGCAATCTTCAAGAAAAAAGGAACAGTTTTGATGTATGAAAATCCTCTTGGTATCGTCCCCATGTTTGGTCAGGCTTTATATTGCTGTAAAGGAACAATATCAGAGGCATTAAACAGCAATAACAAAATTGAGACAAAGCCTTCTTGATGCTTTTACATTGATAGACAATAAATATTTTATATGAATGCTGCATAAACATTCAATTCTTATGCAAAACATGTGAACTTTCAAGGATCACGTTTCAAAAAGCAAATGATATTTTAGGGAAACAAATGTCAACATGTCAAATGCAAATTAACATCACAGAAGAAATCATCTGTTATACACAATAATCATCCAAATTCACGTTAAATTTGTAACGTTAAATGAATTATTTCTTTCCTTGAGCAGGAAATTACTGAACGACTGAGAAGATATTTGTTAAATAGTATAGAACATCATTCGTTGTTAGTCAGCCATAGGAGGTGAAGCAAATATTTCTGTGCAATCGCAAGCCAAAATAATGAATTTCTTAGCAATAATGACTCACCTCGACTGATTTCCAAAGATCGTAAACCTCTTACTATCGTTGAACTATACAGACAGTAAATTTTAAGAACAGTGTTTTCTCGGCAATTGCCATTACTTTAATGACACTCCCACGTGACAGAATTTGTATCATCTACGTCAACAACAAAAAGGGCATTTTATACTTCAACAAAAATAGGGTATATGCCACATGGGCTTATTTGAGCGTCGAAATGACTGAAACGTATCCCTAGGCTAAGGCTTTGGCAAAAGAATTTGAATAACGAAAGAGCAGCTTTCAAGTTCAGCAATGCCTATAGGTCGCTTAAAAAGGTCAATATGTGTTAATTTTACATTATATTTGTTTACGATGGAATGCGTCGATCAAAGATCAATTTACCATTCAATTATTTTGCCACTATCTGATGATGCATAGATAAAGACGGGAACAAAGAAAGCGTGTTAAAATCTTATGTTTTTCCAACAACACCCATTTTATCTGCCCGAGAAGAGTGCGTTTGATAAAAGTTTAGAATCTACGATATAATAAGAACTATAACCATTATTGCTGCCGTACGGAACGACTTCAAAAATTCCTTCTTCTTACAGAGAATCTTAAAACAACAACTCTTACATTTTTACCATCAAGTATTTAAGTGCTGTACATGGTTTTAGAGTATTTTCTTCACTTTGTATTTTATATGTACATAAAGTTCTAACGCATGCAATTAAACCTTCGCCCAGTAAACAAATATAACAATGTCAATAATTTACTACAACTAAAACAGTAACTATTTAACATAAATATATCCTCATCCCTGCTACTTGACGTCAATTGCCCACGCATTCTTCCTAAATATCATCAGACGAAGCCTATAACATGCATGCATCTTTGGCCAGAGATTTGCCAGGCGGAAAGCGAATTTTCAATATGAACATAATAATTAAAGTCTTATGTTGGGCTATTATTTTCATATTGAAAAAGCATGCATCTTTTTTTCGCTTTCTTTAGTGTTTCCCTTTAGGTGTGATCGTATTACCCGACTTTGCACAAGGTAATATCACCAGTCTTTTGTTCATTGGCAGGTATTTCTTTGTTAATGCAATAAGAACTGTTTTCACTATTTCATGACCATAAATTTTATCTTAAAATTTAAATTTAAAAATATGCGATGCGCTGAATGTAAACTCGAACTTCCGGCTTCCTTTGAGGTGTCAAGTTGCAAATCAAAAACAGGAAGATTCGATAAAAATGAGGATGTTTTTACAACGACGGGAAGTAAAACAAAAATGTTGCTTAAAGGACATTGGCAACGAAAATTTTAATGGCATATTTTTGAACCTTTGTGATGTCTAACAACTAAAATAGCAAAAATTTTAAAAATATTTTATTGCTGAGATATTTGCAGCAAAAGTTTTATAAATTTCGCCATCTTGGATAAAATTTTGATAAAATTATCTCGAGCGGTAGTGACGTCATTGGCTGGTGAGCAATCAAAACAACAATACAATATACTTTGTGATTGACTGCGTTACAACACATTTAAAGCGTATTTTACGTTTTTGCTGTAATGGATGACATACACGAAAATCAACCGAGTGAGGTTCTGCCCTATCAATATGAACCTTAAGTGAAGGCCGAAACAAGCGAAGAAAGCGGTTCCAAACAGGAGAGTGAGCAGAGCGACTTGTCCTCGTCGGAGGATGAAATAGATGCTGAATTTGAGAGAGCAAATGCTTGGCGCCTTCAAACTCTTAGTTGGTGTAAGTGTGGACATTGTACTTTGTCGAAAAAGGCAATCGAGTGTCTTTGTTGCCACGAAAAAGCGCTTGAATACGATGTGTATGAGTCTTCGCTAGGCCAAACAGAAACTCAAGGAGAGTATTGCTTGACAACACACCAAGAATTTAGGGACAATATGCTGTCAGAAAGTGTGTTAAAGATAGACATGTGTCGGTATCTTGAAGAAAACTGGCCCCTGTCTGATGAGCAGCTGGCGAGAATACACAAGCTGTATCGATTAGTCGCATATCAAAGATGTTCTAGGGGGATTTTTCAAATTTTAGGGAATACACATCGAAGACCATTTCCTGCTTGTGTTTATGCTAGCATACCAAAACGCTTCGCGTCACCAGACGGACTTTATACACATTTTAAATACGCATGTTATCACGAAAGACCGTAAATTTAGTCTTAGACAGACGCTCTTAGATGTTCTTGGTTATGATCTGCAATTGCGATGCCATATCATTGTCGAAGGATTGTCACGAACTGCGCAAAAGCAAAATGCATGAGTGATTCACCCAAAACTTGTATTCATTCATAAGTTATAAAGTTAATCGAAAAATGTACTTGTACATTGTGCACGCAAACACGCACGTAAAACATTACGGGTAAACGAAACTTTACAGTCAAGAACAAAACATAGCGGCTTAGAGCTTATCACCTATATAAAACTACATAATCTTTCAAAGACTCTTATGTATACAAATAAATTAAACTTAAACTCTTTGTCGGTCACAGGTTTGTAATATGGGAAAGTGAAATATTTCTATTGCACGAAATGTGCAGTGTATAAAACACGCTTATTGTTGTCTGGGCTTACACTTGGTATGTCGCGAAAGCCTAGTTGTAAGATCTGCTAAAATAAACGTTTCTACGTCTTATAACGACTAAATATTGGAAAAGTATATAAGCGTGATAAACTACACAACTTTTGTTAATCTTAACAACCGCCGACTGTTGTTTTTGTTTTAAAATTCCAGTGAACAAATGTGCTATATTTTATCATAATACTATTATTTTATCATAATACTATTATTTTATATTGTGTCATTCAGTGGATACCAGCCAATGACGTCAGTAATATATTCCGGCATAATTTAGCATAAGGCTTTTTTTCAAAATGGCGGATAAGGATTCAAATTTTGTCGACAGCAAAATTTAAAAGAGACACGGTAACACAAAATTAAGTATTCTATAGCTATCTATGATAAACTTATGGAAAAAAAATTTCATTGCCATTGTCCTTTAAAAATAAGGACTGAAACACACTAGACAGTCGCTTCAGTCGCGCGTCCAAAGCGAATTGATGCGCACCACAGATCTAATAATACACGTGTATTATTAGATCTGTGATGCGCACGCGTCAGTCGCTTGAAAGCCAGAAACACACATGCAGCGACCATCACGACTTTTACCGTGGCGTCTATTGAACATGGCGGTGATTTTAGTTTGTTACAGACACAGATATCACTTAGACTTTTTATTTTAGCCTTTATTATAGCTACTAATAGATGAATATTTACTCAGTACAAACTACTATGTGGAGAAAAGAAAACAAGCCAGTTAAAACACGCCAATATGATCATAGTCCATTACGCGTATATCGTGGACAATCTTATTCTGTGCATTTAAGTTGTGCATTAGGGTTCCAGTTTGTAGCTTCTATTGTACCTATTTGATAAATCATATAAAAACTGAAAGATTCCAGTGTGAATTCACTATATATTGCCTTCGTTTTCCAAGGTATAATCTATAAATTTCGTATGATGCTTATGACAGGAAATATGATATGCATTTAGGAAGTTGAAATGTATCTATTGGCCAATCAGTGTAAAGCGACTAAAGCGACCAATGTCAAAAGTTCAACATGTTGAACTTTCAAAGCGACTAGATGACGCGACTACGCTACTAGCTTAGTAACCACGCAAAGTGGTAGTTTTAGACGCGCAACTAAAGCGACTGCCTTGTGTGTTTCAGCCTTAGTTAGGTTATCGCATTGGGTTTCAAGAACAGGTCATTCCTTATGAAGACAACAAACTGAATTGTTGAAAAGATCAAACTGAAAACACTCCAGATGAAGACACTAGACTAGAATATATAAGGACAAAAGCTTCAACATAAAGCAACTACTGATGAAGACTAGAGTGTATACCAACTGATGTTTCTAAATCAGATCATTCCTGAATAAATACTCTAGACTAGAGTATACTTCAATATCAGATCACTTCTGATGAAGATACTTGTGAGCATGCTTAGAAATTCAACAAGTCAGTATTACTCACTGATATGTATATTACACTGGATAACGCATCCATGTATAAAATATAGTAAGATAATTGAAGCCGGAAGTTGGCTCATATGATTATGACCTTCATGAGGGGTATCGGTCCCACTTTACTATGCTTTTGTATTACATAATCACAGTTTTCGCGTTTTTATTTGTTCTACAAACTTTTTATTCGTACAAAATTTTTGTGAAAGGGACAGAACAACCGGCAAAATATTAATCCTAAAAAGTTTGTCTTCTTGGCTTTATAATGGCAGAAAATTGAGATGGTACAAGGTCGACCTGCATTGTTTTGAAACAAACTGGAGATTATATGATGCTGCTGCTTCTTAAAAAATGTACAAATATTACAGAATCCTACTACTGCTACCATATCTACATCTGCAATGACGTTTATGGAAGATTGCTACAAATTTACTTATTTAACAACACTTTGTTATTCACATCGCTAATATCATAATGATTTCAAATAACGTCTTTATTATGTCAGTTAAGAAACAAAACAAATCGACCTAGAAAATAATCAGAAAGACATTTTATGAACAATTGTAAGTTGAAAACGGTATCATCAAACTGTACGAGATGTACATCATCAAAATATGCGAATTAAAGTACCTCTGTTGTCATTAAGCGAAGCAAAGTTTTCAACCAGTTCCTATGTGAACAACTTCAATAGCGATGAATGTGTTGAAGATATGAATACCTCTGTTCTTACTTTGTTGCATATTTGTAATTTAAGTATTCATCTTCTAAAAATGCCTCGCACGCCTGAAATTGTCCTCGTCACCTTCAACTTTCAAATTTCCATACAACTTGCCATCTTATTTTTCAGTCGTTACAAAGCCAAAAAAAAACAGAGCTTCATGGTTAAAACTCTCTATCGGTTTTCCTCTACATGTCATAAAAATTTTGCCTCAATCAGAAGTTTGTAAAAGGAATAAAAACGCGAAAACTGTGATTTTGTAACACTAAAGTATAGTAAAGTGGGACCGATACCCCCCATGAAGCCAGTAGCAAATGATCGATCTTCCGGCTTCAATTTTCGCAAGAGATGCGTTATCCAGTCTAATATACATATCAGTGGTATTACTCTACGAATATGATTAGCATAAACAAATATATGATGGATATAACTGGGCAAGAAAGAACCGTGAAACTGTGGACTTGATAGAAAATCTAAATGTCATAAAGAACACTGCTGCCTTCTTCGTGAACATCATACGAACCCAAAATGAAAGGTGTTTTATCGACTTGGTTTCATACTTCGGTGTTTCAAAATTATTTCGCAATTACCAATAGCTCAACTCACTGACTAATTAGAGTAATTTTACAATCTGCTCGACTTTTCTGGTAATCCATTCTATAAGTATTGTAAATGTCCACCATTGCATGGTAAAATTTTCAAACTTGAAAAAAGGTGTTTGTATTTTCCTTACGAGAAAGAAGTTTTTAATTGTAGAACCAATATTGTAGTCCATTGAATGTCCAGTTGAAGTTGTATATTTTTCCCTTTCAAAAGTTTTTGAAGCGTTAAAAATATTCTTATCTAGTAGATAGCGCTACTTGGCCTTCATGTAAACAACCCCAGCTCACCATATGAAGGCGGAGTATCATACAAAAACAAGCAGTTCTCCATCCTTTGATTCTGCTCTTTTGCTATGCGAGTTTTATATAAAATCAGTCATGGTATTTTGATGAAAATGGAATGCACACAATTAAAGACGTTGCATCGGGGGATATAAGAGGATTGGTAGTTGTGAAACTGCTCTATCCATCGAGTAGAAGATAAAGTACTCGGTAGCCGTAGGTATATGAAACTATCCTTAAAGTTTTTGATCAACAATAATTGTTAGTTTGATACTTTGATCTGCTCAGTTCTTTCATGATTGCTCATTATACAAATATAGAAAAGTTGAAATTCAAATCATCGAACAAGATCATAAAACATAAATTACGTCATAAGTAAGAACTGCGGTCACGTGCTTGTTATTAAAACGACAGATGTTACTTCCCCCCTTCCCTTCCCAGCGCATGCCTAGTGATAAATTTTGTTGAGCACTGAGTAGTCTGTGTTGCACAGCCAAAATATTTTCCGAGCTTTAATCAGATGTGAGTTGCAGTTTCTTCTGCCTTCCGCTGCATTATTAGTTGGTCACAATTAAATTTTAAAATTTTCATTGAACATTATGAAATAGCAACAACAAAACACGTGTGTTGATTGGTCTGTAGCTGCGATTTAACTTACCCTGTGTGGACCGTTGCAATGAGAAAAGAAGATATTTATGTGAAAAGACAGATGTTGATAATAGCAGGGCAGAAAAAATGAGGATGTGTTGGTGACAAAAGGAACAGGAAATGTAAAAAGATGAAGTTAAAGAAAGGTCATAGTAAAAAGTAGAAACGTGCTTTGGCAATTCCAAATGGACAATAGCCATAAAAAGAGAAGAAGTTTGTAGAGGGAAATAAAAACGTAACCACCGTTTTGGTTGTATTTTGTTGAAGATTGGAGATCAAAAACTTTATAACTCAACCAATTTGGGAATGTTGATCAAGTAAGGCGCCACGAAGTTGAACCTACGGGAGGCGGCTACAACATATATTTCCTAAATTTAACGCGTCTTACTTTGCCACAAGTTAGACTATGATATATAAATGATAATAAAAACTTTATCTTCGAGAAAAAGTGGAGACTCAAGCCTCCAAGCCCTCTTTCCTTTTGCACGGTGCCTGAGGATACCTGAGGTGGTTGCACCCCAAATTTTAACTGTTAACAGTTCAAACTATTCAAACATAGTTTTCAAATTTTATTTTAAGAAAAAGCATGCTGAAACTACCGTTACATAAAATAGAAAACTATTAAAATTCTTAACTCCACTGTATATTCAGTGTGCATCTATGATTATATAAACCAATCTTTGTTTCGACAAAATTATGACAAAAATACAGTTGTAAAATAGTGAAACCACTGCTTACAAAAGTACAGTTTCAACTGGTTATTTAGCAGATGTCACTGGTGCCTCAGTCGTAGTGGGTGTTTGATGTCTGAGCAACACGTAGTAATCGTGAGCATCTGATGCACAAAATATGAATGCAAGGAAACAGAAAACCTAGAAAAGAAAACATAAAGTACAAAACTGAAAAGTAAAAGTCCTTTTGAGGCAGGTTTATTCTTGATATAAGTATGGTAGAATGTAACTAAAAGAGCATTTGACCATCATGTGACTGACTAACCATTGCACCAATAAAAAAAATGCATGTTACACAAGTTTTGTCACTTCCATGAGAAAATGAAACTCCTGATGAATTTTTGTCTTCTTGTAAATAGCTATGATAAGTTTTAGCCATGAGACAACCGGCTATTAACAGCATTGAGCTCAACACCAAAAAGCTGACAAACATCTAAAATAAAACATTCAGCGAATTTTATACGTATGCATGTATAGCTATATTGTTAATAATAAGGGTTTCTCTGGATTTTTATAAATGATTTATAAAGCTTTCGACCTGGTGCTTCGAGCCTTTGAATCAATTGATTTCAAAAAAATAGGAAGAATGATCTGAAATTTACCTATCAGAACCACATTTGCGGTTTTTTGATTGATAACTGACAAAAAATTTTATTATCTATGTAAAATTGAACGTTGTACAGTTCTAAAATCGAATATTGTTTTAACTAAAACAAAGTCGATTCGTTAATTTTGTATACTAACCACTAACAGCCAGTTAATAGAGGGGAAGTTCTCGTGCAATCCAGCAGCAAAGAAAATGGCCATTACAATGATGAAAATTGAAGAGGCGACTAGGGCAAACATTGCAAAATCCATTTTTCCTTTTTCTCCCCAAAAGTAGAAAGCAACACGAAGATCAAAAAAAACTTTACTCAATGAAGCTATGCCAAGCACCAAATCACCCTATGGATAAATGTAATGGTGTATCTAATATATATGGTACATTAAAAATCACAACAACCTTAGTATAATCAAGGCAGTAATCTCAATAAACGTTTGTCATAATTTAATTAAAATAATTTACTCACAAATAAGATTAACGTTCGTATAAAATGTCTTGATTTCATATACGAAAGGCCTTTCGGTATCGTTGCCATTCTTGATATTTTTGCTAGTATGAAAAGATGAGAAGATTAGCATCAAAATTAGTGGAAAAATTATTCAGTAAAATTTGTTGAATCCAATTTCGTTTAGTAATATTCACACTTGTGTTTTTCAAACAGTATTGCTTGTTATTCCAGTTGCTATGTAAAAGATCAGTGTGTTAATTAAAAAGTGTCTTCTTAGTTGGAAGTATAGTCACCCAATCAGCAAATTTTCAATAGCAATGACGTCAAAAATAGTGATTGTCTTTAGTGTTTACAGGAGATTGGGTAACCATGTTGTAGAGACTATCTTTTCTGATCGGCTTACAGATCGGCTTACAGGTCATTCTCTGGTCTGTTTAATGTCAAAGACATTAAAAGCTTAGTGATGAGTGCTAACTACGGGTTAATACAATTCTGTTTTGATTTCTATAAGACAGTGTAACTGTGTTATATAAATCCAAACTTCGGTTCAAATCCTCCGAATAGCATTTTCGAAATCAATTTAATTACATTAACATTTAATGCATGTTTTTGTAGTTGAAGAATCAGCATTCAAAGGATCAATGCCTTTACTGGCGTCTTAGAAACATCCTTAGCTGCTGCACTTTCGGTTAGAGATTCATCGTTTGATTGTGTAGGATGTAGTTCACTTTATGTTATTATAAAACTGCAAGAAATTTATATTTTCCTAATGTTGCTTTTCACATTTTATGATTCCAAGAAAGTAACGACTTTTGAGTAGTATTTTATGAATCGAAAAAGTAAAAGCCTTTGAGAATATTAGTTCCAAGAAAATATTGATAAAATTTGCTGCGACACGCAACAAATATGTTTGAATTTCTATTCATGCGCAACATGTAAAACGTACCAAGATTTGAATAGTTTCGTTCACATCTACCTTCTAACGGTAAGCGAAGATCTTGAGGAATTGAAATACACAAAATGCAGTTTAAAGGACGCTCCGCGACTAAAACGTGCGGTGAGGATCGTATTACAAAGTTTTGAGGTAAGCTTACCTAACTATATCTAAAACACGTTGAAATCACGTTGTCTCAATGTCATCAGAACCTTGAGAGAATTTTTGTATGAAAACTGAGGAAATGTATTTTGTGGACTATTTTTATGTCTTTTGGTGCTATCAAGTTTAAACTTCTTTTTCCAAACATCAACCTAAGATGTCGATCTTGTGATGATGTCGATAAAGTGTGAAGGCAAAATATATCATAAACAAGCGACGACTGCAATAAATGTGCGCTTTGCATGCGCACTTATTAGTGCATTTATTCGTGCTAGATTTCTCTTCATGATAGAAGGCTACACAAGCCGAACAAATCAACGAATGTTCATATGAATGAGTGACTTAAAAATTCTTATTTATTTTAGCTAAAGTATTAGTTTATGTATCAGAGTAGCATGAACGATGTTTCAATCAATGTCATTTTCAATAAAATATTTGCTATGAAGAATTGCCATGCGTTCATCAACCTGAGTTAAATTTAACATCAGACAGAGCAACGCAGATTTTTGAATTCCTAAGAAAATTTTCTCATTCTGCGGAAGCCTCTTCTTTGAAGCATTAGTTCTGTAACAATTTAAACGTTAACCACAATTCGAGATGAAAGATATGTACAACAGATGATTATAGTAATGAACATCATTTTGGTAAATGACTATCGTTGTAGAACTTAGCGTGCATGCATATGACATTTATAGCTCCAAATGATTATGTATTGACTTACTTTAAATACACTGGTGCCCAAATATCTTGATAACTTTTGCAGCAGGTTTTCACCTTAAACTGGAAGTTGAAATTGAGCTTCGAATTTAGAACCTTTCACGCTTCTCATCTGCACAGAAATGAAAAAACCAATGAAGGGATGGATTGATATTGTACCAAGTATCGATATTTCCAGTTATTCCGATACGAAGAAAAAATATTTGCCTTTTTGACACGAATGAGCCAGCAGTATTTTGTCAGTGGTAACGTGCAAACTGTCCAAGACATTTCATAAAGGTGCGGTAAATTTTAAAATAAATGAAATATTTTCTGCTTGATTTTCTGTGAGATAAGAAAGATCCATGAGTACTACTTTATATGGAAAGATAAAAAAGGGTAATTTTCTGCAAAAAGGCAAATGACAATGAAAAAGCCCAAGGCAATGTTAATTTGGAAAGCTTAAGCATTTCTACATCATTTCAAATCTTTCACCTTTAAAAGTATTTTGTGTATTACAGTGAATAAATCTTTAGGAGTTGAATTTATTTCGCCATTAATTTTCTCTTGAGAGTTTCTCTCAGTTTTCTCTTGGTTTCTTGTTTTTTTCTCGGTATTTTATAATGGCGGGGCAGAAAAATGAGGATGTTCTGGAGGTCGTAATGACACAAGTAACAGGATGGGATAGAAAAGAGCGTTATAGAAAAATTATATTGAAGTATAAAAACTTGCTTTGACAATCCGGAATTTGCTAAGAACATTCATTATTCCAGTTGCTATGTAAAAGACCAAAGACCAGTGTAATATTAAAAAAGTGTCTGCTTAGTTGGAAGTAGGGTCACACAATCAGTAAAGTTTCAATAGCAAGGAAATCAAAACAATAATTCTTTACAGGAGATAGAAAAACCATGTTGTAGAGACTATTTTTTTTGAACGTCTGAACTTACAGGTCATTCTCTGGTCTGTTTAATGTCAAAGACATTAAAAGCTTAGTGATGAGTGCTAACTACGGTTAATACAATTCTGTTTTGATTTCTATAAGACAGTGTAACTGTGTTGTAGAAATCCAAACTTCGGTCTAAATTCTCCGAAAAGCGTTTTCGAAATCAATTTAATTATATTCACATTTAATGTTTTTTTGTTAAAGAGTTAGCATCAAAGGAACGATGCCTTCATTGGCGCCTCAGAAACTTCTTTAGCCGCTGCCCTTTCGGTTTGAGCTGGAGGTTTGAACTGGAGGTGCTCTAAACAACAGGAAGTTGGAGAAAGCATCAACTGCAAAAAGAATGGTTGCAATGAAACAGAAAACCTAGAAAACAGAGTTAAGTGATGTAAAATTGACAAAGCACAAACTTTCATGAGTGGGCTTATACTTGATATAAGGTTCGCAGAACGTGACTAAGAAACCATTTCAACATGTTACTGACAAACCGTAGCAAAAATAAGATGACCACATGTTGCACCAGGGTTTCCTCTGTCCAGGATATCACAAATTGAACCGAACGCAATATTCTTATCGTACTTGCGAACAGTATCAGCTATGAGACAACCAGCTATGAACAGCATTACAGACCATATCCAACAGCTGATAAATACCTAAAATTAGATATTAACGAGTATTTTGTATTATGGAAATCATAATTTAAAAAATAGGAGATGTTTGCTGTGTTTGGGCAGGCTTATGCAAACTCCGGAGACCTTTGGGAGAACACGTGAGCAGATCAATGCAAACTTGAGACCGACATCGACGATTGCACTTGCTAGAAAGCTCTCACAACTCACAAGCCTCTTCGTTTTCCACAAACTAAAGACTTTTTGCAATGAAAAGCTCCATCGCTCATATCATAAGCTATCTTAAGGCTGATTTCCATTCAGTGTAATTGTCGCGCCATCGACTTTTGCGATCACTTTTTTGAATTGTGTGCAGCAACTGTTCCGGTCGAGAGCTTGCAATTGAGAAGAAAGTGATCGGAAAAAGTCGATCGCGCGCGACAATTTACACTGAATGGAATTCAGCCATTAAGTGCAGTATGAACAAAAGCGAAATCCGTCCAATTTGTTTACTTACCGTCAAAGGCCAGTTAATGATGCTAATTTTTCATGTAGTCCACTAATAAAGAGAACGGCCATTACAATGACAACAATCCATGATACGACAACGGCAAACATTCCAAAACCTAATCGACTTCTTTCTGAAGTAATGTCTATTTTGTTGAAAAATCTTCCCAGGGTGCCAATTGCAACCAACAGTATAACCTAAAGATAAATGGGGCGCTGTAAAATGTATGCATCTAATGTACATACTCTCTGGAAGATTGTATAGTTGTAAAATGTTGTTCATCGAAGAATCCTTCACTATTGAAATAAAATAATTAAGTTACAAATTCTGCTATCTTCAAGAAAAAAGGAACCGTTTTGATGTATTCAAAGCCTTTCGGTATCATCCCCATGTCTGGCTATAATGCTGGTATGAAAAACTGAAAAGTAAATTAAATTAACGTAAAAGTGTTAAAAAAAGTGACACATTAATATTATTTCCTTTTCAAATTACATAATTTAGTTCAGCAATATTCATGCTTGTGTATTTGAATGTTATTTCACATAATATGACAGCGAAGCAAAGCATCATGGCGTACAATATTTTACGCTTTCATTCATTTCAGATATAATTTCATCCACAAAAAGTAACACTTAATAAATAAAGTACAGCTACTTTAAAGATGAGCAAGTGTCGCGAAGATTTGACAACTTAGAGTTGAAAGCTGTAATTTGTTTTTTATATTGACTCATGCTGCGGATGAACTGTTCAAAAACGGATCTTATTGCATAATTTTAAGAAAGCTTATGTATTAGTGATATCATAAAAATCAAGAAAAAGGAACCAGCCCAGATTGTAAAATAGATTGGTTAAGACCCAGTGAAGATTGTTCAAAAAATGGTAGTATAAAAACAAATTTACACATCCAAATATTTTGTTGAGTTAATATAATATTAACAATATTCCATTTTTAATTTTCTATTTTCTTCTCTACACTCCTTGTTCTTTGCATTATGAATAACAATCGCACCGCTGGACTGTGTTATATAAATCCAAACTTCCGTTTAAATCCTCCGAAAAGCATTTTTGAAATCAATTTAATTATATTCACATTTAATGTTCTTTTTTGTTAAAGAGTTAGCATCAAAGGATCGATGTCTTCATTGGCGCCTCAGAAACGTCTTTAGCTGCTGTCCTTTCGGTTAGAGATTCATTGTTGGATTGTGTAGCATGTAGTTCACTTTATGTTATTAAACACTCTGCAACTGCAAGGAATTTATATTTTCATAATATTGCTTTACACATTTTATGATTCCCAGAAAGTGAACAACATTGAGAATGTTTGTTCTAAGAAAATATAAATTCAAATTTGCTACAACGCACAACAAATATGTTTGAATTTCTATCCATGCGCAGCATGTAAAACGTACCAAGAATAGTTTCATTCACATCTACCTTCTAACGGTGTGAAAAGATCTTGAGGAATTGAAAATTGAAATACACAAACTGCCATATGAAGGACTCGCGCCGCGACTAAAACGTGCGGTGAGGATCGTATTACAAAGTTTTGAGGGAAGCTTACCTAACTATAGCTAAAGCACGTTGAAATCACGTCGTTTCAATTCAGTCGAACCTTGAGAGAATTTTTGTATGAAAGCTGAGGAAATGTATTTTTGTGGACTATTTTTCTGTCTTTTAGTGCTATCACGTTTAAACTTCTTTGTCCAAACATCCACTTAAGATATTGATCTTGTTTTAAAGTGTGAAGGCAAAATATATTATAAACAAGCGACGACTGCAATAAATGTGGGCTTTGAATTCGCACTTATTTATTTGTGCTAGAATTCTCTTCATGATAGCAAACAACACCAGCCGCATAAATGAATAAATGTTCAATGACTCAACGAATGAACGAGAAACTCAGAAATTTTATCTTTCTTAGTTGTAGTAATTGGTTGATTTAAAAGAGTTACTTGAACGATGTTTCAATCATTGCCATTTTTATTATTTGTTATAAAAATTTGTTATAAAAATTTGCCATGCGTTCATCTGAGTTAAATTTAACATCAGACAGAGCAACGCAAGTTTTTGAATTCCTAAGAAAATTTTCTCATTCTGCGGAAGCCTCTTCCTTAAAACACTAGTTCTGTAACAATTTAAACGTAAACCACAATTCGAGATGAAAGATATGTACAACAGACGATTATAGTACTGAACATCATCTTGGTAAATGACTATTGTTGTAGATATTAGTGTGCATGCATATGTCATTTATAGAACCAAATGATTAAATATTGATTTACTTTAAATACACGGGGGCACAAATATCTTGATAACTTTTGCAGCAGGTTTTCACCCCAAACTGAGAGTGGAAATTGACCTTCAAATTTAGAACCTTGTATGCTTCTAATCTGCACAGAAATGACAAAATCAATGAAGGGATCCGATAGGTTGATACATGTACCAAGTATCGATATTTCCAGATATTCTTGATACCAAGAAAAATTATTTGTCCTTTTTGACAAATGAGCCAGCAGTATTAAGTCAGTGGTAACGTTCAAGCTTTCAAAAAAATTATGTGTTGTGGCTGGTCCTTAAATATATGATATACAATAAATTTAAAAACAAATGAAATATTTTCTGCTTGACTTTCTGTAAGAGGAGAAGATCCGTGAATACTACTTTAAATGGAAATGTAAAAAGAGAGGGGCGATTTTTAACAAAGTGTCAAATGACAATGAAAAAGCTCAGAGCAATGTTTGAAAAGTTTAAAAAGAAAAAGTTTAAATCTTTCACATTTCAAAGGTATTTTGCATATTATAGCAAATAAATCTTGTAGGAGTTGAATCTATTTCCCCTTTAATTTTCTTTTGAGAGTTTCTCTCAGTTTTCTCTTGGGTTTCTTGTTTTTTCTTGGTATTTCAGGCCATTCACAATGGCAAATTGCTCTTTTTAAATTCATTTTTTGTTGTCTTTAATAAAATATCTCCTAAAACTGTAACAAACTTTCTGTTCAACATCAACCTTAACATGCTAGCTTGAAACATTAAGAAACTGAAAGGCTGCATTTATACACAAGGAACGCTGAAAGACTCTAGTCAAAAATATTTTACATCCTACATTTAAAATGGTCGTTTCATTGTCAGTCTCTGTTGTTGAGGATTTTAATTATTCTTGAAAGTGCTCGACTCTAGGTATAAGCTTTAATTTTAAAAAACAATAGTGCGGAGAAGCAAAAATTATCAAAAAAGACATTGCAATAATCTTATGCTTCACTAACAAATCCATGAATTGTAGACTTCTTGGGAAATAGAAACAATGCATGTTTGTAGCTACGGCTAAGGTTGTCGAAACGACAGTTAACATCAACACCAACAGTCCTTCGCAGGCTCCACTAAGTTGGATAATCTACATCTACAAACATGTAACGATACTGTGAACTTCTCGAGCTACAGAAATGATGAAAGTATATATGTCATTTATCAACAGGAAACTTGCCATCTTAAATCTTTTTGTGTTAGAGATTTCCTAGCTATCGCACAACGTATTCGTAATTTTGAAGAACAAAAGCTCTTTAATTAAATGAATTTGGGAATGATAATATCTTCATGTTTATGTAACAAGCTTGAATTTCACGCATTCAAAAGACAAACTGGCCATAAAATCAAATGAAAGAGAAGATTATGAAAATGCTAAATGACACCGTATAGTCAGTGCATATTTATGACAACATTAAGAAACTTTATTTACATGAAATTATGATAAAAATGTGAACAAATAGTATAACTGCGTACGCAAAGTAGAATTTAAGAAACAAATGTTGCTGGTGTCGTATTCGTTGCAAATGTTGCTGGTATCGTACCGCAAAAAATTGTGCTGATGTCGTACTGTTAGCAAATGTTGGTGGTGTAGTAGCCGTAACAATTGTTACTGGAGTTGCAACTGTAGATGTTGTGGGTTTTAATAATTGAAAGTTGAACAGAACATTCAATGCCAAGGTTATGGTTGCAATAAAACAATAAGCCTAGAAATATAAAGATAAGTAGCTATATATACCTCGTCAACTTAAGCTGATTTCTTTGAGGGGCGTATGAATTAGGGGCGAAACTAGAACGTTTTTTTGGGGGGGGAGGGTATATATTCATATATTCTGCTCTGCCCTGCTAATTTCTTTTGTTTGCGATGTTAATTTCAAAAGAAGTCAGCAGGGCAGAGATGAATATATGAATGTATACCCCCCCAAAAGAAAAAGTTGTAATATAGTTTTTCTATCGTCTTTAGCTGTTGTATAAGAATATACAGGGAAATTGCAGATTTCTCTGAACTTTTTTTTACTACCGATGACGTCATCAAACACGACATTCGCAGAACTCGTTTTAAATGTAAAATATGGGCTGGCCCTATTTCAAAATTTTGTGTTACTAGGCATGGTAAGAATGTGAGAAAGTTTCATACTTGTATCATCAAAGTGAAGGGTTAGGTGTTTTCTTTTGTCGTTAACAGCTGGATTATTTACAGCAACTATAAATTTGCACATTAAAGTTATTTACAAAACGCTACATATAAAAAAAATTATACTTAGAATATAACATAGTGTATAAGGTTATAAGTCAATTACGTAATCACAATTGATTTCAATAGAAATTAATAAAGTAGAACGTGTATTGTAAAAATATTAACCTTCCGAACCAATTATCAATCTTCGGCCACCCTTTTTACTTTTTACCAAATAATACTGTACATTTTCAGTTTACCTATGATAATAGGGACCTTAGTTAAATAATCAGTTAAAAATCAGTTTTTTTGCTTCATTTATTTAACAGAAGTACAGTTATAAGTAAAATCGGTGACAAAAATTGCCACAGTTTCAACTGATTATATAATTAATGTCACTGGCGTCGTCGTACAAGTTCTGCTTTTGAATAAATGATAGTTTAAGTTTGCATCGACCGCAAAAATAATGGTTGCAATGAAACAGCAAACCTAAGAAATAGAGAGAAGTAGGCTAAATATTTGAAACACTGAAAAACTTTTCTTTGGCAGATGAATACTTTATATAAGTGGGTTGCAAAATGTGATTAAGTAGTCATTTAACTCATTGATATGTATATTACATGGATCGCGCATCACTAAATAAATTTGAAGCCGGAAGGCGGCCATATTGAACAGTCCCACTTCACGAGGTTGACATTCAAATTATATTAATTTCTGCCGTGAAAAATTGCGAATTCTCTTAAGGTGAATTGACAAAACTGCTACATATTAGCTTTAACAAGATTAAGTGTATGAAGCAGTTGTACCATTAAGAAAAGATTTTTTCCCAAAATTTTCGTGACACCATTTGAGAGATACTATCGCAAAAGAATGCTTCTAGCTTCACGTTGAAAGATATTTTAAGGTGTATAAGTCCAATGCGCTCCAAAATTCATTGCTATCGTGATTTTTTACTATAGATTATTATTGTGAGTGGGGCTGTTCAATATGGCGGCGCATCTAATTTTAGCTGTCTACTTCCGGCTTCAAATTTTTGCACTAAAACGATATCGGAAATGCACGATCTATGTAATATACATATCAATGATTTAACTACGTGAATGACTAACCGTAGTACTAACAAGATGAAAGCATGTTACACCGACTTTATCAGTGTCCAGGGAATTACATAGTGTATTAGAGATCTTCTTGCTATAATATTTTCGAAGAGTGTTGGACATAACACCACAGGCTATTAACAGCATTACACCCCATAGCACCATGTTGATGAACACCTAGAAATAGATATTTCAAAGAATTTCAGGTTTCTCTACGAGAAAATGAAATATAATATTGAGTACGATACTTTTCATCGACAAAAATAATGTGCAATATTATCTTGATGACAATCATTGTTTCAACAAAAAAAAATTTCCTTGATATTTTATACCTACCGTCAATGGCCAGTTAATCACAGTAACTCTTTCATGCAACCCAGTTACAAAAACAACAACCATCACCATGACAACAATCAATGAGACGACAATTGCAAACATTCCAAAATATAAGCTACCTTTTCCTCCCCAAGGGTTAATGGCAGAACCTACGTTGTCTAAAAATGCTCCCAATGTACTTATTGCAATCAATAGTACACCCTACAAATGAATGAAATATTTCGATATATATGCATAAAGCATGGAACTGAAAAATAAAACACGTGTTTAGTATACAATTTGGCCGAATGCAGTAATTGCAAGGGTCGGCCATAATTTTAAATAAAGTAAACCACTTACAAATTCTGCTATCTTCAAGAAAAAGGGAATCGTTTTGATGTATTTAGTTCCCTTCGGTATCGCCCCCATGTTTGGCTATAATGCTGATATGCAAAGAAAAGTAAGTTGACGTCATGACTGGTTGAAAAATGACATGTCAAAATTATTAATTAAAACCAAATTTAGGTCAGTTATATCACGCTTGTGTTCTTAAAATTGGAATTTTTGTTTTTCCAGTTGTTGTGTAAAAGAGCCTGTATTTTAGAAAATACGTTGTAATATCAGACATTCAATCCATAATTTATTAATTATAAAAAAAACACATTTGAGTATGTTAAATCGATAAGAAACATAAAAATAAAAATAACAGTGAAGAAGAAGGAAAGAACACAATGAAATTTTCGGCAATCGTATGAAACACTTACCGCAAAAAGTTTCGCAAATATTTGTGAACGATATGCAAAGATAGCGTTGAGTTGTCTTTAAAAATTAAACACGCAAGCTGTTGTTTAGAAGACTCGCACCTCTTTACAATAATTAGTACAAGTCTCGTTATATATAATGTTATGAAAGTTATGCGTTATTGATCAATCACCACCTTGCAAGGAAAATGAAGTCACATGTCACTGGAAAAGCACAAAATCAGTCAGTTCAGCGTTCTTATTGGTCAAAAATTACAATTTACTGGCTGGCGTGGTTGCCACTATATGATAAATAAATGTGTTATAAGAGAAGCCCATCAACAAAAAATCACTACAGTGGCCCTCCGGCCCTACTGTTTGTTATCTATACTGTGTTTCTGCTGTGCAAATTTTATGTCCTTTTTTAGTCAATTCCATATTTTAAATAAACACAAAATACCTTCAATGTATTAGTAAAAAATTGCCTCGTTTGTCACTGCTAATTAAATCCAATATTATCTTAACATATCAATCTATACTTTAACAATTGACTGTAACTCATAGAAACACTCTTATTTCGATAATAAAAGGTAAAGTATGCATCTGAAATAATGACCTTGGACCACTTCCAGTAAACATGTGAAGAAGCAGGTAGCGAAGGATATAGTTATATCTTGAATCAACACCTGTCCGCATGGACTGCATGCTGTCTGATATTTTTAAATTAACATCTGTATGAAAATTTTGTTTAGGAGATAGAAACGAAAATTAAAATCAGATGTTTTCTGGAAAAATGTACACGTAGGCATAAAATATTATTTCAGCTCGTGGGTTTGGTGATATAAATTTATTAATAGTGTGATTACACAATTTATATCACAGGCAAAGGAATAATTATATATTTATTATTATATACAACTCAAGGCTTCGACAGTGCTTTATCCATTGCAAGGAATGTTTTGACGACAAACTTACGATTTAAATACTAAAGCTAATACAATAATCACTACGTTTCTTCAAAGATAATAAAAATTTAATCATTGTGAAGCCAAGACAACCAATAATACGCTATGTCACTATTCAGACCATAGCGCTGCTATCTGCAACTTGTCTCTTTAAGACTAAAGTCTGATTCTCATTAAGTCGCTTGAGTCATCCGAGTCGTTCCAAGTAGTTCCTAGTTCTTTTGTTGTTTTTCGGAACGACTGGGACGACTCAAGCTATGGAATTCTCATATATTCGTACATGCGCTGCCGAGAGACTGTATAATTGATTTCTGCGCAAAAAAGCGAAAATGACAGCTGCTGTTTATGAAAGACAATATCTTTTGGCTGGTTATTTGCTTCTTCAAATCATTTTTTGCCATAAAAAGGTCGCTTGTAATTCTCAACGGTCGTTTCGGTCGTCCGGATAGAGCAAAGTTCTATCCAAGCGACCCTGGTCGTTTTAGTCGTTTGAGTCATTTAAGGTCATCCCGGTCGCCTTTGCAATTTTCTCACATAGTCACACGAGTCGTCTATGAAATTTTGGCACGACTAAAACGACTCAGACGACTTTATGAGAACCAGTCTTAAACAAACAATCTAATTTACGCATGCTGTTTTAGTAAGAAAGAGCAGTTTATCAGCATGGGTGAAGATATCTGTAAAACATTTAAAATAAATCCGTCATTTTTTTTATAACCACGTTAAATTGTGGCCTTAAAATGATTGAATTAAGGGGCTTAATAGCAATTCTCAAAGACTCAGGTCTTTGTAATTGCTGGTCTGGAGGAGGGAAGGATGATTATCTTTCGTGGGATTTTATTTTTCTCTTTCACTAACAACTGGTTTCAATTATTTACGAGTTTCAATTAAATTTGCTCTTGGAATAGTTTATTCGTAAATCCACCTGCTATAATAAAGAGTAGCGTATTTCGAATAAAGCTAGAAATTGCAGGAAATGTATTGCTTCTGTAACATATGCAGAAAAAAGAACTTTAATGTTAGGTGTTGGACTGTCTATAAACAAGATGGGCATAATGATGTCGCAAAGAGGCAATTAAAATGGTGCTTTTTTAGTCCATCATTCCTATAAACCTTATCAACTTAAAATAAATAATTTCCTATGTACTTTCAGACGATAAGCAAGGATCCCAAACACGAAGTACACAATATCCAACGCTGTTCTGCGTTAGCATTGTATGACCCCCATAAGCAATCAGTCCAGATCCATGTAACGAATCACCATAAGACAAGCTTTCGACTGATTTATCTCTTTTTAACTTTGACACCCCCTTATTTCGTCAAGAAACCCACTTGTCAGTCAAACATGATTCCAGATCAGTTAAAACTCAATTGAACTTGTAACCTGCGAGATTTATACTGGCTTATTGCCCCTTTATCTATCTTATTATTGTTTCTAGAAAAACAACCTGGCAATGAGTTAAAACATTTGATATATTCTTCTGACAAAGCCAGTCAGGTGTCTGATACAATTTCCCTCGACCTTGAGACTAAACCAAAGGTAATAATAGAAACCCTTTCTAACCAATTTTTGAATAGATAAATGAGAAAACACACTTCAAATTTCATGAATCTTCGGACACTTTTACACGGACTTTTACCGCAGCTGACACGGAGTTTTCTCGGCCGTAGCCGGCGAAAACTCCGGTCGGAGTCGGTGTTTTCTCGGCTGAAAAGCCGGAAATAAAAGAACCACTAACCATCACTAACGGTGACCACTAATCACACTCATAACAATCCTCCACTAAGCCATGGTACGCACTACACATACGAGCTTCTGGCAACTCACCTTCAGGGGCGAAACTAGAATGTTAAGTGGAGGAACGTGAATATTCATGATCGTGACTAACACCACACGAGTATACGAATACATACAGATACGAGTACATACGAGTGACATACGACTACATACTGTTCACAAGTATATATATATATATATACTAACCCTAACCCTAACCCTAACCCTAACCCTATAGTCGTATGTCACTCGTATGTACTCGTATGTCAGTCGTATGTACTTTTATGTACTCGTATGTACTCGTGTGGTGTTTTAGTCACGATCGAATATTCATATATTCAGCTTTGCTTGACTGATTTGGTTTGTCTGCGATTAGAGTAGCTGAATGTAGGAATATTCTTCCCACCCCTCCACATAACGTTTTAGTTTCGCCTTGGTCTCCTTAGCATATCTTTTTCCATTTAAGTTCAATTGCTTTTACAGCATTTGATAAAAACGAAGTTCATTAACGCGCTACAAAATTCAAATACGTAAAGACAAAGTGCATTAGCGTTTGTTTAACATCAATATGGCAAATCATTAATTCCAATGAGATCACTTCATTATTCATTGTTTAAAGCGAAAGTCAACAGCGTGAGTCAAATGTCAAAAGCATTTAGTGAGCATTCATTAAGTTTTGGAAAGTACAATAGCATAATAATAAATAACATTAAAACTCTATAAAATGTCAATAACAATATATGTTTGCAATGGCATGATTATAACCATCAATATAGCAGAACTATTTATCCGTACGGTGTCTGCCATTTGAAGAAAGACTAGAGCAAGTTTTTCAAATGTAGGAACTAAAATTTGTCCGTCTTCACTGTGTTTGCGTCATTTTCAAATCTGGTTGAAATACGCGCACAATAGAAACGACCACTTTCACACTTTCACATTCATACACTTAAAAAAGATAAAAAGAAAGAATCTTTAGGGTTAATCATGCAATTGCAAACATATAAGGTTATTGACATTTTATAGAGTCTTATGTTATTTTGTTATCATGCTATTGTACTTTCCAAAACTTTTATGAATAAACGCTTCATTCTTTTAACTATCCCTTCGCGTTATTGATCTTTACTATTTGGAATGCCTAATGAAGTAATCTTATTTAAACTGATCATTTGCCATATTGATTTTACAAAAATGCTATTGAACTTTTTCTATACGTCTTTGAATTGCGGTATGCGTTAATGATTGTCGTTCTTATTTAAATGACATGCAAATGCTTAAACTGACGTATTTAAAATATATCTCTGTTGACTTGAGTGAAATTGATTCTATAGCGGAGAGTCAATCTTCTGTTGTAGCTACAGACTGAAATTCAGACCTTCAAACTTGCTTGTAATGTAAGAGATGAATTTTTTTTTTATAGACACTAGAGCCGTACATTTTAGGCAATAATTAAGACAAGAAGTGAAGATGTTTTTAGCAAATAGAGGTCAAACTTCAACATTACCGTTCTAACTATTTGTACTACATTGTATTTTTTTTATGATCTTCCAAAACTTACTTGGTGTGTATTGCTTCTTTTTGAAGTTATTCTCATTTAAATCTAGATTCGTCTGCCCAATCAACAAAAAAAAGGAAATGTGCCAGTTATTAAAACAGGAAGAGAAACTGACCGACACGAGTTGCAAGGCTCATGAGCTCCGAAGCAGGTGATGTGTGTTTTATTGATGTTTTATGCGATATACACGAATGTCAATGTTGACACTCAGGTAACATATCTTTTTCTTACAAATAGCGAATTTTTTGTCATTGAAACGCTATAAAACATTAAAATTAACCCAAACCATGTACGCTACTGTTGAAAGCAACAGGATAAAATTTCATTCAGTATGTTTCAAAAAACTTAGGAAATGTATTTACAACACATGCGCTCAATGTTTACTGTAGTAGAAATGTAAACAGGGAATGTTTACAGTAGTAAAAATTTTACCTTATTTGGATATACCATACCCATGTATTTGCATACCGCGCGACGTTGGAATAAAAAGAGCAATTAACCAATACAAAAATTAACACATTAAAGTTTATATCGTTTGAACGTAATGTATGATTTAAATTATTGGATTTTGTTTAACGAATATTCCGCCAGTCCGTGAAGTGTAATGATATTTTTCGTTTCTATGCAAAAGAAAAATGCACATCAAACTAAGGTAGCTGGAAGCCCCAAGAGATCCATTTCCAGAAAGAAACAAATTTTGAGATAACGGTTGGAACAAATTGGCAGTGAACACACAAAATTTTACTGAATTTGATCAAATTCCTGTTAAATTTCCATCCACAAAATGTGACACTAACCAAGAATAGTTTAACTACTACTTATAAAGATAAGCCATGATAAAGTAAAGTTGAAAACTAAAGGTGGAAGCACACGATCTTTAGTTTCACCGTTTGATACACTCATACCGAAAATAAACTGTACGAAAGCAGATCTCACAGCATAGTTATAATTGAAGATAGCTTGGTGTGTATTTCTGAAACATTTCACGAGAAAATTCATCAAAGTTCGCTTGTTCGTGATTTTCTTTGATGTTAGCTTGCATTAAAGTTCGTAATGCCAGTTTTTGTTTGGTGGACTTTCCAAAGACCATAAAGTATGCAGCTTTTTGTGCCCTATTTACGATAGAATCTTAGTGTCGAGGCGCAAACGTTCAAAGTTCAAACTACCCAAAAATAATGTTCACGTTTTATTTGAGTAAAAAAGCATGCTAAAACTACTGTTACATAAAGTAAAACAAATGAAAATGAAAATGACACCTCATATATAACCAGTGCGTATCTATGATAATACACGAGCTTTAATTGTCAAAGAAAATATGGCAGAAGTTCAATCCGCTGTCAAAAAGAACCGTTCAAGTATTCAAGTAAACCGCTGGTGAAAAGTACAGTTTGACCACCCTATGTGGAAGTCGTTCCAGGTGTAGAGGCCTTAGCCGAAGATTTGTCACTTTGACCTCTAAGTATACGGAAGTTTAAGAAAGCATCAACTGCCAAAAGAATGCTTGCAATGAAACAGCAAACCTAGAAAATAGAGTTAAGTGATGTAAAATTGACAAAGCACAAACTTTCATGAATGGGATTGTACTTCATATAAGGTACACAGAACGTGACTAAGAAACCATTTCAACATGTTACTGACTAACCGTAGCACCAATAAGATGACCACATGTTGCACCAGGGTTTCCTCTGTCCAGGATATCACAAGGTGAAATAGAAGTGAACGCAATATTCTTATTAAACTTGCGAACAGTATCAGCTATGAGACAACCAGCTATGAACAGCATTACAGACCATATCAAACAGTTGATAAATACCTAAAATTAGACATTAACGAGTATTTTGTATTATAGAAATCATAATTTAAAAAATAGAAGATGTTTTCTGTGTTTTTCCAGGCTTATGCAAACTCCGGAGACCTTTGCGATAACTCGTGAGCAGATCAATGCAAGCTTAAGACCGAGATTCGACGGTTGCACCTGCTAGAAAGCTCTCACAACGAACAAGTCTCTCCATTTTCCGCAAACTAAAGACTTTCTGCAGTGAAAAGCTCCGTCGCTTATACCGCCAGCTATCTTAAGGCTGATTTCCATTCATTGCAAATTGTCGCGCGATCGACTTTTTGCGATCACTTTCTTTTGAATTGTGTTCAGCAGTGTGAAACTGTTCCGGTCGAGAGCTTACACTTGAAAAGAAAGTGATCGGAAAAAGTCGATCGCGCTACAATTTGCACTGAATGGAATTCAGGCATTAAGTGCAGTATGAACACAAGCGAAATCCGTTCAATTTGTTTACTTACCGTCAAAGGCCAGTTAATGATGCTAATTTTTTCATGTAGTCCACTAACAAAGAGAACGGCCATTATATTGACAACAATCCATGACACGACAACTGCAAACATTCCAAAATCTAATCGACTTCTTTCTGAAGCAGGGTCTATTTTGTCCAAAAATCTTCCCAGGGTACCAATCGCAACCAACAGTATCACCTAAAGATAAATGTGGCGCTGTGAAATGTATGCATTTAATGTATAACATACAGAATACAATATGTACATACTCTGGAAGATTGTATAGTTGAAAATGCTGTTCATCGAAGAGTCCTTCACTATTGAAATAAATAATGAACTTACAAATTCTGCTATCTTCAAGAAAAAAGGAACCGTTTTGATGTACTCAGTGCCTTTCGGTATCGTCCCCATGTCTGGCTATAATGCTGGTATAAAAATTGAAAAGTAAATCAAATTAACGTAAAAGTGTTAAAAAAAGTGAAACGTCATTATTATTTTCTTGTCAAATTAAATAATTTAGTTCAGCACACATTATATGCCAGCGAAGCAAAGCAACATGGCGTACAATATTTTACGCTTTCATTCATTTCAGATATAATTTCATCCACAAAAAGTAACACTTAACAAGCAAAGTACAGCTACTTTAAAGATGAGCAAGTATCGCGAGGACTTGACAACTTAGAGTTGAAAGCTGTAATTTGTCCTTTATATCGACTCATGCTGCGGATGAACGGTTCAAAAACGGATCTTATTAGAGTAAATACCAAAGTAATTGTATTTTAAGAGCGAAATATTAGGATATTTTTTACTGATAATCATATCGTATTGACTATTGACTTTTAAATCTTTATTATACATTTTTTTCGACAACGAATGGTGACATGTTTGTAGATGTAGATCGTCCAGGTTAGTTAGAGTCCTGAGAAAAACTGTTTTTGTTGTTTTTGACTGACGTTTCGACAACCTTAGCGGTAGTCATCTTCAGAGTCAAATTTTTTTGAAGATGAAAAGTTTTTTCAGTCTGAAGATGACTACATTAAGGTTGTCGAAACGTCAGTCAACAACAACCAAAACAGTCCTTCTCAGGACTCTACTAACCTGGACGAACTACATCTACAAAAATTTAACGATACTCCCTTGTTCAAATCATTCATTTTAATGAATGTTAAATTATTCATATAAAAATACAATCTCTATTTTAAAAGCATTTTTGTTGAATTTCTTTGAGCTCAATTTGGCTGTCTATAGCCACAATCTCTGACTTATTTGACATGAAGAATAGCAATTTTCTGACAAGGACTTGTTTGTTTTTTATAATTTGTCGGCAAAGTTTCAAGTTACTTTTTCTGTATGATTTTATGACAAGGTAGCTAATTTATTGCCTGTACTCACATAGCAAAATGTGAGCAAAAACTTTGAACGTTAAATGTTATCTTATTGCACGGGAAAATGACACAAATAGATTTAAAGATCACTAAATTAAAATCATAAAATGTTCTCAAATCAAGTAGGTCTGGTGATGTTAGTGATAATTTAACCTTTCACTTTATACCACAATCGGAAGTAAAATAATAATCATGCGCAGTTAGAATTGTATAACTCATGTGTTTCAGAATTCTTGAATTGCAACCAGCCTCCAGGAAATTTTCAAACCATAACGTAATACGTAAGCCAGCTTTTATCTCAGCATAGTAGCCAACAAAAAAATTGGGGGGGGGGGCAATAGTGCTGCCGTATTACCACAGAATAAAAATCATACAGAAGGGCCACTCACGCGTACGCCGTGTCCTTACGTCCGCCATCATTCCAGCAAGATGCTTAAGATTTTTCACTTGTTTCCAACGACATCAATTACATGACGTTATTTTTACCCAATGAAATCGAAAATATTTCAATATAAGAAATGACGTCGTATCATTTTAGCGGTTAGGAACAAGTGAAAATCTTGCTGGAATAATGGCTGCCGATATGCGCGGCACAACATGCGCGAGATCAAAAACATCAAAGGCTCCGACACAAGTGACCCTTCGGTATATTTCATATTCTGTGGTATTACGTTAAACCACGCTGTCTCGACGTAAGTCGAACGTCTAGAGACTTTGTATGAATTTTTATTCAAAGGAACGATGTCTTCGTGGGCAGAGACTTAACTAGAACGTTAATTTGGGGGGGTGTATATTTATATATTCAGTTGTGTCCTACTGATTTCTTTTGAATTTCAAATCACTTTCTATAGAAATCACTAGAGAACGACGGAATATATCAATATGCACCCACCCCACACCCCCCAAATTAACGTTCTAGTTACGCCTCTGTTCGTGGGCGACTCAAAAAATTTCCTGAGAATGTTTGTTCTAAAAAAATAAAAATTCAAATTTGCTACAACGCACAAGAAATATGTTTGAATTTCTATCCATGCGTAGCATGTAAAACGTACCAAGAATAGTTTCATTCACATCTACCTTCTAACGGTGTGAAAAGATCTTGAGGAATTGAAAATTGAAATACACAAACTGCAATATGAAGGACTCGCACTGCGAATAAAACGTGCGGTGAGAATCGTATTATAAAGTTTTGAGGGAAGCTTACCTAACTATAGCTAAAACCGGTGAATTGCGTTGTCTCAACGTCAGTAGAACCTTGAGAGAATTTTGTTTAAAAGTTGAGGAAATGTTTGTTTGTGGACTATTTTATGTATTTTAGTGCTATCACGTTTAAACTTCTTTCTCCAAACATCAACCTAAGATGTCGACCTTGTTTTAAAGTGTGAAGGCAAAATATATTTTAAAGAAGCTACACCTGCAATAAATGTGGGCTTTTCATGCAAACCTATTTGATTTCTCTTCATGATAGAAGGCTACACCAGCCGCATAAATGAATAAAAGTTCAATGACACAACGAATGAACGAGAAACTCAGAAATTTTATTTTTTTTAGTTGTAATAATTGGTCGATATAAAAGAGTTGCTTGAACGATGTTTTAATCATTGCCACTTTTTAAAATTTGTTTTAAAAATTTGCCATGCGTTCATCAATCTGAGTTAAATTTAACATCAGACAGAGCAACGCAAGTTTTTGAATTCCTAAGAAACTTTTCTCATTCTGTGGAAGCTTGTTCCTTAAAGTATTAGTTTGGTAACAATACACAACAATTTGTGGTGAAAGATAAGTACAACAGATGATTATAGTAATGAACATCATCTTGGTAAATGACTATTGTTATACAAACTAGCGTGCATGCATATGACATTTATAGCACAAAATGATTAAATATTGACTTACTTTAAATACACTGGTGCCCAAATATCTCGATAAATTTTACAGCAGGTTTTCACCTTAAACTGACAGCTGAAATTGAGCTTCGATTTTAGAATCTTGCACGCTTCTGATCTGTACATAAATGATAAAATCAATGAAGGGATACGATGGGTTGATATTGTACCAAGTATCGATATTTCCAGATATTTCTGATACCAAGAAAGAATATTAGCCCTTTTAGTTGGCTTTCAGTCGACATCGGTCAAACCAATCACAGAATAACAAAAATTTAAACGAATAAACTACACAACAGCAAGTGGACAACATTATAGAACCGGCCAGCCCGCTAATCGGTCGAGATTATTCTAGATCATCCACTGATCTGGCTATAGACCAATGGAATGTCTTAAATAAATGTTCTTGAACTCCGTTATGGGTCGAACCAGTCGAGCCATCCCGCTTATCAGTCAGCCAGCTATTATAATTCTAGATATGTTTTTATCTACTGATCTGTTTACTAAAGTGGTATTTGTATAAGTTTTCATACATGAAACAGAATTTTGACGATGACATCCAAATGATTACAGAACGAAAATTGATGATAAAAAGAAATTGTAATCATTAAATTTGATAAATAATTTTTAAACTATAAACATATGTCGAGTGACTGATTTGACATACCCTAGATTCGCCCCTGAGTAATAAGATATTTTACAAGAGAAACATCTGAATAATTTAATGTCCATACAAGTAGTAATTCTCGTTGTTATGGAACTCGTAAATGCATGACGTAATTTATCTAACTCCAGACATGCCAAATTTCACGATTTTATTGTGAGACTCACGATTTTGATGTAAATCTCACGGTCTTACGATTTTCTCGTATATCTCACGATAAATAAAATGGAAATCCTTAAAAGGTCTATAAATTTTTGTAGACATAATTATTAGTGTAGTGCCTTTGTGTCAAATCTTCAGATAGTACGATCGGATCGTCTCCCCTGATCGCATTGACGAGCCATGCGGCGGCATAATGCATGAAGCTTGGTCATTGCGGGCAGAGTTTAGGGAGTTGGGCGCAGCCTGCAAGCAGCTACGCTGACGCGTGACGCATTTTCGGCGCGTGGCATGGTAATTTAACAAACCAATATGGCGTCCACATCAAAACGATGTGCAGACGAAGTCGAGGACGAATCTGACGATTCAGGCGATGATAGATCTCAAGTTAGTCCAGGAAGTTGGCATGTCTGTAACTCTGTCTCCATGTTATACGATATTTTTTCTACATCTACAATGCCTTCGGCAGCATTGCTGTCAAATGATACGGCCATGATCTTCTTTTTATTGCCTGATGAGATGATCACATCCATCACATTTCAAAGAAGAACGTGTACGGGAATCGAGAATTTCTTCAAGAGGGAGGTGGTGACAAAGCATAATTAAGGAGAGACATGACATCACAAACACAATTAACGAATCAGAATGCCTTTGTTTGGTGAGTTTAGTTGTTGGTTGACTTACAGTGAATCGACAAAGAAATAGTTTAAGAAAAACGGAAAGTATGTACTTAACCACGAAAAGGTTTAGCAATATTGCATGATGGGGTCACAAGCGAACGACCAGAAGAGACAAAACATGATACTTTCTCCTTGCCTATGAAATGTTCCATGTACTAAATGTACCAATTCGGTGGTTAAACTACAAACAGCAGTCGTAAATAAAATTGATTTGATATTGTCAGATGATATGAGCTGAACAACCAAATACGTACTGTGATTGAATCATAGTATTGAAAAATATTGAAAGTTTTTAATTTTGAGGCTAGAGTGGACTTTGGCCAGTTCACTGAGTTTTTCAGACATCAGTAGCCATTTTTGCAGTGGCCATGATGACTGTGGACATGAATGATATTAAATGCAGTAGAAACGCAACAAACGACAATTCAGCAACAATTTCGATTTTACTTTACAAAGTTTTAAAATAAACGATGGTTGGAATGCAAAATTAAGTGGTTGGGAATTGTTGCTATATGATTAAAGACTTGGGTTAAAAAACTTTAATATTTCCAAATTTACCGTCTCTCTGTAAATATGTAGCCATTTTGGTGGCTTTGTATTTCTTGCCCTTTATTTGTAGGGCTAGATAAAACCCGATTACAAGCTTCATGGGGACTAAAGACCCCCATTCAAGTCCCCCATCCCTTTCCTACGCCTATGAATGCAATAATAACCAGTTTATATGATTTTAACTCAAACAAATGTACTCAATGAGTTATAAATAAAATATAATAGAGTTCTTACATGACGTCTTTATAACGCAAAATTTATGTACGCCATTATTAGCAAATCCTTTGCCTTGTAATTTATCAATCTGAAAAAATATATTTATGTCTATATTATTTGCACTTTGTCTGATTTTTCCACAAACTTTAGACTGATTTAAGCATGAAGTAAACAGATGAAATCATGATTACGATGATAAAGTACTCTGGTTGAAATACTGAAGAACTATTTAAATGTGCTACATTATAATCTTGTAGCTCTTTGTCAAGATTGAGCATATTTTGTTTTGGTGGAAATAAGAATTCCAGAAATATAGGTTAAACGCTGTAAATCTCGGGTGATGAGTCTGTCCAATCAGACTAATAAATATTTAACGCGAGTGACAATAAGCAAACTGGCACGTGACCAAGTAGGCGAAATTTGTTTGTACATAAAGTGGAACGTTTGAATTTTAAAAAATGCACTGATAGTTTTTGTGAAAGGTCAAAGTTTGGTCTGAAAACAGAACAAATTGTATGATTTTAGTAACGACTTCGTTTTATGATAACTAAAACAATACAAATCTTCCTTATATAATTGTATGCAGATGCTGTATGGTCGCACAAAAATTGCCTTTGTCTTTGTTTACAAGCGTCCTAGCAATAAAATTTATGTGCGATTAAAAATGTGTTATATTTTATTACGTTATTCAATGGTGTTATTACTTTATTTCAATTTCTGAAGTTTATTGCAAGATATTTCAGAATAAAAAACACTTCAGGAACACTTTTTGCGCACGCAAAATATCTCAACTGTTATAATCGAAAATTTAAGAAACAATTTTACTAACCTATGCCGTATGTCTCTGCCTCATAATAGCTTTAAAAAAAACAAGCTTCTTCAATGACAAGGCGTCAAAGGCTGAAAAGTCTCAAGAAGTTCGAGTAGTTGATATCAATCATTTATTACTTAAATTTTGTGATCCAATTGTTTCATTAATTTGAAAAAAATTGATTGTGGCGTCCAACCACAATTTTAAAGAGATGTGTAGTCTTGGTAGTTGTTTTAATTCAATTAGATTTTTAAGAGGAAATACAAAAAAGATGAAAATATAATTAAATGTAGAGAGTAGTGTAGTAGCTAAATTTTTAAACTTGACAGTTTTCGTGAGCATGTGTAAGTGTGTATAAGACACTTGCGAGTTGATATGGCATGTGATCATAAGTAATGTGAAGAAAACATGAGACCTGTACTCAATAATTATAAAATATTATTTACAACTTTATTTATGACCATCATTAATTGTTTGTTAACTTCCGCGGTTTGCAGCAACTATCGTAGTTTTAAAAACTCATAGAAATTTACTATTTGTCAACACTACAAATACTTGAGGTTTGCAATGAAATACAATGCTACATACACTTCATAATGCTTTAGTTAAGTTAATCATTTGTATAGTATATTGAAATGAGTTTTTTATGATAATGTTTAATGGCAAAAACGTAACACAAAGGTCAATGCATATAATGTTTTTACTGCCTTTTCAGGGATTATCATGTTACCGATTGTCGCTTGCCAATCTTCAGGAAAAATAAAACCTGATATCACATTGACATAACCAGCATGATTATTTAGTTTTGCCAAAAAACAAGTTTATTTAAACATCCTGCTAACCAGAGAGATTTCCAAAGTGAACAGATTTTAGAATCAACATTGCAAAAATAAACTTGCATGCTAGCCACGTCTCTGAGGCAAACACGTTCGGTATGTTATTGAGTTAATTATGATTGAAAACATCTATTTATTTAACATGTATTTATATATCCTGGTAGACATTTACATCTGCAAAAAATCTTTAAAAGAAACATCAGAAACATTAGCAGGAGTTTTTAAACTTGTTTCCATACTTGTAGAGCACTAATTCTATAAGGAAAGCATGCTGGCCAAAAGATTAGAAATTGATACAAATAAACAAAAACAAAGAACAAATTTCCATCGCAGTTACAATGTATTAAATAATTTGATTTAAATGGTCTTTAGGTAGAACTATGATTCAGTATTGAAAGCATGCTAGCAAAAGACCATAAATTGATATGAAGAAAGGTGCTTTTTACACGCGAAAAATCACGACAATTCAGTTAATTTTATCAAAACATCAGTACTGGCTGTTTACACTCTAAGGTCAAATATATATTATTAAAGCATGTTTAAAGTAATTAGCGAATTAATTTATATAATAAACGGTTCAATTTTATATCTAATGTAAGTGTGCTTAAATTTCTCACTTTTCAAAGCTTCACTATGAGATTTTGCACCTCCATCACCTAACTTGTTATAAAAAAGAAACAATTCAGTAAGTTTACAATTCTCACTTTTCAAAGCTTCACTAAGAGATTTTGCACCTTCATCACCAATATTGTTAGAAGAAAGACCCAATACAGTAAGTTTACATTTCTCACTTTTCAAAGCTTCACTAAGAGATTTTGCACCTCCATCACCTATACTGTTATGAGAAAGATCCAATTCAGTAAGCTTACAATTCTCACTTTTCAAAGCTTAACTAAAAGATTTTGCACCTTCATCACCTATACTGTTATGAGAAGGATCCAATTCAGTAAGCTTACAATTCTCACTTTTCAAAGCTTTACTAAGAGATTTTGCACCTCAATCACCTATCTTGCTATAAGAAAGACTTAATTCAGTAAGTTTACAATTCTCACTTTCAAAGCTTCACTAAGAGATTTTGCACCTTCATCACCTATATTGTTATTTTAAGATCCAATTCAGTAAGTTTACAATTCTCACTTTTCAAAGCTTCACTAAGAGATTTTGCACCTCCATCACCTATATTGTTATGATAAAGAGACAATTTGGTAAGCTTACAATTCTTACTTTTTAAAGCTTCACTAAGAGATTTTGCACCTCATCACCTATCTTGTTATAAGAAAGATTTAATTCAGTAAGCTTACAATTCTCACTTTTCAAAGCTTCACTAAGAGATTTTGCACCTTCATCACCTATCTTGTTAGAATGAAGATCCAATTCAGTAAGTTTACAATTCTCACTTTTCAAAGCTTCACTAAGAGATTTTGCACCTTCATCACCTATACTGTTATGAGAAAGATCCAATTCAGTAAGTTTACAATTCTCACTTTTCAAAGCTTCACTAAGAGATTTTGCACCTTCATCACCTATTGTTATGATAAAGAGACAATTTAGTAAGTTTACAATTCTCACTTTTAAAGCTTCACTAAGAGATTTTGCACCTCCATCACCTATTTTGTTACGACTAAGAGACAATTCAGTAAGTTTACAATTCTCACTTTTCAAAGCTTTCAGCTAAAATATTTTGCACATTTATCTCCCCATGTTGTTGCTCTTAATAATCAAATTAGTAAGTTTACAATTTTACTTTTAAAGCTTCACTAAGATATTTTAGCACCTTCATCACCTATATTGTTATCAGAAAGAGACAATTTACTAAGTTTACAACTATCACTTTTCAAAGCTTCACTAAGAGATTTTGCACCTCCATCACCTATCTTGTTATAAGAAAGACCCAATTCAGTAAGTTTACAATTCTCACTTTTCAAAGCTTCACTAAGAGATTTTGCACCTCCATCACCTATACTGTTATGAGAAAGATCCAATTCAGTAAGCTTACAATTCTCACTTTTCAAAGCTTCACTAAGAGATTTTGCACCTTCATCACCTATATTGTTAAAAGAAAGATCCAATTCAGTAAGCTTACAATTCTCACTTTTCAAAGCTTCACTAAGAGATTTTGCACCTTCATCACCTATATTGTTTTGAGAAAGATCCAATTCAGCAAGCTTACAATTCTCACTTTTCAAAGCTTCACTAAGAGATTTTGCACCTCCATCACGTATCTTGTTACAAAAAAGATCCAATTCAGTAAGTTTACAATTCTCACACTTTCAAAGCTTCACTAAGAGATTTTGCACCTTCATCACCTATACTGCTATCAGAAAGATCCAATTCAGTAAGTTTACAATTCTCACTTTTCAAAGCTTCACTAAGAGATTTTGCACCTTCATCACCTATATTGTTATCAGAAAGATCCAATTCAGTAAGTTTACAATTCTCACTTTTCAAAGCTTCACTAAGAGATTTTGCACCTTCATCACCTATATTGTTATCAGAAAGATCCAATTCAGTAAGTTTACAATTCTCACTTTTCAAAGCTTCACTAAGATACTTTGCACCTTCAGCTGCTATTTAGTATGACTAACATCCAGTTTAATAATTTTACAATTCTTACTTTTTAAAGCTTCGCTGAAACATTTAGCCTCTTTCGCAGTTAGAAAGCTTATATGAATAAAGAGTTCAGCGTATTTACAATTCTCGCTTTTTAAAGCTTTGCTAAGTGACTCTGTATTTTCATAGCTTAGTGGGTGAAAGTGAACATCAAGTTCAGTAAGTTTACAATTTTGACATTTTAAAGCTTCAGTAAAAGATTTAGCACTTTGTTTACTTATATTGTTGCCACAAATCATCAATTTAGTAAGTTTACAGTTCTCATTTCGTAGCTTGAATAAGCAAATTAGCACCTTGATCTTAAGTTTATTAAAACGAATATCCAATTCATTTAGTTTACAATTTCCACTTTTAAAGCTTCACTAAGATACTTTGCACCTTCAGCTGCTATATTTTCTTCAAGAGACAATTCAGCAAGTTTACAATTCTCAGTTTTCAAAGCTTCACTAAAATATTTTGCACCCTTATCATCTATCTTGTTACCATTGATAATTAATTTAGTAAGTTTACAATTCTCACAATTTAAAGCTTCACTAAGAGATTTTGCACCTTCTTCACCTATATTGTTATAATCAAGAGACAATTTAGTAAGTTTACAAGTCTCACTTTTTAAAGCTTCACTAAGATACTTTTAGCACCTCCAGCTGCTAGTTCGTTACGACTAAGAGACAATTCAGTAAGTTTACAATTCTCACTTGTCAGAGCTTCACTAAAATATTTTGCACATTTATCACCCATGTTGTTGCCATTGATAATTAATTTAGTAAGTTTAGAATTCTCACTTTTAAAGCTTTACTAAGATATTTAGCACCTTCTTCACCTATATTGTTTTTTCTAATTTCCAATTCACTAAGTTTACAATTTTCACTTTTTAAAGCTTCACTAAGATGTTTTGATATATTTTTAACAGAACAGGAGATGATTTTCAAAGAAAATACATTGCATGCTGTTGCATTTGTTAAATATTTTGACAATCTAATGACGCTATGATTATCAGGAAATTGGCATGAAAAAAACGCGAGTTTTCTTAATTGTCGGCATTCAGAGAGAAATTCAAAGAAGGCGTTTGAATCAAGAGGCGTGAAAGAAACGTTATTAATGGATATTGTTTCAGAGAAATTATTTGACTCGCAAACTGATCTCATCTCATCGTCGTCTTGTAATTCGTAAAAGCACTTCATTCCAAGAAAACCAAGTGCTTGATTACCCTCAGAGAAAAATAAATGTGACATCCAACTTTCTAACCTGTAATTATAAAAATATCGTATTGTGAAACTTTTAAGAGTTTGGTTTAATTTGTTTAAAAAAATAAAGCCCTTCAGAAAAGCATCTTGACATGAGAAGTTTTTGTAAAACAACTATGGTAACAAAAGCTAGCTATAATATTTTAGTCGCAAATTAAAATAAATCAAATAATGCACACAACGTTTACCAAAGCCAAGTGCAAATTAATAATACATGAAAGTAAAAACTCCTTGCTGCTTCTCAGAGCAACCAGTTCAGTTGAGTTGGCAGCGTGATAGTTGACTGGAAGAGGTTAGAGAGGTCAAAATTTATTTAGGCATGTTTTAATTAGTTAATTCGCCAAAAACTCATTAAAAACAAATTATATCTGTATGTCATGTATGTACTAAAATGGGCCTCACAGCGCCACGGAGCAAGTTTATAAGAAGCAAAATATTTGTAATTTTACTTTAACAGTAGAACCTGTATTAAGCGGCACCGTATTAAGCTGTCACCCTGTGTTAAGCGGTTATATGGCAAAGTTTCCTGGTGCAAATACTATTAAAGTGACCTTTATTAAACGGTCATCTCTATTAAACGGACGCGGTCACCTTTTCCAATGTGCTAAGCTTAATTTTTTGTTATTTTGCACTTGTATTAAACGGTCAGGTTAAGTAGGTACACCCCATAATAAAATATATAATTAAATATTTTTGTTGGAACATATCACTTATATTGTATACATGTCTTTATGTTGTATTTATCTTCCATAAAATGACTCAAAAGATCCAACAATATTTTCTGTTTGCGGACAAATACACCAGCAATTTAATGTTTCTTACGTCCCTTCAGCCATTGACAAGAAAACCTATCTCCAAAAAGGATATAGGCACGGAATATATAAGTTATAAACATCTTCTCTGTTGACACGCTTGCCAATGATTATTTTTCAGCAGTTTGAGCCGTGACATTTTTATGTATACTATTTTTAATTTCTAGTTAAAACTAAGAAAAAGTGCTTTTATAGTGTTGTTAATTGGCATGTTAACGAACAATACCGATTGGTCAACTTTAGTTTGTTAAATGTTACACGTGACTTTCCTAAAGAACTATAATAAACGGTCAACTTGCAATAAGTGGTCAACCTGTATTAAACGGTCACACGAGAAATCCTCCATTTGTGACTGCTTAAAACAGGTTCTACTGTATATAGATGTAAAGAGATTATTTGTCATGTAAAATTATAGCTACTTTTATCTGGATCGTTTTGCAGGAATCTCTATACACACAAAACTTTTACGACGTTTGTCTCTCTTTCAAAAGCCTTTTTGTTTAAAACTCATTTTCGAAATATGTGTAATTGCATATAGTTGTAATTGTTGTAATTAAATGTGATATTTACCCATAAGTACAAAGTTCATTCCCTGTTCTCAACGCCGATATTTAAAAAAAATACGTACATGCGTTAGCCTACCTTAGTGTTCTTAATGGCAATATTTAGTCGACGACTTTTCTTCATGCACAAAGAAGGCCTATTATGCTTTGGTGCAAACGCGTAAAAATCGATTGAAATAAAAAGGAGAATGAGCTTTGGGTCCGGCTAAATTTTTAAGTGTGCGAAAATTTTGTTCAGTGAATTTTGTTCGAAAATTTTGTACATGCTTCTACCTTGAATATCAACTCAAACTTAACAAAATAACATGAGCCCCAAGGCAGCCAATGGGCATAATGGTGAAAATTTGAGCCTACTTCAACTTTTAGAAATTGCTCAATTTGTCTATTATTTAGATCATTATTTGTTTTAAAATACAATTATCCACTACTAACATCATGATTTTGTTGACTAAAAATTCTGATAATTTTTCCTTTTAAAGCTTAAGTTTCTTAACTCCATATTGCCAGGCTTTTAGCAATATGTTTTTCTAGGCATGCTGCGTAGCCCCAAATTTAAGAAAAACAGCCAATTAAGTAAGTATCGTTCACCATTTTAATTAAAAATGCTATTAAACTGTAAGTTTTATGCACATACAACGCTTAAAATATGATTACCACTTGATAAAATGCCGGAAATTGCACTTCCGAGACGTTGAAAACAAAATTTTCCAGGTGAGTATGTCCCCAGACCTTCCAAGGTGGCTAAAGATTTTGGCGTTTCTTGAATTACGTTCCAGAAGTCCTAGTTCAGTCCCTGCTGGGTAGCAAGTAATTTCTATGTGTTGATTAGAATAATTAAATTTGTTGTCGATTGCTATCGCCGATTAGCGTTCCCATAACAATGGTTTCACTTCAGTGATTGCTTTTTCTGTGATTAACTTACAATTACAACTGTATGGGAACAATGCTTTACAAAGAAAAATCGGTTTTTTTCGAACATATTTGACATGTTAGGGTTTAAAGAAAATGTTATTGACATACTCATTAATATTTTCAAAGATGAAGGAAAAGTTTAGAACAGAGTTGTGTTAAAATTGAATGCAGGGCCATGCAAAGTTAGTGAGAACTACGGTATATGCTGTATAATATAAAGAAATTATTAAACTACTTGCCTGCTCAATTTGACTGACTGTATAGTGTAGACAATTATAATGGGTTTGGAAAGTTGGATTTATGCAAACAGTTGTAAAGTACTACTTCGCGTTTTTTGTAAGTGAAGTATTTATTGTTATAGTAAACAGGTTACTACTTCAAAACCAAGATAAAAGAAGTGTGTTGAACAATGTGCTAAGATTTGCTCCTACCTTGAAATTTTTGTTCAACAATTGCTTATGATTATATCATTAATATGCATGAAAAATTAAACATATTGTTGTCTCATCTCACCAAATCCATACTTGGTATGATTCCAGGTAATCCACAAATTCACATCGGATACATTGGTTACAATGAAGTTGAATGTAGAGGAAGCAAAAATAGATGGCAAAGAAATCCTTTTCGCCTTATGAAGAATTAGTACAAATCAATAAAAGAATTCTTTAAGCAAATTGTAAACAAATTTAAATTGCTCATGATCAAGCAACCTAGTCAGAGAAGCAAAGTCTGTCTTCAACATGTGACCTTTCCAATTATGTTTAGTTCTTTGTACAAAATACTATTTTTGAGAAACTTGATTTGTAAGTCTTTCACTAATGTTTTTTATCAAGAAATAAAAGAAACAAATTCAAAGGCGTGATGGAAAATACAAAGATTTATCAAGTTGTTTATCATTTAATTCCCAATTGTTAGTTTGTACATATAAATAATTAGTATTGGTAGCTGTAAGTTGCTCAAGCAAACAGAAGAGTAGTAGTGCTTGAAGGGGTTAGCATTTTTGAAAAATTATATCTTGTTTTTGACATACATTACACAATTCCAAAAAACTGTAAGTAATACACAATAATATCTATAGAACTTGATAAATTTCTTCGCCTACACTGTCAATTAATTATTCTTGCCTTCATGCAGTAATACAGTGTGTTTTGTCAGAGAAACCAATGCACTTTAGTTTCCAAATTTGTAATTTCAATGGAAAATTAATGTAGTTCTGTTCAGTAATAGACCCAAGGTTCTGCCAAGCTGTTTACAAAATACAAATTTCCAACCAACATAGCATGGTGTTTTGAATTTTTTCCTTTTTTGTAGCTCTTCTAGTTCAACATACTTTCTTTATGAGTTTTCAGTAGATTTATCAGGTAATGACAATACACTTATGATACTTATCCATGGTAAATTTTCAGTTGACTTATGTCGTAGAACTGAAGCAAACATTTTCTCGCTTCCTTAGGAGCATTTTAACACAGATTTATCCATTTGAGCAAGAAAAATAGTTGCACCAAACTGTTTACAAACAGTCAAACACACAGAAGCATAAAATAATGTATAAGTTTGACGAGATTGACAGGTCTACTAATGAATGACGTTTGATTTTCACTTTTAAAATGTCATAAAATAACTTAAATGTTACAGCCAAAATATGCGTTTCTCTACCGTCGATTTTCTTTATTTTGATGTGTGTGTGTACTGTGTTTTTCACGCAATGCTGAAGCATTATTTTCACATGGTATGCTGTCGGTATCGTAATTGTTTTTTTTCTCACTTGTTTTCGTTCATATAAACAGTATTAGAAATCAGGAGGGAGTGAATATTGAAAAAAATTTTTAAAGTGGAAGTTTTGACCAACAAAATCCGCCATTACCGCCATGTTTTTCACCACGGGGTCCAGGCCCCTTTTCCCCTCCAGGTCTTATAGAATACAATGGTCGTCGCCTGCAAATTTTGAGTAAGTTAAAGGCACGGGTAAGCTTTAACTCAGCCCATTGAAGTAAATATATCTGGAATGCTAACTCCATTGGGTTCTATAATAACTGAAGCGGCTATCTCAAGAGCGGCTTTGAATATTGTATGACGCCAACAAAATGGAGGATTTTGACCTTTGCCGCTGAGATTTACCGAAATTGACAGCTTTTTTGAAAGTTTCGCAATTTTCCACTCCTAAATACACAAAATGTATATTTGTATTTCGGATTCGGCAAGCAATTTTTTGATGAAAATCAAGATAAAAACCTTAAATTCATAATTTGTGTTTTAAGTTATAGCTTACAGCTTTTGCTTGTTGCTGTTGTTCGTTTTAAAACGATTTCGAAAATAGTCCTACACTTTTGGAACGTAGTGTTTGGAGAATCCACTAGATTTGTTTTCTCATTAGCAGATTTTTCACTTAATGCTTGAACATAAGGTTTATTTTATGGGCTTTATATGTATGTATCTTAGTGTGCATTATGCTGAAGTCTTTTATTTGCTGTTTAAATAACTTCCCAGTGCATCCAAATACTCTAATGAAAAGCAACAACTCAGTGATCTACAGTGGTCTACATCCGCAAACATGTAAAAACCATTTTCTGAAGTATACAGCAAACGATCAAAAGAAATCGATCACCAAATTATTTCTTCCAAACTCTACGCGACACTTTAGTTTAAAACTTATCGAGGAGGCGTTACTTTAATATTTGCTCATCTGGCTGGCAAAATTAATGTTAAGAATTTGGTGATGATGAATTAACTTAGAAAAATACATCTAGTCACATACAATATGAAGATACAATCAAACATTTTCAATGATACAAATGCTCATTGATCATAAATTTAATACCTCTCTAGAATAACGCTGATATCTTTTCCTTCTCTTTCTTTTCATTTCCAACCAAACCAGCAGCAAATTCGATTACCAAATGCCATTTAGGATCTTGAACATGATCATCCAAAAACTTTCCAATGTTTTGCCAATCGTCAACAATATACCACGCTGCAAAAAACTCTTGAAGAGTCAAATGAAGAAAACAGTAAAGATGGCGTTCATCATCATAAATCTTATTGAAAATGCCACAGTTTTCCAGATTTTAAAGTTACTGTTACTTTTTCTTTCAAAAATCAGGCGTCCGTCTTTAAGCCCTTCCATGGCAACATATTTTATTTCTTGTAGATCTTTATCAAGCTCGGATGGTAAAGGAATTCTCAAGTAATCCTTTTCTGTAGTCTTGCCCTGAGAAGGGATGGCTTTGCCATAGTAAAACTTTAATTGCTCTATCGTACAATTCAGTCATAGTCTTTGGACTGTAGTTTTCATCATCTGCAAAACATTCCTTTAAGGTCATACAAACAATTTTAGTGTTAATAGGGATATAACAAAAGCTGCGAAGTTCAAGAGAAATTTCAATCTTATTTAGAATACGGTCAGCAATATTTCTATCTTCATGACAAAACTTTTCCACGAATTCTTTTATCTCATTCTCAAAAAAGCCCATGATTTCAACTGTCCTCGCGAATTCCATATCTCTAAATTTACGTTCAGCTGTGGGTCGTGATGTAATAAGAACAGTAACATCAGGCAATAGTTTACCTTCAACTAGCATACTTAAGTGTGTAATGACGTGCCTTTTTTCATTTGGGGACCCTGAGTCGTCAGTTTGAATATCTTCATTATCTAAAGATAATTCATCAAGACCGTCGACCATAAGAACAGTTCTTTCAGGATTTAACATTATGAATTCGTAAATATCTGAAAACTGTTCAAATGAAAATCCAACGCAACTTCTTAACATTTTTTTAAAAGTAATGTACTTCTCTTTAATCGCACGACATTGCAATAAAATGACCAGCTTATTGCGCCAAAAGTCGTCTTCATTTGTCTTCCATTCATGAATAAGTTTTTTCGTCAACATAGTTTTACCAATTCCTGGCCTTCCGATGACTAAAATGGAGCTAGGATACGACTTGCTATTTGAAGTGGCTTAAAATGTCAGTTGCTCTTGTTAGTTTTTCGCACTTTCATTAGGTTTGAAATGACAATGAAGGATCTCGTGCCTTTCATGCGTTTCTGGGTAAGCTTTACTTAATTGTCTTTCAGCTTGCATTATGACGTTCACATAAATATTTTCAAGATTTTGCACAGACAGTTGTGCCTTGCCTACGTTATCGTGAATATTTAATAATTTGTTCAAGTGAGGTTTATTTTTTATTTCTTTTATCCAATTTCGAAACTCTGCACGTTTTGAAAAGAGGTATACCGTGAAAAACTCCTTATCTGATGTGAAAAAATTGTCACTACTGGCCTCATTTAATAGGTATATTAGTTGACATATCGTCATTATTATCGATAAAACATCAACAGCTACAACAAATTTAATCCACCATTCACTGTTACCATCGCGAATTTTACAATTAACGAATGTCTCGTTATATCGAGGAAGAATTATATTGTTTAACAAAGATTTTTTGTTTGTTGTCGGACGCCACGAACAAGAATAGTCAATGGGAAACATGGATGGAAACAGTACTGTAACAAATATAGACAAACCGATCACGCGTACAGTCAAATAAATGATGTAATAATTAAATGCCCAAGAACTAGTTGCAACCTTTCTGACTTCACTGCTTCTTTCTGACAAGAACTTATCAAAGTTTTAAGTCGATTGGCCACAGACTGTCCACAGATCATACCCAAAAAAGAGAAAAAGAAATTAAAGGACACCACATATATATTATCCCAAGTTTCATTTTGGTATTGTCTCAAACATCTTGATTCAATATTCTTTATAAGAGAAGTTTCTTGGAATTTTGAAATCATCTTGCCATTACAAGTAAAAGAAGTTTGACGATCAAATGTTTTCGAAATTCCAGGAGCGATGATTGTAAATGTGAAATAGATAGAAAAGTAGTATTTTTCAAACCAGGGAAAACAATTCAGTGGTATGGCTCTGAAAATAGCATCCATTTTCGTATCCTTTAAAAAATGGATGAAATAGACATGACTAATTTAGTTTCAACAATCCCCGTATAGACATAGACCACATTTGTAAGAGCATAAACTGCAGTATAAAATAATACACACCATTATTTGTGGCTTCAGTTAGCTCCACACAGTTTGGCTTCCAGATTGTATATATGAACAATTTCAGCCTATATTGTAGCAAAATGTATAATTTGGTTGCAATATTTAGTAGCTATGAAAAAAATCCAGTACATGCAATAGCAAAAATAGTAATAATACTATAATAATAATAATTTTAAATTTTAGCAGGTCAATCTTGTAAGTTTAAAAAGTATAGCTGTTTTTATTAGGACAACTGCATTCAAATTATTACAGTAAAATAAAAAAATTTCTAGAATTTATGCGATAGAGTTCCATAATAAAAAACATTTAGGATGTCCAAAAGGTTAAAAGATAAAAAATACGATAGTATACACTAAAAAAATACAAATTAGTTTAGATTATAATATAAATCATACTTAAAAATAATTTACGCTTGTCCTTGAATCTTAGTAAAGGTATGTAAAGGTATTTCTCTTCTATAGCTGTATGAAAGTTAATTACTTTAGCAGTTTCGCAATATAAATGTTCCGGAAGATATTAGGATTATTTTGAAGAATTTTAAAATCAGTTGATAAGGGTAACTAATGGGTATTGTTTTCCATAGCACCACTTTTAATAAATTTTGTAAAAGCTTAAAAAAATCTTGAAAAGCTTAAGTCACATAACGTACATTGATTTAGTTATACGATATCCTAAAATACCTATGATCTGTTTCTAAAATACCTATTTTAGAATATTGTGAACTCAAGCAAATAATTAAAGAAAAACGAAGACAAATGTGGCGTCAGTTATAAATGATCTGTAGTTTGCAAACAAAACGTCACAGAATATCAAACATACAAAAGGTCACTCGTGTCGGACCTTTGATGTTTTTGTCGTCGCGTATGTTGTGCCGCACATATCGGCAGCCATTATTCCAAAAAGATGTTTAGGACTTTTCACTTGTTCCAAACCACTTAAATGACACGACGTCATTTCTTATATTGAAATTATTTCCACTTCATTGTGAAAAATGACGTCATGTAATTACAGTGGTTGAAGACAAGTGAAAACACAAAGTATCTTCCTAGAATGATGTCGGCCGTAAGGACGTAGTGCTCACTGGCATGGCCTTCTATAGAATTTTTATTCTGTGAAAACGTGTTTCACTGATGACGTCATAACTTATTAACATGGCCACTTGAAAAGTTGGCACATTAGGTCCGTATTCAGCAATAAAATTAACTAACTTTTAGCGAACTGAAAAAATATATTTATACATCAAACTAAATCTAGCATTGTGGATTTTTAGTTACAGAAAAAAAAGAGGCGATCAAACACTTTGAACAAGGCAGATGGTCAATCCGTTTGTACTCCTGATGATGACCTCGTGTACCTGTGGATTTACCCGAGAAACGTCACGATGCTGTACACCATGTTCATGAGAGTGAAAAGCTCACAACTCAATTGTCTGAATGTTCATATGAGTCCATGCCTTCATTGTTTATTAACATCATTTACCTTGATGTTGCCACCTCTTTCTGACTGGCTGATAATGAGGAGGAAACAAGTACTGAATGCGTAATTACTGTGCATATGTGTAGATTATCACACAAATCTACCCTTTGTGCAGATTCAACATTCTCTTTATCTACAAGAGAACCGATTTTAAGCAACTGAACTGCTAACTTTTCTCAAATAATTCCCTGAAGAATTGTACAAAGAGAGGGAAAGACAGGACACTAATGCGACTGCAGACAATTTATTACCTGCTGGTGGCGAAAGTATAACAGGCACATCGGCAAAAAAAACTACTTAGATCTACACTGAAGAAACAAGCCATTGCACCAAAATCAAAACATGTACTTCCGCCTACATGTATCATTTGTAAAAAAGAAAAGTCTTTTGTGACTGAAGTGGTAAGTGACACATTTTTATTGTATTTTTCTTTTTATCGAAAGCTTTTACATCCTACATTAAAAGCTCGCTTATATATTTTTTCCGCATTGAAAAGAAATTTTTTTACGTGAGAAACAATCTTTGTCTTCTTGATAATTAATAATTTCACCAAAAAATGTTCACTTATGACTAATAGGGCACTCGAAAGCGAAAGCTAGATCGACTGGTTATGGCAGAGACAAAAGATGGGGGTAAATTAAGAGAAGCAGCTAGGAGAAATTCAGATGAAAGTATACTTGTAAATATTGCTGATAAAGATTGTGTAGCTTTAGAGGTTAGGTATCATAGACGGTGTTACGAACGATACACTAGCTTTTTAAGACGCAGCAATGTAATACACAGTAAAAAGAAAAGGGCCATTTTAGCCCCATGAGGTCGTTTTGGCTTTTGAAATTGCTAGCCGTATTGGCTAACAATAAGGGCTAAAACAGACAATAGAGCCGTTTTGGCTCCATGACGGTTGTTTTTGCTCTACAATTGGTGCCAAAATAGAAATATACGGGCCAATTTGGCCCCATGAGGTCGTTTTGGATTTTGAAATTGCTAGCCATATTGGCTAACAATGAGAGCTAAAACAGACAAGAGGGGCCGTTTTGGCTAAATTGTGTGCACCATGTGCATTCATTAAAATTTGCAGCATATAATGATATGCTGGTTTAATTTTTTTCTTTAGAGTGATAGCTTACCTGTAACACCAATTCAGGTTGGTGCACTTCTGTTTCTGATCATTTTAACTAGTAATAACACATTTTGTCATGGTTACATATAATAATACATATAGTCATGATCCGCAATGGTTCTGTATTGGGGGTGGAGGGTCCTCTAGTTTAGATTAGGCTTTGATAACTTGTTGCTATACATATTATGTCAAACATTTGTTGAAATCTTATTACCTCTTTATTAATATTACGAGATTTCTATTGTTGGTTTTATTTGTATTTTTTTTGTAGTGATAATAGTAACAGCATCACCATAAGTCCTGCTCCTTCACACCCCTCTCCTAAGCTCATTCCTACTTAAACTTGCTGTGAACATTCACTAATAGTTCATTTGTAATTTTTAGTGTCCAAATGCTCTTACTGAAACTACCAGTACCCCAAAAGTATGCAAGTTTATCTTCATTTGTTCAATGAATGGAAATTGAAGTACTTCGAAAAATCTAATTTGCAATTGAGTAATATTTTATTTGTTTCAGGATTGGTTACGGAACTACAAAATTCCAAATCGTGTAAGTACAGTACACTAACAGCAGCTGTCTAGAGCTGAATTTCACAAAGGGCCATTTTAGTCTCCCAAAATGGGGCCAAAATATTGACCCCAGAACGGCCCCATAATTTAGAGCCAATTTTGGCCCTTTAAAGAGGGGGCTAATTTTGGGGGCTAAAATGGCCCTTTTCTTTTTACTGTGTAGATGAAGTTTATGATTCTGAAAACTATGACAGATACGCATGCAAATACGAAAAGTCCTTTGATGTTTTTTTGTGAAAGATTTGTAAAGAAAAGACTGCTGATGAACGAAGAAATTTTTTTTATGAAGAGAATGAAAGCTGAGTTTGTAAAGACAGTTTCAGAAATTGAAGGCACAGATGCGTCAAATTATAGAAATTTTCGATTAAAAGAGAGATTGCGAAAGAAATTCCCTCAAATTGTTTTCTTTTCACCAAAAGAACGGAACAAAAGTGAAATTGTATACGTTGAAGGTCTTTGTCAAGGAACTGTGGCAGAAAATGATTTAAATGAAGACACAGAAACTTCGCAAAGTGAGATGGACACAGAAGATGAATTTTTCAACAATGACGTTCCAAAAGGCAGCTGCAATAAAACGACGACCCTTAATGAAGTATTTAACGTAGCGCTAACATTACGGGGCAATCTACGTGCTAGTACAAAATCAATATGGTACGAAAACTGGCCGTCCCTTGCTTCTGACATAAATAATGAGAGTGTTAGGAAAATTGTTTCGCCAACTCTGTTTAATTTCCTCGCATGGATGCTTGGTTTTTCAGACGACCCGGACTTGTCGGAATATGTTGAAGTAGGGGAGAAGAACGCTATTAAACTTTATTCATTATGTCAAGATCTGATCAACGTTAGCAGTAAAGGAAAAATGCAAACGCCTAAATCCTTAGCCTTGGCAACAGCTGTTAGACAAATTTCTGGCTGTTCAAGCCTGATCAGCCTTTTGAACGGTCTTGGACACTGTGTCTCTTTGTCATCCGCAATGGCGTATGATTCTGCCCTTGCCCAAACAACTATTGATACATCTAATATTGTTCCCAAAGAGTTTGTAGAGAAAGAGTATGTTAACCTGATTTACGACAACATTGATTTTAGCGAGGACATAAAAAAACAAACCCATGTCACAAACGGAATTATAACGCAGAAATTGTCTGGACAGCAACACATAACAATGCAAAATTCCAGCATCGTCAAAAAGTCACAGCGAACTGTTAAGATGCCGAATACCAACATAGCAGAATATAGTATTGGGCCAAAAGACTCCAATATTTTTTGATATCAATGAAGTCGCCCGTTCAATGCTTATTGATAGGAACCATGAGTTAAATTAAGCAGCTCACAAGCTTGATTTAGCATATGTTTTAACGAAAATGGTTCATGTCACTGATGAAACAGCACTGCCTGGATGGACCGGCTTTAACACCATGCTTATTGAAGAAATACCTGAGGTATCGAGAGTGGGTTACCTGCCAGTTATAAACGCGCCACCAACTGAATATTCTACAATTAATGAAATTCTTAAAAGAAGCAAGAATATCGCAGAGAAGCTTGACTTACAATATGCTGTCTTAGTCTTTGATGAAGCAGTTTACTCTAAAGTCCAGCACATACGATGGAAAGAACCCGTTTACTATGATAAACTGGTCGTACGTCTTGGAGAATTTCATACTGTCATGTCTTTTCTATCTGCAGTGTCAAAGCTCTTTGAAGATGGAGGACTTAAGGTGCGAATTCATATCTTAATTTTCACATATAAAACTTGTACAAGAAATAAGTGGCAATTAGATAAATACGTTTCTAAAAGTAATGATTCCGCAAAACGTTCTTTAGGATCTGTTAATTGAGTCGGGTGTTGTGAGCGAAGGATCCGTAAAGAGTGTCCTTTCTGGAAAGAATTACAATAGATCGATGTCATGCCATAAAATTTTGTACGAAGGTTTGAAGCATACCTGGATGATTTAGAAGAAAAAAGATGGAAGAATAATGGCATTCCTATGTGAAATGTCAAATTCGTTTCCAGATAAAGGTTTCCGCGATTGTATTGAAAGTGAACTGTTTGAGGAAATATGCGAAGAGTACGAAAACTTCATACAAAATGCATCCTCAAAATCAAGAACGTTTGCTTTCTGGAGTATGTACATCAAAATGATAGGTAAATAACAATAAACCCTCTCATTTATTTTCTAGGTTGTAACAAGGTCAAATCTACAGGACATACACTTTGAATTTATCAATTTTAGATATACTTCCTACTTTTTAGATATTTTGTTGATGTTTATCAGAGCTACAAGGGAGATAAACTGGAAACTACATTTGACAACCTTTAGAGCAATGTTGCCATGGTTTTTCGCCTGTGATCGGATAAACTATGCAAGATATGGGTCTGCATATTGGCTTGAGATGGTTGCTTTGGATCAGACACATCCAGGTTTGATTTGGTCATTGTGTCATTTAATTAAAGTCTTGCTTATTACGACAAACAATTGTGATATATCTTTATTATATAGGAATCTTGTCTGAAATATCATGTAACTTTGCTGTACAACGTCAAAACAACTATGGTTTTTCTGCTGTGGCGTGTGATCAAACAATTGAGCAAACTGTAAACCGCGATTCGAAGACGAAGGGTGGTTTGACTGGAATTTCTATGAATCCTGGAGCGGTGCAAAGATGGATGCTATCACAATCGCAGAGAGCAGCAATAACAAGAAAGTGTAATTACATGGCGGGGTTGGAATATAAGTCAAGGTGAATTTGATTCGCATATTCTGCTATGAAGCTTAGGGTTAGGATGGGTTGTTTCGTGTAAATAAATTTATAATTCCCTTCAAATGTTGGAGACATCCTCTTTTCATGCATTTCAGAAAGCGTAAAGACCTTGATTATTCCAAGTGCAAACGCTATGAGCAATGTGTTCAAGACGTACTAACTTCTATATTCCAAATGGCACATCCTTTTGATGTTGATCAAGAACATTTGATAAATTTGGCAAGTGGAGTAGAGTTAGAAACCACTGTGGCAGATCGACTTCTATCTGCAGAGCAACTGGGTGAGCGGCAGTTCTCAGAATTTTCTAAAAACAACTTGTTTTCCGACAATCCGGATATTTTCACAAAATTGGAGCGCAACAGCATTGAAACGTTCTCTGGAAGGAGGAAACAAGTACAGAGTGGCCAAAAAGGGAAGGAAAAAAGCATCAAAATGAACCGGAATTTTTTTGCCAAGCTTTTAGTCATAGCAAAAAATCGTGAGGTCAATTTGAAGGAGGTATTATCATACAGTCTCGGATCGTTTCCTCTTTCACTTGCAACACCAAATGGAGGACTCGTAAAAACTGCAAAGTCTAAACTGCTTGAAATTTTGGAGAGAGAAGCAGACAATCCAGAAGTCGATATTCGCAGCTTTCACAACAATGCTCTTATAGTAGATGCAATGGCTGTCTTGCAAGTTATGAAAGGTAAATGTTAAAGACACGTTGCATGCACAGACCTTCTTTTATATATGCAAACACGACATATTCTCTTGAATTTAATAACGTAGACTTGTCTTTCTGTGTCGTAACTTGACATAAAGTGTTCTGTTAATTCTTTGCGCAATTCAGAGGCCTCTCATTTTAATTGCTTATTTAAGGAAAGTGGAAGACCTTCGGTGAATTATCTGACTCGATATTTCAATTTCTTCTGAAAGTCGCATTTCAATGTAATGCTACAAGATTGGACTTCGTCACAGATCGATATCCAAAATTGAGTATCAAGAACGCTGAAAGAAAGAGACGGGCCGAGAAAGGAGTTCAACGAATTCGAATTTTTGGTAAAGATCAGCCCGTTCCAAAGCAGTGGAAAAAATTCTTAAGTTGTGGAGAAAACAAGGAGTCCCTTATGATTTTTTTGTGTGAACATTGGAAAGAGTATAAATCATCTCAACTGACGCAAGTTGAAAATTTATATATTACTACAAAAGAAAAATGCTATGTACTTTCTTGTTCAGCTTTTGACGAGGACCCGGTTTTATGTTGTGAATGCAGTGTGCTAGAAAGCAATCATGAGGAAGCCGACACCCGTATGCTTTACACGCCAAGCATGCAATGGGCACTAACGTTAATGTTATTATTAGGAGTCCAGATACAGATGTCTTCATTCTTTGTGTAGCAATGCAAAAAAACCTGGGTTCAAAGGATTTGTTTTTTATGACTGGTACTGGAAACAAATCTCGCACAGTACATATAAATGCAGTTACTGTCGCCATGAACGAAGAATTTTGTCGCTGCTTGCCAGGCTTTCACGCGTTTTCAGGTTAGCATTTCAATGTAGGTATTTTGATGGGGGTGGTCAGAGAAATGGCTCCTTCTAATCATTGCATCATTTTCTTATTTTTGCGTATATTTTCACTGATATTATACTTCTACCAAGTTCTAAAATATGAGGGTAACTAATACTAAAGTATTGACGTTTGCTTTACATTTAGGAAGTGACTGCACGAGCTCGTTTTACGGAAAAGGGAAGGTCAAAGCATGGAAAACGCTAATTGCTCATCCTTGCTTTGTTGAGACATTTCTCTCCTTGGTTATAACTTTCCTCCTGCCAACGTCCTTGTACGCGATCTGAACAAGTTCACTTGTCTACTGTATGGCGACAATACATCAAAGAATGCCGATGAATGCCGATACACAATGTTTAAAGGTGGAAAATGTTCGGATGAAGTATTGCCACCAACATGTGACAGCCTTCTTAGACACATTGAAAGAGTAAATTACCAGGCGGGTGTGTGGTGTCAGTCTCTTTTACCCCAAATGACTCTTCCTTCACCAATTGGTAACGGTTGGCAGTTTTCAAACGGAGACATTGATATCGTATGGATGACGCGTCCTCCAGCTCCAGACTCTTCTTGATTTCGTAGACTGTCATTGTAAGACTGGGTGTTCAAGCATGCGATGTTCATGTAGAAAAGCTAACCTAGTCTGCACAGACTTATGTTCATGTGTTAACTGCGAAAATACATCAGGCGAATGCGACGAAGACAATTCAATAGATGATTCAGACAGCGAAAGTACTGATGGGGATTTAGACGACATTGACCAATTTGAAATGTGGAATATTATACTTATCAAATAGTCTTTAATGCGATGTATGAAATTTTATATTTTTAACTGAAATTTGTGATATTTCCCACAAAAAACATTGATAAAAGTTACCAACTATGCATAAGTTGTTGACGTCCGAGCAAAAATAAGCCTGATAGGAAACTGGAACTAGTAATATCACAGTAAATTAAATGAAGTATTTAGGGAAACAAAGGCGGCGATCAAGTTTCAAAGCAGCAAAAATTGTTGATGTTTGATGGCAAAATGCTCATAAACTGCAGGTTTATACGCGTGACAACAAGTAAATTCTTATTCAGCAAATGAAAATTTATAGATTTATTTAAATTAAACTTAGTGCCCGACCGATGGCAACGGAATTGTTTTTCTAAGCGACTTTCGGTGGCAAAGAATACGGCCTAATGTATTCATGATATGAACTTTCAACCTATATTTATTACGCTACGTGTAAATGCAATATGTGATTTAAATAAAGTCATAACAAAGCAACGTCACCATGAAAATGTGAAGATGTGAAACAAGAGTTTACGCTGACAACATGTATGGAAATATTTATCGAATTACGTGCGTGCAAGGTTCACACTGTCAACTTAAATAAAATCACATTTGGTTTATTTATCAGCTACATTTGGCCGGTATTTATAGTATTTCCCAATATTTGGTGAATATTTTTGTTTTATTTAGTAAATTTCATAAAAGCACAGTACAAATCAAGAAAATAAGAAACAATTTCTCTCACCTACGTCCGATCCTTTTGTCTGTACGTTTAGGAATAGGTGGGACTTGAAATTCTTTACCAAACACAGGCTTCTTTACATCTCACTATGTAGCGGAAATGATAAAAGCAAAGAAAACAGGATCTTGTTACATTCTATCATCAGATAATTCCATGCGTGTTGGCAACGCCAAGTCCAAAAACCAATAAAATACTTTCTATTACGGTTTCTCGCTCGTGCGTCACGAAATAATGAAATGCGTGATTATGTAACTACTGCGTCACACAAATGATAGTATTGCATATGGTAATTTCAAAACTAATGTGTGGACTTTCAAAATTTCAACAATACATGTAGATATACAAATTATTCATCATGTGAACATATCGTGATTCATTATAATTAAATCATAATATTATATAAAATTACATATTGTATATTGCCAAATTCCTTTGTAATTATTTACATAAGGTATTGTTATGAATATTTTCAGCTGAATATTAATCCTCATTAATGTCACATTATAGGACTAAACAGTAGGGCCACTTCGCTGTGCTACTGCTAGCTGCTGTATATTTAATTCGTTTACTGGCTGCCGTTTGCCATTTCGTCAATCCTATTTGTCACACAATGCAATTTACTGGCTGCTAATATGGTAATCACATGCGTAATAAGATATACGTGGCACGATAAAATTAAATGGACTGGTCCTACTGTATGTTCTCTATACTGTGATACTGTCGATGAATGTTCGTTCATGCCACTTTCCCTCAAGAAATCTTTTTTTGTCACACGCTCTTTTACTCTGTAGGTTAAAGTGAAAGGTTTGATGGCGTTAAGGTTTCGTGCTAGAGCCTTCTTTGTAAATTTCTTATCGGCAAACGTAAAGCAATAAAGTCAGCATGAACGTTTTTCTTTTAGCAGCCGTTCGAATTATCAAACATATTATATAGAAACTCATTGTGGTCAAAGTCAATGAAGCATTGAGTATATTCATAGTTTATATAGACAGTGAATATTCAATTTATTTTATGATATATGCAGCCTAAAAAACTAATATTTAAAGCTGAAAATTCTGTAACATTGACCACCTTACTTTCTTTATTTGTTGTGCATATATACTTGCTTCTTTCGTTAACTACTGCATCTGCTGTAAGATTCCATTCAATGCATAGATTTCTCAAAAGTTATTCAATATTATATTCGCAAATATGGAAAATCAGCACAATAACCTTTCGCTCGATATGGGCTAGAAATTTGCAATTGGACAGTTGCAAAAGAATTTGTTAAAAAAAGAACGCAGATTGTGTCTTTTTCAAAATTTTAAATACAAAGAGCTGCAATACAGGTTTCTATGAGTCATTAGCATGTTAAGGTTTGCCAGAGTCAAAAATAATACTTGTAAACGTTTAATGCCCTTACCAACAGACGTTGCCTCCCCCGCAAATACACTTTCAAAAGAGATCAGTCAGGCACGCCTGAATATACGAATAAACGCCTTCCAAGGTTCAACGTCCTAGCACAGAAAGACATCTAACAGAAGGCCCACTTGGCTAAAATCGAGGCGTATTTTTTTCACCACGTTTGCGCTACATCCCAGCAAGATACTTTAACAAAACCCTCAGTTAGCACACGACGTTTTTTTAACGTTGGCTGAAGGTTGTATTTACGTTAAGTTATGACATAACGTTAATACAACGTTCTTACCACGTTTTTCTTATTCAAATTTTAGCCACGTTGTGTCAACGTTGGTTGAACGTTAAAATTAACATTCGGTAAGGAAGTAATGTTGTAACGTTGAAACAACGTTTTCTAAACGTTAAGATGAACGTTAGTACAAGGTGATTTTTCGGTCATCGGCGTTGTTAATAGGGACCTTAAGTTTTTACGACGCGCTTTTAAACGACGCTACTTGTGCGCGCACGTGCTGGGGCGAGACGCGACGGCGTAGATTATACATTTTGACTTAAGTTTTTGACTGGGCGACGTGTGTAGTTTCAGCAACATCATTTTAGAGTATTTAAAAATGTCGTCATTCAGAAATGCTAGAACTGCTATCGCTTTTGCCTATGATGCAGCTTTAATTAATGACGAGGAATTTGTCTTACTATACGATTCTTGCCGTTCGAAAAATCCTGAAATAATGCACAATGATTATCCATCATTTGATCTGGTAGAAATAAGCGAAGTTACCTGTTGTTTGGATTTTCGTTTTAAAAAGCATGAAATACCGCTGCTTGTTGAAGCTTTAGGTTTGCTTTACCAATTCAAGTGCAAGCAAGGAACCGTTTGCACTGGATTTGAGGCTCTTTGCATAGCCCTTCGTTGTTTTGCTTATCCTTGCAGATGCAGTGACTTGGTATCTCAATTTGGTAGATCTGTGACTGAACTTAGCATGATTACCAATTCTGTGATAGATTTTATTTATGAAAGGCATGGGGAAAAAATAACAAATTGGAATCACGATCTACTGAGTCCCAATAAATTGAAAATTTATGCTGAAGCAATTCACCAGAGAGGAGGAGCTTTAGACAATTGTTTTGGTTTTATTAATGGCACAGTGAGGCCAATTTGCCGTCCAGATGAAATGCAAAGTTTAATATACAATGGTCATAAGAGGGTACATGCTATAAAGTTTCAATCGATCACTCTTCCTAATGGAATGATAGCCAATTTGTTTGGAACAGTTGGTAAGCACATCATTTGACTAATATCCTTGTGTTTACTTTGAGTTTCAATTAATTTTTTTGTTTTATAGAAGGAAAAAGGCACGATTCTGCTATGTTAGCCTCATCAGGGCTACTGCAGGATCTACAATTATATGCCTTTTACAATGATAAACCCATGTGCTTGTATGGTGATCCAGCCAAACATTACGTATGCACCTACAAGCACCATATAGGAACAGGCAACTTACAGTCCACATGCAAGAATTTATCAAATCAATGAGTGCTGTAAGGATATTAGTTGAGTGGATTTTTGGGGACATTATAAACTATTTTAAGTTTCTTGATTTTAAAAAAGATCTAAAAATCAGCTTTAGTTGTGTTGGAAAAATTTGTATAGTGACTTCATTGCTTAGAAATGCTCTGACCTGCTTGCACTCAAATACAACCAGTAAATTTTTTCAACTTGAACCACCTTCACTTCAAATGTACTTTTCCTAAGGGGGCGTTTACATGAATCCGGAATGAGTTTCGATCCGGAATGAACTCATTCCACTTTAAAAGAAATCCTATTGCATGTTTACATGAATCCGGAATGAGTCACAACTCGATCCG